GCCCTGTTGACAGTATTATCTAGATTCTAGATCAGTGGTTCTTTACCTTTTTTAGGGGTACCGAACCCCACTAGCTTTTGTATACGTAAGCACCGAACTCTTCTAAGTAGGAAAAATAATATGATTATTGAGTTAGGTGTGTGTCTTGACCTCTGCCGAACCTTGCTACTGACTCACCGAACCCCTGGGGTTCGATAGAACCTAGGTTAAGATTAGTTACGAACCGCTGTTCTAGAATCTAGTAGTATTTATTAAATTGTTGTTAGGCTATGAGATCTGTCGCTGAGGTGAAAAAAGTTGGCGAACTTCAATTCATGTGAATGTTCAATGTTTGTGGTGTGATTAGGGTTAATCGGTTAATCTGAGTGTTGGGATTAAATAAGTTGAGTGTGGGGATTACTGGCCATGATGTATCAGTTGAGTAGTTGTGTGTGGGGATTAGATAAGTTGTGTGTGGGGATTAGATAAGTTGTGTGTGGAGATTAGATAAGTTGTGTGGGGATTAGATAAGTTGTGTGTGGGGATAAGATAAGTTGTGTGTGGATTAGAAATGTAGTGTGTGGGGATTAGATACGTTGTGTGTGGGGATTAGATAAGTTGTGTGTGGGGATTAGATAAGTTGTGTGTGGGGATTAGATAAGTTGTGTGTGGGGATTAGATATGTAGTGTGTGGGGATTAGATATGTTGTGTGGGGATTAGATAAGTTGTGTGTGGGGATTAGATAAGTTGTGTGGGGATTAGATAAGTTGTGTGTGGGGATTAGATAAGTTGTGTGTGGGGATTAGATACGTTGTGTGTGGGGATTAGATAAGTTGTGTGTGGGGATAGATAAGTTGTGTGTGTGGATTAGATAAGTTGTGTGTGGGGATTAAATAAGTTGTGTGTGGGGATTAGATAAGTTGTGTGTGGGGATTAGATAAGTTGTGTGTGGGGATTAGATAAGTTGTGTGGGGATTAGATAAGTTGTGTGTGGGGATTAGATAAGTTGTGTGTGGGGATTAGATACGTTGTGTGTGGGGATTAGATAAGTTGTGTGTGGGGATAGATAAGTTGTGTGTGTGGATTAGATAAGTTGTATGTGGGGATTAGATAAGTTGTGTGTGGGGATTAGATAAGTTGTGTGGGGATTAGATAAGTTGTGTGTGGGGATTAGATAAGTTGTGTGTGGGGATTAGATAAGTTGTGTGTGGGGATTAGATAAGTTGTGTGTGGAGATTAGATAAGTTGTGTGGGGATTAGATAAGTTGTGTGTGGGGATAAGATAAGTTGTGTGTGGATTAGAAATGTAGTGTGTGGGGATTAGATACGTTGTGTGTGGGGATTAGATAAGTTGTGTGTGGGGATTAGATAAGTTGTGTGTGGGGATTAGATAAGTTGTGTGTGGGGATTAGATATGTAGTGTGTGGGGATTAGATATGTTGTGTGGGGATTAGATAAGTTGTGTGTGGGGATTAGATAAGTTGTGTGGGGATTAGATAAGTTGTGTGTGGGGATTAGATAAGTTGTGTGTGGGGATTAGATACGTTGTGTGTGGGGATTAGATAAGTTGTGTGTGGGGATAGATAAGTTGTGTGTGTGGATTAGATAAGTTGTGTGTGGGGATTAAATAAGTTGTGTGTGGGGATTAGATAAGTTGTGTGTGGGGATTAGATAAGTTGTGTGTGGGGATTAGATAAGTTGTGTGGGGATTAGATAAGTTGTGTGTGGGGATTAGATAAGTTGTGTGTGGGGATTAGATACGTTGTGTGTGGGGATTAGATAAGTTGTGTGTGGGGATAGATAAGTTGTGTGTGTGGATTAGATAAGTTGTGTGTGGGGATTAGATAAGTTGTGTGTGGGGATTAGATAAGTTGTGTGTGGGGATTAGATAAGTTGTGTGTGGGGATTAGATAAGTTGTGTGTGGGGATTAGATAAGTTGTGTGTGGGGATTAGATAAGTTGTTTGTGGGGATTAGATAAGTTGTGTGTGGGGATTAGATAAGTTGTGTGTGGGGATTAAATATGTTGTGTGTGGGGATTAGATAAGTTGTGTGTGGGGATTAGATAATTTGTGTGTGGGGATTAGATAAGTTGTGTGTGGGGATTAAATATGTTGTGTGTGGGGATTAGATAAGTTGTGTGTGGGGATTAAATATGTTGTGTGTGGGGATTAGATAAGTTGTGTGTGGAGGTAACTGGCCACGATGTATTAGATGAGCAGTTGTGTGTGGGGATTAGATAATTTGGGTGTGAGGATTAGATGTGCTTGGAGGTAACTGGCCACGATGAGCAGTTGTGTGGCTAGGCTAGAACCCTCTTCTTGAAGGATTCATGATTTGTTTCCTTGTATATTAAGCCAGCTATTTCTTCATTTTGTCCTACTGTTCAGGTTAACCCAGTTAAAGTGTACGTTTCCATTTATGTCTGTATTTATATTTATAAAAATCCTAATAGAACTAAGTTGAATAAAGGATAGCTCATTAATTTATTTAAAAAAAATGATGGCAGTTTAACGGTTTGTGAAAATATCATTTTCGTATCTCGCATTGGGTTCTGAGAAATATCTCAGCTTAATCTGAAATTAAGATAAGTAAATGAACGAAATGTAGGCCTACACGCCTTAAACCCATTTCATCTCTATCAAATATATATCAAATATATATCTGTTGAGTCTAGATTTCTAGCGCTCCACTGCGTCACTGGATTAAAAAAATACGAGAGAATATTTTTTTCAATTCATGTGATAACCGTTGCACTTATCTTGTTGGATCTTTAAATTTTTTTATTAAAACCGAGGTTTTAACACCCAACGTGCGTACATTCGATGATTTCCGTCCCTCCCCCACCCCCACCCACCCCCTATGTTTTCTTGCTCTAAAGACTACCTGTTCCCGGCTGGCTGGGTTCTTCATTAGTCACGTGACTAAGGTCTGGGATGGCCAAACGTTGATGTAATAGATGGATGGTTGAAGTTTTTAGTGTTACCGCCACAGTAAAAACTTCATTCTGAACTAGCGACTATTTTGTCAGTGAAAACAGACTCTGGAGACCCACAAACTCACTTTTGTATGTGTGAATGGGCCGAAGGAGGGGGGGAGGAAGAGGTCCGCTAAGTAGTTGGCATAGAAATTTCATGCCGGTTAGGACTTAAATAGCGGGCATCTCTTCGGGAGGGGGGTGGGGGCAAGTATCAAGATGACTGGTCAATTTCAAGTTGCTACGGGTCAGTGGTGACTGGTCAAGTCTAAGTTGCTACGGTTCAGTGGTGACTGGTCAAGTCTAAGTTGCTACGGGTCAGTGGTGACTGGTCAAGTCTAAGTTGCTACGGGTCAGTGGTGACTGGTCAAGTCTAAGTTACTAGGGGTCAGTGGTGACTGGTCAAGTCTAAGTTGCTACGGGTCAGTGGTGACTGGTCAAGTCTAAGTTACTAGGGGTCAGTGGTGACTGGTCAAGTCTAAGTTGCTACGGGTCAGTGGTGACTGGTCAAGTCTACGTTGCTAGGGGTCAGTGGTGATTGGTCAAGTCTAAGTTACTAGGGGTTAGTGGTGATTGGTCAAGTCTAAGTTACTAGGGGTTAGTGGTGATTGGTCAAGTCTAAGTTACTAGGGGTTAGTGGTGATTGGTCAAGTCTAAGTTACTAGGGGTTAGTGGTGATTGGTCAAGTCTAAGTTACTAGGGGTTAGTGGTGATTGGTCAAGTCTAAGTTACTAGGGGTTAGTGGTGATTGGTCAAGTCTAAGTTACTAGGGGTCAGTGGTGATTGGTCAAGTCTAAGTTACTAGGGGTCAGTGGTGATTGGTCAAGTCTAAGTTACTAGGGGTCAGTGGTGACTGGTCAAGTCTAAGTTACTAGGGGTCAGTGGTGATTGGTCAAGTCTAAGTTACTAGGGGTCAGTGGTGATTGGTCAAGTCTAAGTTACTAGGGGTCAGTGGTGATTGGTCAAGTCTAAGTTACTAGGGGTCAGTGGTGATTGGTCAAGTCTAAGTTACTAGGGGTCAGTGGTGATTGGTCAAGTCTAAGTTACTAGGGGTCAGTGGTGATTGGTCAAGTCTAAGTTACTAGGGGTCAGTGGTGATTGGTCAAGTCTAAGTTACTAGGGGTCAGTGGTGATTGGTCAAGTCTAAGTTACTAGGGGTCAGTGGTGATTGGTCACATCTAAATTGCAAGGAGTCGGTGGTAACTGGACATATACGTGAGTTGAGACTATGGTGTAAGTATGGCTGCTGGCAACGTTTGGACGTCACTTGTCTATTCTGGCGAAACTTTAACTCGCATAATCAATACTGCCTCAAGCCAAACGTAGTAGGTAATTTAATTTCACAGACAGCTGTTCAAAATTTGTATGAAATTCCTGTATGCAATATATTACTTTCATACATTGAAATCACTTGTAGTTTTGTAGTTTTATGAAAGGTCTCACAATCTGTATTGATCTGCATTACAAGCAAACGTGGCAGTAAGGGTTAGATTAGGACAAGATTTATTAGGTTTGGGGTCGCATGCTTGATTAGCAACGTCCGAAAAGGGAAGATTTTTTTCCTAAGAGAATCAACTTTTTTTCTAAAAATCTATTTTTGTTTCAAGAATTTTCTCTATTTTTTCAAGAATTATCTTTTTTTTTTTAATTCTTCTATTTTTCTAGAATCATCTCTACTTTTTCCAGAATTATCTAATTTTTTTCAAGAATTTTCTCTATTTTTCAAAATTATCTATTATTTTTATTTTTCTATTTTTCTAGAATTATTTCTACTTTGTCCAGAATTATCTATTTTTTTCTAGAATAATATCAGTTTTCTCTAGAATTATCCATTTTATCTAGAATCTTCTATTTTTCTAGAATTTTCTGTTTTTTTTTCCAATAACTATATATTGATCACGATTTCGTAACTCCGCGTGACGCTATGAATCCGCCTGTTCCCCACACACCAAAAATCCTCACGATTCGAGCACGATTTGCGACATTCTGACAGCGGTGAAGTGCATGGGGCAGAGTTGCATAATGCATTTACCTGATGGTGAGTTGAGTCGGTGCAAGGCGTGGGCGTACATGTTGAGGTGTTTACGTTTTTTTCTTTATCACAGGTTGGTGTTACCTGTGTTAGTGAGTTACCTGTGTTGTTACCTGTGTCGTGGTGTGTGTCACCTGTGTTGTATTGGTGTGTTACCTGTGTCGTGTTACCTGTGTTGTATTGGTGTGTTACCTGTGTCGTGTTACCTGTGTTGTATTGGTGTGTTACCTGTGTCGTGTGTTACCTGTGTTGTGTTACCTGTGTTGTATTGGTGTGTTACCTGTGTCGTGTGTTACCTGTGTTGTATTGGTGTGTTACCTGTGTTGTGTTACCTGTGTTGTATTGGTGTGTTACCTATGTTGTGTTACCTGTATGTGTTACCTGTGTGTTTTACCTGTGTGTGATACCTGTGTCGTGTCGGTGTGTTACTTGTGTCGTGTTGGTGTATTGTGTGTTACCTGTGTTGGTGTTTTATCTGTGTTGGTGTTTTACCTGTGTTATGTGTTACCAGTGTCGTGTTGGTGTGTTGTGTATTAACTGTTTGTGTGTTACCCGTGTTTATGTTACCTGTGTTGTGTGTTATCTGTATTCGTGTGCTGCCTGTGTTGTGATGGTGCTTTACCTGATATTATGCATGACAAACTAGTGAAGTGACATGCTGTATAACAGTCTAACTATATTAGCTGTCTTCTTTCTTCTTCTTCGTTCTTAATTATTCGTGTTGAAGGGGATCGAGATTTATCTGCCAGTGGGTTTGAACTCGAGACTTTGTTCGAATTTATCAACCATGAACTTTTTGCCGACTCGACCACGCCTCCAACACAATTAAGCGTTACGTGTCAACTGGTTATGCGCCATTTAGGTCATTGACTCCGATTTCAGCCTGCTTTTTTTTTTTTTGGATTTGCTTCCATAGCCTTTGTCCAACCAAGAACAAACTACAAGGCAGCAGTTGTTTAATTTTGGAGTTGTCTCTCCTAGAAGAGTGGCTGTCCCCAGCTAACGAGCCTCATCTGCCCGAGGGTTCGAACTCGAGACTTTTCGGTTTAGCAACCATGAGCTTTACCGACTCGACCACGCCGACCCCCACGCCGATATTAGCTGTATGACAGCCTAGTAAACTAAGTTGATGTACGATAGACTAATGAACAATGATGTTGTATGACAGAGGACCTTATGATATATGATAGAAGACCTTATGATGATGTTGAATGACATATGACCTTATGGCGATGTTGTATGACATATGACCTTATGATGATGTTGAATGACATATGACCTTATGGCGATGTTGTATGACATATGACCTTATGGGGATGTTGTATGACATATGACCTTATGGGGATGTTGTATGACATATGACCTTATGATGATGTTGAATGACATATGACCTTATGGCGATGTTGTATGACATATGACCTTATGATGATGTTGAATGACATATGACCTTATGGCGATGTTGTATGACATATGACCTTATGATGATGTTGAATGACATATGACCTTATGGCGATGTTGTATGACATATGACCTTATGGGGATGTTGTATGACATATGACCTTATGGGGATGTTGTATGACATATGACCTTATGATGATGTTGAATGACATATGACCTTATGGCGATGTTGTATGACATATGACCTTATGATGATGTTGAATGACATATGACCTTATGGCGATGTTGTATGACATATGACCTTATGGGGATGTTGTATGACATATGACCTTATGGGGATGTTGTATGACATATGACCTTATGATGATGTTGTATGACATATGACCTTATGATGATGTTGAATGACATATGACCTTATGGCGATGTTGTATGACATATGACCTTATGATGATGTTGAATGACATATGACCTTATGGCGATGTTGTATGACATATGACCTTATGGGGATGTTGTATGACATATGACCTTATGGGGATGTTGTATGACATATGACCTTATGATGATGTTGTATGACATATGACCTTATGGCGATGTTGTATGACATATGACCTTATGGGGATGTTGTATGACATATGACCTTATGGGGATGTTGTATGACAGATGACCTTATGGTGATGTTGTATGACATATGACCTTATGCTGATGTTGTATGACATATGACCATATGATGATGTTGTATGACAGATGACCTTATGGTGATGTTGTATGACATATGACCTTATGGTGATGTTGTATGAAAGATGACCTTAGGCTGATGTTGTATGACAGATGACCATCTGATGATGTTGTATGACAGATGAGATACTCATATGACAGATGCTGTAGTAGTTGGTCACACACCAGTAATCTGTTGTCGTGTGACGCTTGTCGTGTGACGCTTGTTGTGTGACGCTTGTCGTGTGACGCTTGTCGTGTGACGCTTGTTGTGTCTAGCGAATTGTTGGTCCAGGATCAGTCGTCTTACAAACATGTACGCTGTTGAGATCAGTGACCTGTAACGGCCATTACCTTAATTAGCCCATGTTTTGATAGGGCACCGAATTAGCAAGTAGCGAATGGCTGAACGATACAGCCGCAGTACTCGAGGAGGCAACTCTTGTTTGTCTTAATGAGTTACGCGCCCCTGTCAACATGTTTTTTTCTGCTCCACAGCAAACAACGACAAACATGCTCTCAATGTTGGCAGTGGTGCTGGTGCTTCATGCTTTGGCTGGAATTACCTGCAGTTTACAGGTGAGTAGGTGTGACTGGTTTTTGGCCGACAGGAAGGTTGGCATTGTGTCGTTTGTGGGGTTATTATTATACAGGTACATAATTTTAAAAATTCCAAATGTAGTATATTAGACGGTCCAATTTACAAGTAATTTATTACATTTTACAGTTTATTAGGATAAACAAACCATTTTTTTACCTAGACATAAAGTATTTATTAGCTATGTAATGTAGGACAGGATGGAAATTTCCGTAGCTTCACCTGTTTAGTCATCTTGAGAAATGTGTTTGGGTCGACACGACACAGTCAGAAATGTGTATGGGTCGACACGACTTAGAAAATGTGTATGGGTCGACACGACATAGAAATGTGTATGGGTCGACACGACATAGAAATGTGTATGGGTCGACACGACATAGAAATGTGTATGGGTCGACACGATATGGCCAGAAATGTGTATGACTTGACATGACATGGCCAGAAATGTGTATGGGTCGACACGACATAGAAATGTGTATGGGTCGACACGACATAGAAATGTGTATGGGTCGACAAGAGATAGAAATGTGTATGGGTCGACACGACATAGAAATGTGTATGGGTCGACACGACATAGAAATGTGTATTCGTCGACACGACACAGCAAGAAATATGTATGGGTCGACACGTTTCTTAAAATTCTCTTAAGAGAAAGCGATGTATTCAGTTTGAACGATTGCTAAAAATCTACATCTTGGCCACGCCTTAGTTTTTACATGCAAATTAAAGATAGAATCTTGGCACTCTTCGTATATATATGGAGAATCTTGAATATTTAATTGATCTCCACCATCGCTCCCCTGCCCTCAGATCAACTCAAGTTTTGACTATCTTATGCCTGGCTCACTGGTTCGCTTGTTTACTGCGGGCCGGCGGGTTAACTCGAGGCTCACGATTTAATTGGGTTACTAACCCAGGGGGTCTTAAGTTCAATTTTTTACAAGAGGGCAAACTCCAGCCCACTCGGGCACTTGGCATCGTGGTGGTCACCAGAGTTTCTTCCAGGCATCTCTTCGGGGGGGGGGGGGGGGGGGGTCGAAGCACCCCCCCCCCCCTCGAATATAGTCTACCGCCCCCCCCCGAACGAAATGGAATTTATATAGTAAACATATACTTTCACCAGTTCCCCCCCCCCCCCCCCCCCAAAAATATCAAGTGCCCTCCCCCCCCCCCCCCCCCCCTGTAGAAAAAAAGTCTGGAAGAAACACTGGTGGTCACACAATTCCTTCACATGCCGAGGTCAATAAGAATCAGGTGGACCCTACTTCATCCGTCACGTTATCTCTTGCACACGTGATGTAGTCACGTGATGTAGTGATGTGGTCATGTGTGTTGTGTGTTCCAGCTATTAATTAACATGTACAATCGTTGACTAAGATTCCCCCCCCCCCCTCTATCTTATCACCCAGACCAAGCCAGCTCATGATGGAACCTCTCTGGCACAAACTTTGTTCGGAGGAAACTTTCAACAGCTCACACCCGGCACTAAGGATCTCAAAGTAAGTTCTGTTGTCCTTGTAAAATTCTTTAATAAAAAAGTGGATCTTATTCTTAATGTAGGTACATTTTTCTTTGTGAATTTCTGTCATTTGATCTTCAACAGTGTTTCTTCCAGACTTTTTTCTCCGGCAGGGGGCAGACACTGATAAAAGTATATGTTTTCTATATAAATTCAATTTCGTTCGGAAAGGGGGGGGGGGAGGGATCTGTCTCACGAAGAAACTCTGATCTTAAAGTATGTTCAGTTTTTCTTGGTAAGTTTGTTATTTGGATCTTAAGGTAAGCTTACTGACTTACTGGCTGAAAATATTTTGGTGAAACTGCTGATGGGGCCTGACGGCTGGTATCAATGCATGTTCATTAAAAAAGAACAACGGCCCTTCTTAGAAAAAAAATGATTCTATTAAATATATGGTTCTATTAGCAAAATGCTTCTGTGATCAGTGTAGTGCAGTCTCACGGTTTTGCAGATCATCTCCCCCCCCCCCCTCCCCCCACGTTTCGTAATCTGATCTAAAGAAAAATGAAACGTAAAGTAGTTGTATATTTGAGCGCTAGTGGTATAAATGTTTCTATGAATGACTGGTGTTGACTTCAAATGAACGATTCACTTTTGCCTTACAGCCAAAGAAGCTGATGCGGCGACTGGGAAAAGATTTCAATGCCTTCTGGATGTCAACAGAACTCCCCCACGACCTGCTCAAGCTACATGTGCAGGCCAAAACCGACTCGGCTTTGATTCCAGACCTGGAGAGCACCAACCTGCAGGCTTTGGAGCAGACGCTCCGCGCCAAGTACGGGCGCGACAACGTCAGCGGGGACGACGGCGGGGTGGACGCGGTGGATCAGCTGGCTGGTGGCGGGGATCTGGTGGAGCACGTGATGCGGCTGGTGCAGACGTGGCTGGTGGAGAAGGCGTCGTGCCGCGTGTACTACCAGTGGGAGGACCTGGGGCTCCTCTTCTGGCCCCGCTGGATCAAGCGCGGCCTGTGTCAGCCGCCAGAGGGCGCGCTTCACACAATGGCCGCCCCCAAACCTGCCGCCTGCTCGTGGCCGCCCGGCATGCACTGCGTTGCCGCCAAACCGAAGACCATCCAAGTCCTCAGGTGGGCGTGTCGATACAAGCCCATCAGACGGTTGGACCGGAAGCCCAGATCGACCGTGGCAGAAAACGGAAGTCGGAACAACACGCACCACGAGACGCCGAATTTCGATCTCGTCAAATACAGGATACAAAACTCGAACGGGTCGGACACCCATGTCACCATGCGACCAAACACGTTCATTCATCTGCTCAGCAGACACGAGGGGCGGTCGTCTGGTAGAAAGGACGAGTACAATGAGACCGAGGACGAGAAGAAAAGGGGGACAACCATGAAATGCAAATGGGAAAAGATCAAACTGCCGGTGACTGATGAATGCTTTTGTTCATGTTAAAAAAATTCTTCGATGTTAATTTATTTTGAATTAATTTAATCTTCCGATGGCTAACTCTTGATGTCAGTCATAGCTGACCCTTGATGTCAGTCATGTTGTAGCGGGTGAAAGTTTGTCTTGATGTAAGTTAATTTAATGATGGATGACATTGTCTGTGTAAGTTTATCTGATGATCTCTATATCCCTCATGACTGCCTGCTATTTGCAGACAACTAAATGATACCAACAGTAAGGAACTATTTGTAATGAACTACTAGTAGTAGTAGTTTACCAGTACCACATGTAGGGAACTAATATTTACAACTACTACGATTAAGGAGCTAATCGATGACCAATTCCAATGAATTAAATGTTACCCCTATTATAACATGAAACACGAATTAAATATTACCCCTAGTATAAAATGAATTAAATGTAACCCCTAGTATAACATGAAACAGCATATTCACACTCAATACCAACACATTCCCGTGTTTGGAAAATTTTTTGTAGATACTTTTTAAAAAAAAAATCTTCCCTCAAAGATACATATTTTAGATCCTTGGATCATGAAAAATGTTCCTTCAACCTTGCAGATATTTGTCCTCTGCTAAATGTGAGCTATTTATTGTAATAACTTTATAACTGAAACCATAACAGAATAAAAAAGACAACCACAGAGGCATGTTGATCTGTTTATTGATTGAAATGGTTTAAGGCTAAAGACAGTACAAGACATGTTTTCTGATGAACTTTTCCCTTTGTTGTGGCCCCAGTCCCAGCAGCGCCCTCTGGTGAATTTCTGCTGACTTGACACAATCTTTGGCTACAGCTGATTCAAAGTGGATGTAATTCAGCCAAATATCTGCAATGTACAAAACACATTTGCAACACACAACACAAAAATATGTGAGACACAACACAAATAATTAAAAAATCTGCAACATCAACACAAACATTACACACATAAAAACAAATATCTGCAAGATACAATGCACAAATAAACATAAGCAAACATAACATACAAATATCTGAGGTACATCAGCTACAAATATCTGCAACAAACACACATCTACATTCATGATACATCACCAATATCTGCAAGATCTAAAACACAAAAAATACCTTCAACATGCAATACAAAAACATCTGCAACATACCAGCTTACTTAAGCACTGAGACAACACACACTTTTATAATTGCTTAGAAAAATAAAAAAGAAAAGACACCTTTCAAAAAGACAAAAACACCTACAATTAAAACAACCTGACAACAACACCTACAATTAAAACAACCTGACAACAACACCTACAATTAAAACAACCTGACAACAACAACTACAATTAAAACAACCTGACAACAACACCTACAATTAAAACCACCTGACAACAACAACTACAATTAAAACAACCTGACAACAACACCTACAATTAAAACAACTTGACAACAACACCTACAACTAAAACAACCTGACAAAAACACCTACAACTAAAACAACCTGACAAAACACCTACAACTAAAACAACCTGACAAAACACCTACAATTAAAACAACCTGACAAAAACACCTACAATTAAAACCACCAGACCCAACTTACCAGACTGTGTATGACCAAACTCCACCACTGCCTCTTCAAATGCTGCACGTATAAGGTCATGTTTAATTTTTAACTAGATGGGGAAGAAAAAGGTTAAATGCCAGGCTCTATGGAGGTAAAGAAAGGTTAGGCTTAATTAATTACAAGTAGTTTTGGCTCTGGCCTTGAGTAAAGCCAGTTCTGATGGGTACCATTTGGGGAAAGCCTGGCTACACAACCCAACCAATAGCTGAAGTCAGAGATCCAGATGAACTCTACTGCACCAGAAAACATGTCACAGTGACCTGACCAGGTGCCCCACCATCTATCCCTGGTATAGCCACTGACAGCTTGTTGCAATTCATTTAACTCTCTCCCACCTGTGTGTCCAGTACAATTAGGAGGAGGGGAGGAGAGGATGGACGACAATACATTAATTAGTGTTGGCTGAGTGTTTCTTGAGGTCACAGAGTGCTAACAGTGTAGGACGTACATAACTAACATACCTGTGAAGATTCCATCTGAATGTACAGTCTAAAGAACTCAGCACTCACAGGCCGCATAGACTTTAAGCTGAAAAAAAAGGTTGGTCTAAAAACCTCATGTAACACATAGCAGTCCCCCACACACCCCAACATCATATTGGAATATTTTTTTATATGACATGAGAGGTAATCTCCCCACACAGCTGACCTGTTAATTATCCCACAACTGACCTATTATCCCACACCACTAACCTGTCATAAATCTGACCTATGACCCACACAACTGACCTGTTATCTCATACACAACTGACCTATGACCCAAACAACTGACCTATGACCCACACAACTGAACAATGACCGACACAACTGACCTATGACCCAGACAACTGACCTGTTATAAACTTGACGCAGTTCTTTGATACCACAGTGTTGAAATGACCAGTGGAGATACCAGACCTTGGCAGGCTTACACAGCTGAGCTGTGACGCTTCGACAGGCTTTCTGCTCAAGGGAACAAATAATTAGGGAACATAGTTTTCTGGTCAAGGGAACAAATGATAGGGAACATAGTTTTCTGCTCAAGGGAACAAATAATAGGGAACATAGTTTTTTTGCTCAAGAGAACAAATACTACGGAACATAGTTTTTTCCTCAAGGGAACAAATAATAGGGAACATAGTTTTGAGATTCTGACATTTGACCAATTGAAAGTCTACCTGTGAATGTACCATGTACCATCTTACCATGACTAAAGGCTGAACCTCCTCTATATTTATGTTGGTTAAGTAGTTGAGCATTAATTCCCACAAAGGCCAGGAATCCTGTTAAAAGATAAAAATTCAGTCAGTAGTTATAATGTTACACATTACACCTGAGTCAGTAGTTTATACCCGCCCCCCCTTCTTACAGTTTATACTTCCCTCCTTACACAGCACCCCAAACAGTAGTTTATAATCCCCTCCTAACACAACAAAAGACGGAGACACTCACCTCTCTTGAGACATGTTTGGTGGCAGTTTGAAAAACATCTTGCAGCTTGTCGTGCCCCTGCCCTGACTCTGCCCTCAGCCTGATGTGCCACAATGGCACACACGTCGGGTGGTCTTTGGTGGCCAGCCTTGACACAGCTAGCAGGTCTTCAGCCATGCCTAGCTGCTGCAGCAATTCTAGCTGGGGAACAGTTGTATGTTTAAGACAGACCTACCAGTGGTATGTATAAGACATACGCAAGACAAGACATACGTAAGACAGACCTACCAGTTGTATGTATAAGACATACGCAAGACAAGACATACGTAAGACAGACCTACCAGTTGTATGTATAAGACAGACCTACCAGTTGTATGTATAAGACATACGTAAGACAAGACATACTTAAGACAGACCTACCAGTGGTATGTATAAGACATACGCAAGACAAGACATACGTAAGACAGACCTACCAGTTGTATGTATAAGACAGACCTACCAGTTGTATGTATAAGGAAGACAGACCTACAAGTTGTATGTATAAGGAAGACAGACCTACCAGTTGTATGTATAAGGAAGACAGACCTACCAGTTGTATGTATAAGGAAGACAGACCTACCAGTTGTATGTATAAGGAAGACAGACCTACCAGTTGTATGTATAAGGAAGACAGACCTACCAGTTGTATGTATAAGGAAGACAGACCTACCAGTTGTATGTATAAGGAAGACAGACCTACCAGTTGTATGTATAAGGAAGACAGACCTACAAGTTGTATGTATAAGACAGACCTACCAGTTGTATGTATAAGACATACGTAAGACAAGACATACATAAGACAGACCTTCCAGTTGTATGTATAAGACAGACCTACCAGTTGTATGTATGTATAAGACAGACCTACCAGTTGTATGTATAAGACATACGTAAGACAAGACATACGTAAGACAGACCTACCAGTTGTATGTATAAGACATACGTAAGACAAGACATACGTAAGACAGACCTACCAGTTGTATGTATAAGACATACGTAAGACAAGACATACGTAAGACAGACCTACCAGTTGTATGTATAAGACATACGTAAGACAAGACATACGTAAGACAGACCTACCAGTTGTATGTATAAGATAGACCTACCAGTTGTATGTATAAGACATCAGATAAAAATCCCAGCTGAATGGCCCTCTCAGACAGCTGTAGTGTTGACTTGGTCAGCTGAGGTAGACAAAAAATGTTGGACATTGTTATGGAGGGGGGACGGGACTATTTTGTATTTTGGTAAGTTGAATGTATATCCTAATACTCAAAAGATCACACTTGTAAACGATCTACTATTAAATGTAGAATTAATAACAACATTTATTTTATGATACATGGGAGAATGTTTGAAAAGAAATGTATGACCTACCCACTCCGTCCGGCTGAGTTCTGCCCTTTGTGTTAGACCTAGCAGGGCTGTCAGACACAGGGACCACATCTCATCTACAGAAACAATTTCAGGTGGGGTTAAGTCATTTGTGTGGGTGTGTGTGGTGTGGCTGTGTGTGTGTGGGGGGGGGGGGTACATGTGTCAGACACAGGGACCACATCACATATACAGAAACAAATTTATGTGGAATCAAGTCATTTGTGTGTGCGTCAAACTGTATTTCTAGATTTGCGTCTGTATGTATTTCTAGATTCTATAGTCTGCTGTTGCTGGTCTAGCGTAAAAAAACGTTGCTCGAACCGGATTTACCCAACATTTAAACACTATTAAGGAAAACGAGCAAAGGGAGATAATTCGACTTTGTTTTAATTTACAATTTCAATATATATATATATATATATATATATATATATATATATATATATATATATATATATATATATATATATATATATATATATATATATATATATATATCCGATGTATAAGTTTAACCAGAAAAAAAAAACAATTATTTTTATTTCAAATGTATTTCATTGTACCGTTATTTAGTTAGTAGATTAGAATCCCACACACACGGATATGCAAACCCGCCCCTTACAAAGAATGAAACGCCTATGGTGGCAATTACACCCCAGAGACACACTTAACTCTTAATTCCACCAAAATGTCAGTAATCTTTTGACCTGATATTACGATGTCCGCTAAAACTTCCATGTTGATACGATAGTCTAAAAAAAAATCTATATCATCTAGTTTTGTCAAGTACTGAGCAGGCCGTCATCTTGTGACTAAGATGTTAGTTGTTCAGGGGAAACAACTGACGCAGTTCACGATCTCCGTGATAACAAGGAGTAGCAGGTGCAAGGGGGAGAACTGGGCAAAGATATTTCTTCAGCCATTACAGCCCGGGATGAAAGAAGAATGACGAAGACAGAAAATACTTCGATTTTTTAAAAAGCTCTTTACAAGGAGGTTGAGGTTACACACAGTTTTGTGTAGAATATATGTAGAAATAATTTTTTTAAAGCTCTTTTCAAGATGGTAGAAGCTACACAGTTTTTGTGTAGAATATATGTACACATATTTTTAAAGCTCTCTACAGGACGATAGAAGCTTCACGTAGAATATATGTAGAAATATAATTTTTTTTTAAAGCTCTTTACAAGACGGTAGAAGCTACACTTGCACGGGATCCTGTATGCTCTACAACACACTATATACCCATGTTACCACACACTGACCTCAGATTACCATACACTGACCCCAATGTATGACCATCCACTGACCCCAATGTATGACCATACACTGACCCCAATATATGACCATACACTGACCCCAATGTATGACCATACACTGACCCCAATATATGACCATACACTGACCCCAATATATGACCATACACTGACCCCAATATATGACCATACACTGACCCCAATATATGACCATACACTGACCCCAATATATGACCATACACTGACCCCAATGTATGACCATACACTGACCCCAATATATGACCATACACTGACCCCAATATATGACCATACACTGACCCCAATATATGACCATACACTGACCCCAATGTATGACCATACACTGACCCCAATGTATGACCATACACTGACCCCAATGTATGACCATACACTGACCCCAATATATGACCATACACTGACCCCAATATATGACCATACACTGACCCCAATATATGACCATACACTGACCCCAATGTATGACCATACACTGACCCCAATATATGACCATACACTGACCCCAATATATGACCATACACTGACCCCAATGTATGACCATACACTGACCCCAATGTATGACCATACACTGACCCCAATATATGACCATACACTGACCCCAATATATGACCATACACTGACCCCAATGTATGACCATACACTGACCCCAATATATGACCATCCACTGACCCCAATGTATGACCATACACTGACCTCATATTACCATACACCGTTACCACAATGTAGGCCTACTGGTCAGCAGATTGGATCAATCACTGACCAGCCCCTACAACCATAGCCGCTCATTACCACAGACCAGACCCCATGAATTATCTGTCAGCCCGCCTGACGTTAGCGGTCGATCCAAAGATAAGGCAAACAAGGGGGCAAAACTTGTGGTACAAACAAGGGGGAAAAACTCGTGGTACAAACAAGGGGACTGAACTTGTGGTACAAAGTAGGGACAAACAAGGGGACGAAACTTGTGGTTCAAAGAGAGACAAATAAGGGGACAAAACTTGTGGTACAAACAAGGGGGAAAAACTTGTGGTACAAACAAGGGGACTGAACTTGTGGTACAAAGTAGGGACAAACAAGGGGACGAAACTTGTGGTTCAAAGAGAGACAAATAAGGGGACAAAACTTGTGGTACAAACAAGGGGGAAAAACTTGTGGTACAAACAATGGGACTGAACTTGTAGTACAAAGTAGGGACAAACAAGGGGACGAAACTTGTGGTTCAAAGAGAGACAAATAAGGGGACAAAACTTGTGGTACAAACAAGGGGACAAAACTTGTGGTACAAAGTAGAGACAAACAAGGGGAAGAAACTTGTGGTACAAAGTAGGGACAAACAAGGGGACAAAACTTGTGGTACAAAGAGAGACAAACAAGGGGACAAAACTTGTGGTCCAAAGTAGGGACAAAACTTGTGGTCCAAAGTAGGGACAAAACTTGTGGTCCAAAGTAGGGACAAAACTTGTGGTCCAATGTAGGGACAAACAAAGGGACAAAACTTGCACAACTTGTTAGAAATGAGTAAACGGTTTCCTCTCCACTCAAGTAGCCCATCACATAGATAAATTATGCCAATAAAGAAAACAACTGGGTGACGGGTGCAGGGGGGGGGTGGTGGGAGGTGTCATGGCAACCAATAAAACTTCCTCCAACATCTTTCTCCCGTTATTCCAAGGCTGAAATGACCAACCCTTTCAATAACTTGCACTTGTACAGCCTATTCTAACGGTGCCTAATCCTAACCCATCCCAAACCAAACAACTGTCATTTATCTTGTTTCAGGGATCAGTACCAAAAACGTTTCTATCATTTCTAGCAAGAAAAGAGCATTTTCTTTTCTAAGCCCGCGGCCATTCTGCTGAATTACACGCCTGTATTCATGTATAAACACACACGTTTTAAGGCCCGGGCGGGCGACAAGTTTTTAATTTGCAGACGTCGAATTCTAAAGGTAGCAACAACAATTGAACCTTTATCCGCCGCTGGGAAAAAATCTGGGGGGAGGTGGAGCCGTGTTTCAAAAAAGGGCCAATAAAAACGGCAGCGATGAGAGGCAGAGTTTGCTGGCACGCGGTGTCTGAGCGGGGTGTGTGTGTAGCATTGTGACCTTTGACACGGATACACCAAATTTTTGATGGGGGACGGCAAGCAGAAGCCAAGTAAGTTTTTCGTTGAAAGTTTTTGATGAATACATGTGTTCACTTAGACTAGGGCTGATAACGGTATAATCTAGTTGTTTGTTTAGTTAGACTTAGTGTGTGTGTAATGGGTGGAGAAAGAGGCAGTGAAATTGAAGCCTTTAACGTGTATATAAGTAAAGCTATTTAGGAATACATAGACAAAATACACAGAGGTGTACTAGTAGAGTAGTATAGATTATAGATAGCTCACCCTACGGTGTTTCTTGTCTAAAATGTACAGTGACTAATAGCGGTGTGGATCAACATAGCAAATGCCAAATAGGCCTAAACGTAAAAGTAGTAAGGTCCGTTTGATGATTGGGGGGGGGGGGGGCGCAATGTTGGTTTATCATTAAAACTGAAAAATAAAATTTATAAATATATATCTAGATCTACTCATACTTTTGTTGTTAAATATTAAATAGCTTCAAATATAAAATAGATTGAATATAAATAGGCCTTATATAGTAAAGTTTATTTTTTTAAAATTCTTTAAAGTAATTACAGCCTAAAGGCCCTATAGATCTAATTTCATTTTTATCTAGCAATAAAACAAAGAAGGGGGGGGGGGGCCTTGTAGTTTTAGTTCTTCAAGTTTTTAAAATGTGCTAAATACTTTGCTCTATTTGGTTGTTACGGCCCAATATAAAAAAAATAACCCGTATCAGTTCCTGAACTTTGTCCCATTAGATGGCAATGGATTCAGATTTATATTCATTGATTTTTTAAATAGGTTTTTTAAATCGTGCAGTGGAGTATGTGTATTTCTCACGCTCTAGTGGGCCATAGATTTATAGATTGACCGGCTCCCACAACAGCTAGAGCTCGCTGGCCAAATCGCTGACGGGGCTAGTAGGTCAGTATTTATGAACCAGATTGTATCGCGTCGACCGCCCCCCCCCCCCCCTTCCACGGTCCATGGCTGATATGCCTGCTTGCAATGAGGAATGTGAAAATTAGATGAACACACATTCCAATCTTTGTTGCCACCTGTCTTTTTTTCTTTCTCACGCCTCAACCATTGACTTTGTCATCACCCCTCCCTCCCCCTCCCCCCATTGTTATGGCCGGGGACCAGTGTTGATGTTTTCAGGCAAACACGAGTTCGTGTGCTGGAGAGAAATTATTTCCCCTGATTTAATGGGGCAATATTTGCCCCAGCGGTGCCTTCCCCTCTGACTAAACAACAGCGTTTTCCTGTTTCCAACTGACTTTTAAAAAAGTTGTTCCCTAGGTCCAAATATTCTGGGAAAACTTGTAAAAAAAAAAAAAGACACACCGGATATGTGTTAGCTAGAGCTAGTATGAGATGGTGCTAGCAAGGCCAGTGAAACTTGTTTTCTCCATCAGAATAGTCACGAATAGGTGCTCTACACATTCTTTAACCAATGTAAAATACTTTGAAATAACGGCGGCCATTCTTCGCAGTAAAATGTAAGCAGCACCTGATACTGTAAAAATCTATTTACTTTTCTTAGCTTAACATTAAAAAAAATTTAATCATGAGATACTTTTGTTTTCCTTAGGGCCATGGACACCAACTGATGTAGAACTGGATGAGAACACAAGTCTACACATAGACCCACTGGTCTACTAGCTTATATCTGCCCTAGCTTCTATGTCTGCCTAGAGACTTAAAGATGAACCCTCTATTCTATGCTGGGATCATCATCCCAACAGTCATCACCATTCTGCTCTTTTGTATTTTTATTTACTGCTGGTAAGTTTTTTTTATGTTCTGTTTTATCATACAGTAAATATGGTCATATTTATATTTAGGTAAAAATTGATACTTTTATGTACCATATTTTTATGGTCTACTTTAAACTGTAAACTCAACTGTCTAGATGACATACTGTTATATTTTTAACATCATCCACCAAGTTCCAGAAGATTCTATTGTTTCCTCACTAGGTTCATACAAAAAGCTAGGAAGGAGGTTCTGACAAAAAAGTTTGACCCCCATGGGAAGATGCGGGACATGGGTCTATCCGTGGAGTCCCAGACATTTTACTATCAGAACGGTAAAGACAATGGGGGCTATGTCGTCAGTCCATCAACAGAGCAACAGGCACAAAACATGTGTCACCATGACAACAGTACAGAAACTGGTCAAACTTTGTGTCACCAAGACAGCAATATATCAGCTGGCACTGTCCACATGTATCACCATGACAACAATACAGCAGCAGCTTCTGTTCAAAACATGTGTCACCAAGACAGCAATATACCAGCTGGCACTGTCCACATGTATCACCATGACAGCGATATGGCCAATGGGCATGTACAAACTATATATCACCACAACATACCAGGCGCTCCTATCCAAACCATGTATCACCATGAGAGCCACATACCATCAGCTGTCCAAACTACGTATCACCATGAGAGCCACATACCATCAGCTGTACAAACCATGTATCACCATGAGCACCACATACCAGCTGCCCCACCCCAAACCATGTATCACCCTGATGGCTACACGCCAGCCAGCCACATGAGTGAGAATCAGATGCACTCTGTCTTCACTTGTTCCAATTCTTCAGCTTTCCTACCAGGCCCCAGCCAAGAAATGGAGATCATGGTCTCCGCCCACCCCTACCACGGCGTCTGTTACGGTGACTGCACGTCCCCGGATCTGAACCCAGGACGGGGGCTCTACCCTCACGACCAGCCTCCCCTGAGCGAGGACGCGGAGTTCTACCAGCTCTACCACCTAGTGGATGTGTCCAACCACCTGGCCAGGTTCAGCCAGCTTGACCGCAGGCCAGTGTACTCGTCTCAGCCCAGCTACCACTGTGGTCATCAAGCTCTCCCTCCCCTCAACTACCCCGCCAGACAAGGCAGTGTGGGGAACCTGGATGCCTGTCGGTCCGCTGACCACTGTCCAGACACCAGCCATCGCCCAGACTCCCTCTTGTCACATTCCTCCAGCACAGACTCCCAAGACTCGGGCTTCCCTAGCTCAGTGTGCACCACCCACGACAAAAACGCTCAGGTCATTAAAAAAGACAAGAGGACCCCACCCGCGCAGGAAATACTTAACGCCCAGCACCTTCATGCCGCAGGTCAGGGGTCGGGCCAAAGGAGCTGGATCCCAACCACGGGGTCAGGTTATGTGCCGGGGTCCCACTACAGAAACTCAGCTCAGCCCGCCACAAGGTCCCACCCAAACAGCCCCGGGACCTCCAGACTTAAATTCACGCAGGATTTGTGTGAGTACTCAGTGGTGTGAGTTATAGGGTAGCTATGACATGCCATAGACATTTATTGACCTAGTGTAAACAGTGGATACAATCACTGATGTATCATGGCCATTCATCAACCATATGTGGAGTTGAATGAGAATAATCTGTGCTTTAAGTGGATATCCAGCAGAGCAAAGAACTTAATATTCTTACATTTACATGTTTAGTGTGGATAGCTAGCTTACATATGGATACTGTGATGCAAAATGTGGATACCCCAATACCAGTAATATATGTGGTTATGTTGTACATTTTTTTAAGCCTAGTGATAAAGCTTATGTAAATATGTATTGAATATGTTAATGTGTTAATTTATAATTAAGTTATATGCAGAACATGGTAGGTTTTAAATCCTCTCATCCTGGGTGTATCAAAAATGTGTACATAAACCATTTTTAACATAGATGATTTACCGCATTGTTAACATTTAACTTCTTTTCCCCAACTAAACCTTGTATCTGACACATTAATTCCCCAAACTAAACCTTGTATCTGACACATTAATTCCCCAACTAAACCTTATATCTGACATTAACCACCTGCTCTTTTTCTATGCCACAGAAATAGCTCTTTTTCCTAGAAACTGTACTATTTTTTTAAGCCCATATTACCCTTTGTTACAGTTCTTAAATGTGCATTATTCTAAGTCAGCATTTTTCATTGTGCCTTATTTTGGCTGTACCATTTTGGCTGTATATCATGTGTTCATAGAAATACCTCTTTGCGCTGCTTATTGTTGATACAACGTATCATAATGATAGAAGTCATCTTTTTTTGTATAACTATTATTTGTTGGAATAAACAGAAATCAACAATACAGCAGCTTTATGTTTTGTATATTAAAATCTACAACCATCTCTAGTATAGACCTAAAAGTGTAAATTTTACAATCATAAAGAGGGAATTTAAAAAAAAAAAGTGCCCTTTGAGTTCACCTATTTCAGTGACCATGGTCTATGAGAATTAATGTGTATGCTCAACCACTTTTACTTTCCCTGACGTTGATTCAGGTACCCATCAGAGCTGGGTGAATACAAACTTGATCACAAAGATGAACAGATGGAATGAATCAAAGAGTGTATGATACAAAATATCTGTCATATGAGTGATGTTTGGGGTGAATCAAAGAGAGTATGACACCACATGACAGATGTCATATGAGTGATGTTTGGGGTGAATCAAAGAGAGTATGACACCACATGACAGATGTCATATGAGTGATGTTTGGGGTGAATCAAAGAGAGTATGACACAACATGACTGATGTCATATGAACGTGATGTTAGGGGTGAATCAAAGAGTGTATGACACAACATGACTGATGTCATATGACTGATGTTTAGGGTGAATCAAAGAGTGTATGACAACACATGACCGATGTCATATGAGTGATGTTTGGGGTGAATCAAAGAGTGTATGACAACACATGACAGATGTCATATGAGTGATGTTTGGGGTGAATCAAAGAGTGTATGACACCACATGACTGACAGATGTCATATGAGTGATGTTTGGGGTGAATCAAAGTGTGTATGACACAACATGACTGATGTCATATGAGTGATGTTTGGGGTGAATCAAAGTGTGTATGACACAACATGACTGATGTCATATGAGTGATGTTTGAACTTGTTTGCTAGTCTGTTGGGTACATTTGTGTTAGTCCATTATGTACTCACCATTAGGCAATTTCTCTAAGGCTTTTTCATAGACAGCCAGACACTTGCTTATTGCTTCTTTACGGTGCCCTGTTGAATACATTTTACAGTAAATAACCACAGTGTTCTGTGCATCACATGTCAACAATCTGACTGATAGCAGCTTCATTAGTTCAAAATTTTTACATTCATCTCTTTTGTCTAACATTTTTTTGTACCGAAAGTTAGAAATTAAATTTAAAGATTAACATCTCAGGCATTTCACACCACTGTACTTTTTAAAATACTGTGACACATTAATTCTAACAATCGATGTAAGAAAAAGTTGCTTGAAATCTAATCCTTACCTTTAGATACTGTTTTAATCTTGTTGATATATCTTAAGGCTAATCCATTCCAAACTTTAGGGTTATCCGGGTAAGATTCTTCCAAGCTAAATGGAAACAAAAATTCATTTAGAAAGCTCATACAATTTTTGCAGAGTGAAGAAAATTTAACAGTTGGTGATTACAACACTCCTGGTAGGTAGCTAGAGTGGCAGCAATAACAAACAATTTTACATTAGACTATAACTAAATGTGTGCAGGACAAAACAAAGGCCATAACTGATGAAAAAACTCACTCAGACACTATTAAATCTTGCAGTGGTCTCCCTTCTTTTACTGAGCAGCAAATGATGAGAAGCTTCAAATGAAGATCAGCCCGACCTGACAAAATTAAGAAAAATGCTGTCATCTAATTTTTTTTTAAAATTAATAACTAAAGATTTTAAACTGATAAAATGTCAGTCATCTATGTTATATATGGAAACTTAATACTTGAAATTTTACATTGATTAAATGCCAGTCATAAAAAACAAAACTAAAAGTTTAAAAAAAAAAAATTAAATTTTTTTCCTAACCCACTAATTACAGGGTGCTAAAACATATTACAAACCCACCAGGAAAGATTTCCTTTGATTTGTTGTAAATTATAAAGGGTAGCCGTAACTCTGGTGCAAGTTCATTTTCTCCATTTGTCTGTTGAAGAAAATTTGTATCAAAATAAACTATTTCTGTTCAACAGATACATATAAAGTGAAGTTAAGACTAGTCCACAAGAAAATCAAGCAGATAAATATACCTCATTTGTTGATATCTTTAAAATTGCTTTTCTCTTGATTAACACTTTAGCTAGTTGAAGCTCCATGCGAAACATCTAAAGATTAGACAAAAACATCTAAAGATAAGACAAATTGAGTATGATAAATCTTGGAAAATTAAAAGCTAATTTGTATTTTTTAAATTTTGTTCAACAGATGACTATAGTTATCCACAGCCATTTGTTAAAAGCTATACCAGCATTATTTCTTATTTCACAGCTAGCTTTTACAAAAATTATTCTATTTTTGATAATTTCATAAATAGCTAGCCTACATACTACATGTGTCATTACAATGAACAATGATGAAGCAACCTACCTCTAGAAACAGGGACTCTGACTCTGGGTTGACCCTCTGACCTTTCAGTAAAATCTCCCTGGCCAGTTCATGATTTGAATTCCCTTCATCAGAGCTCTCCCACTGGGCAGCCTTCAACCACAGATCTGAATACAATACAATATATTAAATAGATTTATCACACAAGAAAATTATTTTATATTCCGAGGTTATGTCTTATTTAAAAAAAGACAGTGAGAAGGAAAAAGAAACTGTTTTTATTGCCAAAAATCAAGATTTGAAGAATGGTGCAGCTCTTTTGAACCTGGTGGTCTATGGAGCACATAGAGTTCACCTATTTCCATGACTTCGGCATATGAAGGGATGTGTGGTCAAAACTTTCAGGTTAGCAGCCAAATACTCTGCCACTGAGATTGATTTTTTTTTAAAAATAAATAATACAAATAGTATTCAACAAACCTGGGTTGTGTGAGTGAATCTTCAATACCTGCCCATAAAGTCTAGACACATATGCTTTTTCATTCTGAGATAACAAATTTATAAGTCAAGATTTTATTTGTAACTAAACAAAAATTATCTTGTGACATTTAGTGTTACCTAAATTTAAACATAACTAACTGCTTTCATTGTATTGAGATAATAAAAGTGAATTCTTTAATTTTCACAAAAAAGTATATAACACACCAACCACAAAGACAGACCATCACCCCAAAACACACACAACATAATGATTAAATCAAATTGGTTATAGCTTACCATGACTTTGCTAAATTCTATATGTTGTTCCCATAGAGATATATCTTCCTGCAAAGAACAAACAAATTAATATTATTGACTTTGAAAAAATATATTTCTAATATTTAAAAAAAATGAAACGTGACTTAATTATTATTAAAAAATGTTAGAAACTTACTGAAAATCTTAAGGTGACAAGCTGAAAATAAAATATTTTAAAATTTATCAGTATATAGCATTATCATATTTAAATTCGCATTTGTAGAATGAACAAATGTCAGTGTTTTAAGAATAATTTCTAGATTTTACAAGACAATTTTTAAGCTTAAAATAGTTCCATTTATTCTCAAATTTGATTATAAGAGCATTATTTTAAGCTGTTGTGCTATTCTCTACTTTTGTAGCAAATAAGACATTTTAACTAAAATATCCCTGACTCTTTCAAATGCATGTGTAAAAAACTAACCCTATACAATTTATCAGTACATATGTATGAAACTAACCCTTTACAAGTTATAAGAACAATTGTATGGAAAAAACCCTATACAATTTATCAGTACATATGTATGAAACTAACCCTATACAATTTATCAATACATATGTATGGAACTGAACCTATACAAGTTATCAGAACATATGTATGGAACAAACCCTATACAGTTTATCAGTACATATGTATGAAACTAACCCTATACAATTTATCAGTACACATGTAAGAAACTAACCCTATACAATATATCAGTACACATGTAAGAAACTAACCCTATACAATTTATCAGTACATATGTATGGAACTAACCCTATACAAGTTATCAGAACATATGTATGGAACAAACCCTATACAATTTATTGGTACACATGTAAGAAACTAACCCTATACAACTTGTGGATACGATCTGCAATGGCCTTCTCCACATCTCGCTTTTTGGTGTGTTGACCCAGTTTCTGAATAAAACAATATATTTTCATGTTACAAATTAGCCAAAAATAGAAACATTAAAAATGTATTGATTACTGTCATCCAAACAATAAAAAAAAATCTTTTTTTTTAGACTTTACCTTTCTGCGGATCTTTAATAGCTCCAATAGTTTTTTCTCATACTGTAAAAAGTAAAATGGTTATTTAAATTATTTAACTTAAGCTTTCGAATTTTTTTTAATTATTGTAATGTTCAGAAATTTAGTTGTCTTCCTTCTACAGGTAACCTAGTGTGGCATGAATATGAAGGTAACATTGAAATGTAAATTACACAAAACAAAAATTTGGTTTAGAATATAATTTCCTGTCACTTAAACCAATTAATTACAAATATTAACAACTTATATAACTTTACTCAACATTTTAACTATCTAGTATTATAAACTAGAAGATTCTAACAAACATAATTACCTCTATATAATTAAGAAAAGATGATTTTGTCTTTGTCAATTGTCTCAACTTGTATTCATAACTTTCCCTTTTCTTTAAAATATTTCTGAAATTATTTTGTTTTTGAAGAAAAAACAACATTAAATTTTTTTAACAAGGCTATAAAATAATAGTCCAGCTATAACAACAAAATTTAGATTAATAAAATGTAAGAATCAGGGTGTACCAAAGCTATTTTATTTACCCTAAAGAAGTGTCAGAAGAAAAAACTGCCTTGAAAGCAAACATAAATAATTTTTGTTCTTAAGAAATGGGTTTTAGTACATAATTTATAATTTTCTATTGTAAGAATCAAATCTAGTTGGAATCCAGTTATAAATAAGGTTCTTTTAATGTAAATACACGTGGTGAATTTTTTAAATTTTTTATTTAATTAACATAAAGGGTTACTTTTTAAAGTGATATCATTACAACATATCTCTATTTTGAGATTATTACATCAGAGTTAACTTTTTAAAGAATAATATTTTTTACAAATTTTTTGGCAAACAAAATTGCTTCTCGTATAATGTAAATTATTACCAAATTTAATGTCATGATGATGATAATAAGCTACACCAAGCATGCCATTTAATGATTTAACTTTTTAAAGTAAATGGCTGTTTGTGATTAATAAATATGCTTCATGAACAAACAAAAAATGGTGATCAACTATAATAAATTTCCCACTTTCAGATTTATAGGGCAGATGAAGTAGAGTTTGTATCCTTCTTGACCTCTGCATATAATGGTATTGTGAGGTCAACACCAAGCCCAGCCACCTTTACTTTCCCTAACATGAGTCAAGTACCCTTCATAGACGTCCTGCAGTCAGACATTTATCAGAAATCAATATCTTCAGGCTAATGGTCGTTTGTCCTACCATTTGACCACAAAGGTTGGGTGAAAAATTATGGGAAGGCAATATTTACTTGACTTAGTGGTGATCATATAAATCACCATGTTCGCCAAATTAATTTATAACCACCCACAATCACCATGTTCGCCAAATTAATTTATAACCACCCACAACCTTTGATACTATCAGACTGATTTTTTCCCCATAAAAGTAAATCTGTAAAAATGTTACAAAATACGTGCAACAACATATGATGGCTGAACCTGTGATTTATTATCTGTTACGTCCATGAGTGTCCTTATTGGGATTAATGAAAATTTGACGAGTTAATCAAAATATTATTTTAATTTAATGCAAGATTATAAGAAATTAATGGCCATATGTCACGTTCTATGCCAAAAAATTGTATGACCATACAGATTGTGCAACATATGCTGACATTTCTTTTTTAAAAGCCCTAAAAAATCTACAAGTAATTATTTTTAGCTGCAGTTATTTTTTAATCCCTGGTAGATGCTTTTTTCCCAGCTTATTGTTATCTTAAAAAATCACTGATCTGTACAGCAGTGTTATTAACTAAGTTTGTAGTGGTGGAAAAACATAACTTTGCTGTAATGAACCATTGAAGTTGACATGTTAACATTGGATTATTTTCAATTCATCTCTATCTATGGGCCATTCAATGTAACAAATGTTTGACACAGAAATGGTTATGGGTGGACTGTAAGTGCTATGATTCCATTTATACTTTTGATATACAGCTCTTTGAAAAAGGGTTGTTAGGTTACTGGTAGTTAACTAAATACACACATTGCTAGCTAATGTCAATACTCAATGCTAACCCTGTCCCTAACCCCAACCCTAGTCCTACCATACGCCTAACCCTAAAATTAGTCGAGATTACAATACTACTACTAACAACCCAACACACCTATTTTACGGAAGAATCTTTATCGGACATCGGTATCTAAAATTAATTTAAATTATCCCAGGTTTTTCCACCACAGAACAGAAGATAGTGTGCTTTTTACAAACTCAGTTGAATAGGCTAATAAAAATGAAAGAGATTCTGATTCAGCGTGATTAGCAGTGTTTTTTATGGCAACACAATTTTTTTTTATCTGTTGTCTAGTGACTCTAGACTAGACTTTTAGACTAGAGTCTAGTCTAGTCCTAAAACTCCTAACAGAAATTACCCCCGTCCCAATCTTCTATTAACATTTTTAAAGATATAGGCCTATTTATCAGTTAACATTTATCAAACTGAAAAGGTCTAAATCTAGGCCTAACAATATCTGACTAATAGTCAAGATCTTTATCTAGACTAGACTAGATTTCTAGATCTAAGTAAAAAAAAAAATTTTTACTTCGTCTCTTTGACCGTGAATAAACCGATTTCTTTCATCTCCTCCAATTCAGGAATCATTTCCTCTAGCGTTTGATGTACGTATTCTGCCATGGTTAGGTTGTTTGTATCGTTGGCTTTGACAATTTAAATTACAATAAAAAAAACTGAACAAAAATACACTTTTATTTCAAACTGAAATCTATCAACACGATTTAGATCTCCAATGTTCCATGCGTGTTGTAAACATCAGTTGCAGCGAACTTTTCGTAGCATTTTAGTAGCCAGCAGTCGAGAAATAATGGGGCTATCTTTTGTAGTTTCGCATAGTAGGCCTATGCCTATAATAATATTTTTTCCCCCTTAAAACGAGTTAAAACAATTTCACTTGAAAAAAAAACCAGCGAGCGCCCCTTAGTATTACATCTTTATATGGTAATTTTAATTCAAAATTCAATTCTGAACCAATCTATCCTTTTAACGCAGCCTCATCAGGGGCGGAACTACAGTGCCGCCAGACCCCGCATTGCGGGGGGGCCCACGCCATTTAGGGGCCCATCGCCGACCATAATACATTCTTTATAGTTAAAAAAAATTACTTTCTTGCATTTTTGACTTGACGGTAAAAGCTTTTGTAAATAAAAACAGATCTACTACAGTAGTGATGTTATACAGTAGCTAACACATGATGTTGCGTTTAAAAAAAAAACTATATGCCTGAGCTGTAGTGATAGGCAAACGTTAAGAACACTTCCATTACTTATTTCCCTTTTTTAAATTGTAAAATAGGGGTGCTCATAAGCTCCTTTTAATATATTTGTACAAAACAAAACAAAAAAGAAATTACTTTTCTTAGTTCTTATTTAAAAAAAACATACTAAATAATGACATAGCATAATTTGGAAATATATTTAAAACAAATAATATAAATACAAAAAAACATAAAAATAAACATAACACGAGAAACCATTACACACACAAAGCTTTCATGTTTTATATTCTTTTGACCGGAAAAAAAAAAATTCTTTTTCTTCAAAACCCGATCGGGCAAGAAATAAGTATACAATGTTTGTATTATATATATATATATATATATATATATATATATATATATATATATATATATATATATATATATATATATATATATATATATATATATATATATATATTGTAGTGAATTCGTTAGAAATCAGTCAATTGTGCTTAGTAGGGCAAGAAGAAAAATTCATATCTTAATAAATAGTTGTTATTATAGCATGAAAATTGGAAGAACTATTAGGCCAAGCTTGATCTTTAATTAGAATATCTTAGTGTTAGTTAGGAGCAAGCCGATATCATGGAAATCTACTTTAATTAGGTGTATTTGATGATATTTTTACAATATTTGCATGTTTGAAGTATTATTGTTGAAGAACAACTTATTGATGTTTATTGTAATTTGTATCATTGTAAAGGGAATTGTCTGTGGTTTCAGAGGATAAGCTTATTAGAATTTTAGGAGATCGCGTTAAGTTTTTATATAGGGTTATTTGGGGTCGGTTAGCACAAAAGCGGGGGAAATTTTCACAGGTAGGCGTTAGAATTCGTGCCAAGAGCAAGGTGTCATCCGAGACGCTCGCGGGTGGGGTATATAAACCGGTGGGTTAGCCTTAGAGGAGAAGGAGAAACGACGGCCCTAGCCATTAATTTATGCAGCACACGTATTGGCGCTATAGTCTTGTTAGATGCGCGCTACACAGACAATTCCCGCTCAAGAAAGATAGTCAAATAAAGATTTGCAGAAGACGGCTTATTCTTCATTCTTGATCGTCTGTGACTGTGACTGAGAGTGTGAAATAGAAGAGAAGAAGAACGTTACATTTGATAGAAGCAAGAATATTACAATAGAACAGCATATTTTGAGAGTAGTAAAAACGTTACAATATATATATATATATATACAGAAGGGGGGCCCAGAATTTTTTTTTGCGGGGTGGCCCTTTTTTTCTAGTTCCGCCACTGAGCCTCATCCATGTAGACATGATGAACATGTAAAAATAGTTATTCTAAGTTATTGTCATTTAAACAGCAAATCTACGTGGGGGAAGGTCCACCCCCCCCCCCCCAACAAAATGGAATTTATATAGAAAACATATAGAAAACATACTTTACCAGTGTCCGCCCCCCCCCCCCCCCGAAAAATGAAAGTTTGGAAGAAACACTGGGCCAGAGTTAGTTGAAACCATTTAAACGACGTCACTCTGTTAATGATGATCTTTACCCCACTCCCCATTGTCACAAAAAGCCAGATCCCCCACCCTTCTTAAATACCATCATACTTTAGATCTTTAAATGAGTTGCTGTCCCCAGCCTAATCTGCCCGGGTAATATGGTAACAATAATATACCCTTAATATAAACGTACAGCCAATGGTTACAGTGTTTAAAAAACCGCTAGTTCCTAGTGTTTAATATAGTTAAAATTTCTCTCAGCCTATGAGCCTACTAAACCAATATCTGTGTGAAGAAATGGATGCAATCGAATATTTTAATATTTGAGCGAAAATCCAAGTGCACTTGTAGCCTACTGTTGCCGCAACAGCACCGAGACATACCTCATATTCATGTTACAGTATTTTCTACTGTCAAATGAAATTCGAAACTACCATCTCTGCAGTATAAAAAAAAGAACAAGCTACAGTATCTCAGTGATATATAACATGTAATACAGTTTGTAGAATAAAACAAACACGTTAAAGACAATAAAACATAAAAAGTGTGTTTAAAAGTTATTCGCAAATGCATATTATCAGAGGCGTAGCGATGGGGGGGGGGGGGGGGGGGGAGGGGGGGGGAGGGGGGGACATATGTCCCCGGGCGCCGACCTTAGGGGGCGCCAAAATGGGTTGTAAAAAAAAATTAAAATGTAATTTTAGCTGCATATTTGCAGTTGGGGGGGGGGTGCAAATCAAAAGTATGAGGGGGGTGCAAATTGAAAATTTGCTCCAGAGGGGGGCGCCAAATTGAAAGTTTGTCCCCGGGCGCCGGGAAGGGTCGCTATATCGGTTTTAAGAATGTAACATATATTGTTTTTATGAGATTTATAATTTGAAATTGCAAACGTAATCGATGATAGCTGTATTAAACCACGCCAGTTAACGATCATTTATGGATCTATTGAGGTGTGTGTGTGTGGGGGGGGGGGGGGAGTGGTATGTAGGATTTGTTTAAGGTGGGGCATAGGATTTGAGTTAGGGTTCATGTTTAGGGCTTGACCGAAATTTCGGCCTATAAGTAGGCCTACATTATTGCTTTCCTTCTGGCACTGAGCGTTGTAACTTTGATTAGAATCGTTTAACTTCAAATATTAATTTGTGTTAGTTATCTCCCATATGTAGTTTGAATTTTTAAAGGGAAAACACATTAATAGAATATTTTCAAAAAGTAAAAAAACCCCACAAAAATACAGTTAAATTCAATAGTATTGAAGTTAAAAATAATTGTTTATTGTTTCACAAAATATAAATATTAAAATGTATATAAGTGTTGCTAATCTTATATTTTATAGACCATTAAATTGTCATTAAGAAATTATTTCTTTTTAGAAAACAATAAGCTTAATTACATTTTTAATTAGTTGAAAAATGAAAATTCCGTTAGATGACATTCTCTAGTCTATTCCAAATTTCTTGGTGTATTAAAAAAATAATTAAAAGGGGTCAAGGTGTAACCAACATGGCGGCGCCCAGCGAACAACGGTATCTTCCATGCGATGACTTTATGAAATTCCAGGATGCATTAAAAAAGCTCCGGCTTATAGATGACAGAATCATACATGCCCTAAACACATCACTTCCTACACAATCTTTCAGAGACAAAGTAAATGTCTCCACAGAATGTAAACGCTTGTATGAAGAGATGCAGGTATCATATGACCAGCGGGACCAATCAATCCGCCATTGTATTGAGTTAGTTACAGATGATGTGAAAAAACTGAGGCAGAAGAAACTGGATGCACCTGATGATGTTGAAATCTTGAGATCATTAAGGAAGGAACAAACTAAATTGAAGCTAATGCAGCAAGAAATGAGTATAGAGGAAGTAGTGAAAGATAGGACTCTGAAGGTATTCTATGAAAGATGTCGAGACAGCTACACGCCACCGGCGGCTCCTATAGTCTTGTAACCATCAGCCAACATTAGACCAGCATTGTCGCATAAAGAATGATTTTTTAATTAAAATGTAACTTTTACACTGCTGTATTGAATGCTTGTTCCTAACATTGTTCTTGTAGAATGTCTTCATATAGTATACCCACGATTTTTAGGAAAATTAACACTATTTATATTATTATTTGGATAACAAAAAAAATTTTTTAAATCTTTCTGAAGTACACATGACTATATTTAAAGATTCTCTTGAACTTGAAGGCAGAAAAATTTACAGAAGGTTGTATAAAAGTGAAAAGAAATATAATGAACATGAAAACATTAAATCGCTGATAAAGTAGATATATGTAGTTGATTTCCTCAGTAGATAACTCATGTTCTACACAAACAACAGAAACAGCAAGTATTGTTACATGTTTTTTCTGAGCTGGTTGCTCCTGATTGCATTAGTTACAAGATTGTGTTCACTGATTGTGATACTTCATAGTGTCCTACGTTGTGTCATGTAGGCTAGTTATTTCATAGTTGATTACATAGTGTATCTTGTAAAATAGATTGATTTATTGTTAGGATACCTCAGTAGATGAGAAATACATTTTCATGAGACAGACCTACAATAGTGAGTAGATTTTAAAAGTGTAAAGTTCAGAAATTATTCTTTCTTTCCCAAACTGTTTTTGTATTCCTTGAGAACTAGCTCTGAAAAAATCAGGCCATCTTAAAAAATTTAATTTATATAATTTTCTCTTAAAAAACAATTTTCTCTAACAACAGAAAAAAAAAATTAATGCCATGTTGCCTTAGTAGTACATGATTGATTTATTATCTATGTGATCTGTAAAAGAAAATTTTTAAAAATTAAACTAGATGATTTTAATAATTATTTTTCTTGTATATAAATCAACTAAAAACTATTTTAAACTTGCAAACTAATCCATCAACTGTCCAAAAAAACAGTTTCTCCCATCAAACTTTTTTGTTGTTCATCTAGTGTTGGATGGCTGTCATTGGCTGTAATACTTTTGTAGGGTATTAAAATGTTAACATGTTAATAAAATTTACTTCTCTAAAAAAAAAAAAAAAAAAAAAAAAAAAAAAAAAATTAAAATGATACAATAAATGCCGAAGTGAACAGTATGTGTACTACAGAGCCACTTCTCCCACGGTCGTTTCTATTTCTGTCCATGGGTGGCTACAATGTGAACTTTTGACTCCGCAGCACACTAAACTAAGCAGTCAAGAGAAACCTAGTTTGCACACCTTATTTTAATCTAGTTATTATGCCATTTTATTTTCTCCCTTTGATTATTATATATGCAATTGCTGTTCATTGTTCATGTCTTTGATGCTGTGTAAAATCTATCAAATATATTATTATTACTGATTTAAATGTTTAAAACAATTGAATTAATAAAAAGAAAAAAAGAAAAAAAAACTGTTTGAGGACTGTATAGATATAGATGTTTGAAAGAGAAGAATGTTTGCTTTGATGTGTCTCATTGTAATAACATAACTTTTCCGATTGCTTAAAATTTGTATAATTTTAATTCTCGGTGACCCCAATTTTTTTTCAGCTCTACTTAAAAACCCAAATCCCCCCCCCCGTCCCCCGTCCCCTCAGCCCACCACGCACGCCGAGAAAAAAAAATCCCTTGAATCATCAGTTAATTATACATTTGCATTTTCAGTTTCAGGTTGGTTTTTTATTTTTATTTTTTCATTATATTTAGACGTTTTGGATTAGATCTATGTATAAGTAAACCATCTAAAATGAATGAAAGCAGGCTACAAGTAAGAAAGAAATATTACTATTGTAAATCTGTATCAGTCCTCACAAGCCGATGATGAAAACTGTAATACTAAAGCGAACACACAACTGACGCTATAAATTACGTGTCTGAGGCGAAAAAAAAAATTTAAAAAAAAATGCCGAAGTGAAAAAAAAATTCACCAGCCGGAATGTTAGGAAACATAGTTTTAGAATTGTAAAGTATTGACTGACATCAGAGGCGTAGCGACCCTTCCCGGCGCCCGGGGACATACTTTCAATTTGGCGCCCCCCCTCGGGAGCAAATTTTCGATTTGCACCCCCCCCTCGAACTTTTCATTTGCACCCCCCCTCAAACTTTCGATTTGCACCCCCCCCTCGAACTTTTCATTTGCACCCCCCCCCCCTCAAACTTTCGATTTGCACCCCCCCTCGAACTTTTCATTTGCACCCCCCCCCCCCTCAAACTTTCAATTTGGGACATATGTCCCCCCGCCCCCCCCCCCCCCTCGCTACGCCTCTGACTGACATATGACATTGTGTTGAGGTTCTAGTAAAGTGTTGATATAGTACATGCGTCTTTAGTTTAGCCGTCTAGGACTGAAGGTAACAAAGGTTTGGGCCATACACTTTGTTCCAGTACTCTAGACACCTCATTGTTCTAATTACAATGGAGACTTGAGGATGCACATAAAATAGTGCCAAATTTAACCCAAATAATTTTTTTTTTCTGCCGTCTATTATTACACAAAAAAAAAAAAAAAACAACAACAACAAACACACAATTTTAAAAACAAAATGAACACATTCTCCACAGTCGAGATCACAATCTGGTACACTATATTTAGGAAAAAAGGGACGGCGTGGCCCAGAGGTAGAGCGCTAGACTGCTGACATTAGAGTCTCGAGTTGGAGAAATCCGGGTTCAAGTCAGTAGAACGTCCCTGAGTCCACCCAGCTCGGATGGGTATCTAACTCGTGTTAGGGAAAGAAAGTAAAGGTGCCTGTGCATAGTGCTGACCACATTGTGCCGAGGCCATTGTAAAAGATGAACTCTATTTCATTTGCCCTATGTGTCTTGGGCACAAACTGGAAATGATAATGATACTTGGGAAAAATATTTTTTTCGTTAACAAATGCCTATTTGTTGTGATAATACCAATGTGGAAACTGGATGTCCTATGTTATGCAAAGGATAAGTAGCTGTTGGTAGAAAAGCACTTTCAGAAACACCCCCTTGTTCAACTTTTTTTCACCGTATACATCCCGTATAAGTAGTTAACACACGGGGTACGCTCCGAGTAGACGGCATAAAACGACGTCAATGTTGAATGTTCTGGACCACGATTTTTAGTTCTAAATGCGAAAGAGTTTGTTGTAATTAGTAATGCAATGTTCCACGTGTAAATAAAGTATTCCGGATAACATGAGCAAGTCACTGAATGTGTTCTTGGTGCTTTTTACACAGATGAGTAGGCAAGGGGTGTTGGTGGGTTTAACCCCCCCCCCTCCCCCACAATGACAAAATTGTACCAACGTCTCTTATTTCATAAATCTTCCTAGTATCGACTAAGCTACAACGGTGATTTAAAAAGTTACTGTTTAAATCTATATATATAATTGTCTTCTTGGATACCTTAGAAAACACCAAGCTGTAAGCGCGCATATCCCTACCACCCCCACCCCCACATGGTCTGGTGAGCTGTGGTTCACGCTAAATGTTTGCAATTGTAGAGCCGGGTTTAGTGACGGTTATTAGGGGCAGATAATTTAGTTTGAAACGATTTTAAACTTAGGGGAGGTAACTAAGAGGAGGCTGCTTTCACGGGGGGGGGGGGGGTAGAGTAAGGGTTGGGGGAAAGGGGGGTGTGTGGGGGAAGGGTATCCTCCTTAACGACCCTCTGATAGTGTTTTAAAGCAAATATTTTCAGTGGCAGCATTGGTACTGTCGAATTCTCAAATTATGAATTACTGAAAAGTAGAAAATAAAACAACTAAAGAGCGGCGTATCGCCGCGGGTCGGCTCATATGTTAAAAAGCGTCAGTCAGATGCGAATGCTCTGTATGCTGTCAACTGCACTCTCCGGTGCTCTAGATCTAGAGCGAGACGTTTCATCCGGCTCAGCAGCAGACGAGAACGCGCAGAGCGGGAACAGCTGGTTGAAGGTGGCGCGGTACTTGCTGCTCATGTTGTAGTACAGGAAGATGGTCACACTCGAGTTGATGGAGTGGCACAGGAACCCGAAAGACCAGGCCACGTGGAACAGGTTGGATTGGGGGCCCGTGATGCCGAAATCCGGGTACACGGAAGTAGTGATGGAGCACGTGACGGCGGGCGAGTAGCAGACGATGAGGACAATGGCGACCAGGATGATCAGGCTGACGGTCCGTCTTTCGCGGTTCGACATGGACTCGGTTTGGTCTTTGTCGAAGGTGGATTGCTGACGCCATTTTGATTTTTTCTTCAGCTTGATAACTAAGATGGAGGTGAAGATGATGACGCAGACGAAAGCGAGGATGGCGAGCGCGGCTTGGAATGTAAAAATGAAACTCTCGATTTCCGGTTTGTTGGGGAGGAAGGAGATTCCTAGTTTGGTTTTATTGCTGGCGGGGTAGAAGTTCCAGCTGAAGTAGGCCGAGAAGTAGAGCGGGAGAACCGAACCGATGTTGATGGCGCAGATAAACACGATGACACAGGCCGTCCTACGCGGGGTGACGATTTGTTTAATCTTCAAGGGTAACGCTATGGACAGGCATCTTTCAGCGGTGATGTACACGGTTATCCAATCGGTGATGAGAACCAAGCAGGAGTTTGGCCAGCCGGCGGTCAAGTACTGGACGTCCATGAAGTCAACCGGCAGATTGAGCCGGTCGACGTACGGGTCGAGACAGAAGTTGTGCCAGACCTGGGTCAGGACGCCGCACAGGTCAGAGATGGCCATGGCGAAGAAGCAAGAGTTGGTGGTCTTCTTCAGCCCCTGCTTGACGAAGACGCAGATGTTGAGGATGTTGACGACGATGCCCAGCAGACAGATGGACGTGCTCAGGACCACGTGGTTCACCAAGATGAACATGTCCCTCACGGCGTCGCTGACCAGCTGGGTGGTCGCCGTGCCGTTCAGCGTGCTGACGTGGACATCAAGTGATTCATTAATAGACGCCATTTTCCCGCCTTCTATTACACAGAGACTACAAGTTTTGGATGCGCCTGAGCATTATTTACGGCTGATGTAAAAAAGAAGTGAATGTCATTGTCATATTTAAAACAATGGAGGCGACATGGATGTTCTCACAAAAATTTCGGCTTATTATTAAGCCAACAAATATAGTTTTAATCTATCTTACCTAAAAAATAAACCTTTATTGAAACACTCACAATACAACGGCAACGCTTCTGTTACGCCATTCCTAGGATAAAGCTCACACCTAAAGTAAGTCCATAATAAAAACTTGATAAAGACATGTCCACCCAGTTAATTAAACTGATGTTTATTGCAGTGATAAAAGAAACGAATAACTAAATTCAATTAAAGTGTAGGATAAACTAAATGGAATGCCATTATTATCACATTAAGCCAGTCCCAAGTCTTTGATACACGAATAAACGGACGCTGGTGGTTCCCACTTCATAAGCAGAGGTGGGGGGGGGGGGGGGGGGAGATTTGGGCTAACTTAGATTAGATGACCGTGACCGTAGACTAACGTCCCCTGCAATGACCACGCCACTTAAAAGTGCTCCACTAATGTGCATTAAAGGGGTGGGTTCTGATTCTAATTTATGCTTTGGTGCTCTTTTATCCCTGATGCTTTTCAAAACTTTGCAAACTAAATCGCCTTTAATTTCAGCTAGAAAGAATACGATAACTAATTTTAAAACACCTTCCTAAATACTGCTTTTTGAACACACTGATCTTTCTCACACTGACTCACAGTCTCAAGCGGCGTTTCCTGACGTCATACTAAATTTTAAATTTTTAAATCGTGCCGTGTCAAGTCAAGAACTAAATTTAAATATTAAGACTCTTAAATCACTCACGGTTGGTGCAGTGTACATCTGCATAATACGGTACTCATTGATTGCATGTATTTTTGTGCGATCATTCAGTATACGCACATTTAAACGACACCTTAATCTAGATAATAGGCGAGTCACTTCTAAAAACAAAAGCTAACTTTTGGACTATCCTGTCAAACTTAGATCTCATGTCAATCATAATGTGACTAGGACACTCATAACGAAGTCACAATCAAAGATGGAGTTCTCAAATTATCGCGTTATTCCTTAATATGCCACTATTTTATTTAATACACTCCAGCTAGTTTTGATTTAAAATTTCATTATTTATAAAATTAAATAATTTTTGTAAATCGTCATTGAAACAGTTATAAAGATTTTAAAACTCTATTATAAGGTGCCTTTATTTACCAATATATGGGCTTTCTAAGACTATACATTACATGAATATTATTCTGCTATAGTACAACACTATTATAGAGACCACGATTTTTTAATAAGAAGGATAATTGCTGTAGATTGTAGGAAACTAGATGGCGGCTAAAGTTCGCCAACATCTTTTTTTAAATAAGTAAATGGATCGCTGATGTTATCCCACTTATATTGTTACGATGTTCAACATTTTTTACTTGATAATTTCAGGCCAAAGCAAGAAAACCAATTAAACCTTATCAATATCTAAATTTCGGTAAATGAACATTGATAAACAATTAACTTGGGCCCATCGATGCTTAGGATGTAATAGATAATTTGGATAAAGTGCATGTTAATAAGGGGTGTTTTTTTTTGCGCGCGACGTCTCATTTCAAAGAAGGGAAATTACTGCCGTTTTAAATTAGGACTAATTATTTTTTTTTTGTAGACTAAGCGATAACGTTTTTCTTAATTTTTTTATTAATGAAAATCATTTTTACTTCAATTTGGTTGGCAAAGCACTAATAAGCTCAATAAAAAAAAAACAGCCTTAAAAAATTCTTGTTTGCTTGTATTTTGTCAATAGTGTAACTGTTGCAAATGATACAATTTTCGTAATGACGACAAATATTAGTATAATGATTGTCAGAACCGTTTCTTTGTTTTAGCCGTTCATAAAATTTCATAACAAGAACGATGTTTCATTAGACATCAGATGTGCGTGAGTGTCACGGTCAGTGAACTCACCAACAGCATCTGCTATGGTCACTTACTGGAACTAACGGTCAGTGAACTCACCAACAGCGTCTGCTAGAGATACTTACTGGAACTCACGGTCAGTGAACTCACCAACAGCGTCTGCTAGAGATACTTAGTGGAACTCACGGTCAGTGAACTCACCAACAGCGTCTGCTAGAGATACTTAGTGGAACTCACGGTCAGTGAACTCACCAACAGCGTCTGCTAGAGATACTTACTAGAACTCACGGTCAGTGAACTCACCAACATCTTTTGCTCGGGTTACTTACTAGAACTCACGGTCAGTGAACTCACCAACAGCGTCTGCTAGAGATACTTACTAGAACTCACGGTCAGTGAACTCACCAACAGCGTCTGCTAGAGATACTTACTAGAACTCACGGTCAGTGAACTCACCAACAGCGTCTGCTAGAGATACTTACTAGAACTCACGGTCAGTGAACTCACCAACAGCGTCTGCTAGAGATACTTACTAGAACTCACGGTCAGTGAACTCACCAACAGCGTCTGCTAGAGATACTTAGTGGAACCTTAGAAGTATGGGACATAAACCTGTAATAGCCATAATACTACATACCACAGAAAAGACTTAATCTCCAAAAAATTGGAACATTCAGTAGTCCACATTGGCAGGGCAGGCGCTACCTATAATAAGGCGAACTAGGCGGTCGCCTAGGGCGCCACCCCCAAGGGGGCACAAAAGGTTTAATCGCTATTATCAAAAAGCACCTAATAATTAATAACTTTTTAAAAGGAGTAGCGATCTATTTCGGCACCCAGGACGAACTATCAATTTTGCACCCCCACCCCAAAATTAGGTCTATATAGGCCTATATTTATTCACGACGGTGAATATGCAATTCCACCTCCCTAATTTGGAAAGGTTGGGGCCATTTTTACCAGTCACTTTGCCTTTTTGATTTGGTGTCACATAGTTAATGTAGAAAACGATTAAATAATTTCGTAATTTAAATTTCGAACATTTCAAACGGTTATCTAATTTTAATAGGGCTTGTAAGATTCGTTTTCTCTGACTTTGAATTAAAAATCTGTCTTGGTGTATAGAGTTTTGTAATGACGGGGTGTTCAAAGTATTTTCACTTGTTTGGTAAGTTTTGATGAATCGTTTAGATTTGGGAGTAACGGCGGAAGGCTGTTTCTTATATGGTTTCGTAGGTATAAAGTATCGAAGTGTTAAAGTATCATAATTTCGGCTGTTTTGTAGTTGAAGGTCTAGTGCAGTGGTTCCCAAACTTTTTCGAGTGGTGACACCCTTTTACAAAAAGTAAGTGATCCGCGACCCCCATGGAATTAAAAAGTCGAAATTAATAAGGAAATTTATAAGGACTAAAGTAGGATTTTCTTGTAGACTTTCAAAAGGAATTATTCTTGATAACTGTTTTAATACGATGAGTAAAATTTCATGCTATTAACTAGCCTCAACATTCGCAGTTTAGTTTTTGTTAACGTCAATCTCATGTCATTCTCGACATTTAATTTATTGCAATGTTTTGTTTTAATTGGAAAAGTGTTGAAAATCTATTCTCGCAAAGATATGTAGACACAAAAGGAACTAAAACTCGAAAGGCAATCAATTTCACGTTTGGGTATAAATGGTGCGTACTACACCAAAAATGCAGAGGCGTATCAAGGGGGGGGGGGTGCGGACCACACCGGGGGGACACCATTTAGGGCGCACCATCAATACAAATCCCACAGCCGTTTTCCCATTTAATTCATCCAGTTTAAAAAAAAACGTGTTTATTTTCTCCATAATATCTTCACAAAATAGCAACTCTTCTTTGCTATCATCTGATCGAATATATTTCACAAAGACAAGCAACTGCGAACACGAACTAATCTCTGTTGATTCATCAACTGGAAAAGCAAACAATGGTCAAAGCTTAATTTCATTCAAAATTTGCTCTTTAACATCTACGTACATGTCTGCTATATACCGCTGAATAGTATTATTAGACAGAGATATTGTTGTTGTCAGGGGCGTAGCGAGGGGGGGGGGTGTGGACCGCACCGGGTGACACCCGACCTCGCTACGCCACTGGTTGTTGTATCTTTACTGCACTGGAATCCCCAAGAATTAATTTCACCATCTTCAACATGTAGGATTTGATGAGGTTTTCTCCTATTGTGTTGTTTTAGCTTGGCAATTTCTAATGCGAATTCATTTAATGCTTGCACTAATGCTGTTTTGCAACTAGCTTCATGCGGATGAAAGAACTCCATATCTTTTTGGTGTGTTCCGAATGACTCGTCTCAAAATGACGTTTAAGTTTTGAAGGTTTTATAGAAAACTGAGAACTTTTCACAGTACGCATTGTTTCTTCTCTATTCCATTTCCTGCGATGTTAGTAAAGCCGAATTTCAGATATTTTTCTAAATATTTTTTTTTCATTGCTAGGGTTTAGTCTACCAGTTCGCGACCCCACAGAAAGCCCTTAGCGATCTCCTTGGGGGGTCGCGACCCCCAGTTTGGGAACCCATGGTCTAGTGGAATCTGATTGGTAATAGAGAAATGAGAATGCAGGTGATGAAGTATTGTAGTTCTGGAGTTCGTGAGTATTGATTCTTGAGGTATTAAGGTATCGAATTATATTGACTGTTAAAGTGTAGTAGTATGTCCAGTGAAATCGTCGTGTTGATTAGGATGACCGTTTGTAGAGCTTGGTGAAGTTAAACGAGTTGGTGTCGTAGTTCTGGAGTATCGAGTCTAGTTACGTTTAGGTATCGAAGTTTGATATGTGTTGTGAATGTAGTAGAATCGAGTTGTCGAGTTCAGTGTTTCTTCCAGGCATCTCTTCGGGGGGGGGGGGGGGGGGGGGGGGAGAGAACGAGATGGAATTTATATAGTAAACATACTCTTTTACTAGTGTCCGCCCCCCCCCCCCCCCCCCCCGAAAAATGTTGGCCGCCCACCCCCGGAGAAAAAAGTCTGGAAGAAACACTTCTCGAGTTTATCGTAAGTCAGATTATTCCAATTCAGTATGGAACACCCTTCAAGGAAAGGTAGGCGTTCTCTAGTTGAAAAATCTTTAGTTTTTTAGGAATCTACATTACCACTCTTAAAGATATATAATATTAAATAGGATGGAATTTATAACTAACCGTAAACTTTGTTTTTTTCAAATACCTTTTTTTATATTTAATCAATAGTTCTAGCAATGTCTCAAACTAGAACAGTTACCAGTGTTTGATTTTTTTGAAAGACGTCCCTTTATTTAGGGGATCCAAAATTTTCTATAGATCTTAGGAGGAATCGTACTCTAAACAAACTTAAACGTACGTCATCAAAATTGAATAGAAGTATGCTATAATAAAGCAACCGTTTTTAGACTTTCAAACAAAACCTACAGTTAAGTATTAAATAAGTAAAATACATTTTTTTCACAACTTTACATATCTAATATTAAAAAATTGTTATAATTATTACGTAATGAAATTTAGAGCTTTTTATTGTGTTTTTCAAGCATGTCTTAGTTACACTTGGTTAATTTAGCTATTCTTGTGAATGTTATTTCCCTTGAATAAAATTTTGGTATTTGGATTTTCAAATGGGAGATAATGCGTTGCTTAACTTTACATTCATTTCAAATTCCTGCACCTTAGGTTGACCGCTTACTTAAAAATACAACTTTAAGTTATTGTAAAAGTTATATAGAGCTTAAGTTCTAAACAAAATAGTTTGGTAGGTTTTTTTTAGCATTATCAAGTTGAAAAACAAATACATCAGTAGCCATTGTAGATTGCAATACATAATATTAGTAGACATACAGTCTTAGTCGTTTTTTAAACATTTAATTAATTGTCTATTCATATTTTTCACCCTCTCCTAAAGTATTCATATATAACAATTTTAGGTTGGAATCTATAACATTTATTACCTTTTTTTTCAAAAACAAAAAAATCGCTACATAATCACACAATATAGGCATTTTACAATTATAAATAAAGGCAGTAAGCATAAAACAGGTAAGTTCCGTTTTGGAACACACCTTGGGAGGACTGCAGAGAGCCCAACACTACAAGAACTTGTTTTTCAATGTTTTTTCTCCAGACTTTTTTCTCCCGGGAGGGGGGGGGGGGGGGGAAAGGGGGAAGCACTTAAAATTTTCTAAAGGGGAGGGGGGGGGTCTATGTCGTAAAGTACAAAGTAGATTCGTGGACTAAGCAACAATTTCAATAAAATGTGATTACGCTTGCAAACTGGAGTTGAATGAATTAGTATAAACTTTTGAGACGAAGGAGGCAAGTAAAATTTGATTTTGATGTCTGGTTATAACGTGTATGCAATTGATAATAAATTAATATGTCACTTTTAATTAATTGTTTTCTTATAAATATGTTTTAGTAGTTAATTTGTGTGAAAGGGGGCGTTTTAATAAGTTTTGCCTGTATGAGATCTGCTCTAGGAAATCTGTATGTGGCCTGCTCTAGGACACCTGCATGTCACTTGCTCTAAGACACCTGTATGTCACCTGCTCTAGGACACCTGTATGTCTTCTGCTCTAGGACACCTGTATGTGACCTGCTCTAGGACACCTGTATGTGACCTGCTCTAGGACACCTGTATGTGGCCTGCTCTAAAACACCTGTATGTGGCCTGCTAGGAAACCTGTATGTGGCCTGCTCTAGGACATCTGTATGTGTATTGCTCTAGGACATATGTATGTGTATTGCTCTAGGACACCTGTATGTCACCTGCTCTAGGACATCTGTATGCGGCCTGCTCTAAAACACCCGTATGTGGCCTGCTCTAGGACACCTGTATGTCACCTGTTCTAGGACACCTGTATGTGGCCTGCTCTAAAACACCTGTATGTGGCCTGCAAGGAAACCTGTATGTGGCCTGCTCTAGGATATCTGTATGTGTATTGCTCTAGGACACCTGCATGTCACCTGCTCTAGGACATCTGTATGTGTATTGCTCTAGGACACCTGTATGTCACCTGCTCTAGGACACCTGTATGCGGCCTGCTCTAAAACACCTGTATGTGGCCTGCTCTAGGACACCTGTATGTCACCTGCTCTAGGACACCTGTATGTGGCCTGCTCTAAAACACCTGTATGTGGCCTGCTAGGAAACCTGTATGTGGCCTGCTCTAGGACATCTGTATGTGTATTGCTCTAGGACACCTGCATGTCACCTGTTCTAGGACATCTGTATGTGTATTGCTCTAGGACACCTGCATGTCACCTGCTCTAGGACATCTGTATGTGTATTGCTCTAGGACACCTGTATGTCACCTGCTCTAGGACACCTGTATGCGGCCTGTTCTAAAACACCTGTATGTGGCCTGCTCTAGGACACATGTATGTCACCTGCTCTAGGACACCTGTATGTGGCCTGCTCTAAAACACCTGTATGTGGCCTGCTAGGAAACCTGTATGTGGCCTGCTCTAGGACATCTGTATGTGTATTGCTCTAGGACACCTGCATGTCACCTGCTCTAGGACATCTGTATGTGTATTGCTCTAGGACACCTGCATGTCACCTGTTCTAGGACATCTGTATGTGTATTGCTCTAGACTCTAGGACAATGGTATGTGTCCTGCTCTAAAACATCTGTGTGTCCTGATGTAGGGCTTACTTAGTTTGTAATGTGACCTGCTATGAGACTTAGTTTGTTATCCCTGTTTGGATCGCATATAATCTACTCATTTTGTACCGAAATTAATTATAATTTTTCTACCCCGTGTGATCCAAAATGTAGTACACAAAGTATAGCGGGCGTATTGTGATCGTACACCTCCCGTAGAGAAAAAAAACTTAGCTTGGCAATCTTGTCTTTATGTCTGTGTGTCTGTCTGTGAACAAGATAACTTGAGTACTTTTTTTTTTTACTTTTGTTGACGAAATTTCATATATAAGTATTTTACTAAATTTGTAGTTCTGAATCATATTTTAAGCGATTTCCGGCAACTAAAAAGGGCCCTTACTCTATTTCCGGTTACTCAATAGCCAGTAACTTAAGTATCGTTTATATTAGGTGGACGAAACTTTAAGTATAAGTTGGTATGCGCAGGTTTCCTTCATATTTTGAACCTTTTCTAGTAACCCTAAGGGTCACTTAATTCTATTTTCGTGGGAACACATTAACTTGCATGCTGCTTCATTTAGGTAAACGAAATTTCATATATAAATAAAAAATCTTGTGTTCGGATTACTTTGTAATTTTTTTGAGTAACTTCAGATATCCGGAAGTGATACTTTATTTCTAGTTCTAAAATGCCGATAACATAAGTACCGTCTCATTTTTTACCAAATGTAATGCCACATTTTTTTTACCCCAAGTAATCCCCATCTTTGTAAATTGTTTTTGACTTTGACGATAGGTTTACCTGAATATTCTTAATTAGTCCTTAAACGCCTCCAATAAAAAACCCTCCTTTTTATCTCTCCCCCCCCCCCCCCCACCATTACAACAAACCACATAGTAAAAATAATACACTAAAAATACACTAACTGCGTACAATTTCCTTTTTATGAAAAAAAAAAAAATTAACCCAATAACACTTAATTCGACACACCTTACATCATGCCGGAAAAATAATTAATTTTAATTTAAAAAAACTGTCGGAGGAAATATTTTTCGATTACAAAATCGATGAATAGCTCACAAACATCACGAAAGCTACGATTGCAAGTCTCCTGTTGGCACAAAGATAGGCCAATAATAATATAACACTACGTTGTATAAGCAGCGCATTGGTTTTGAAATATTTTAAAATGATCTGAGTTTAGATGGTAGCTTGTAGCAGGTGCAAAGTAGATTAGTAAAATATTATTTTTGTTTTATCTTTGGAACAATCTCTAATACCATATATTACATAAATGGTTTACAAGTTTGTTCAAACACGGTCATACAAACGATACACAACAGTCAATTAGGGATTGTCCATGAATGTCGCAACACTCGTAGTTGTATGATGAGGGTAGGGGGTCAGATGGTGTGACGTCACACTTTTTCATTATAAAAAAGCAATGTTAAAAAACTAATTTTATCCGTTATTTCAATAAATTGAAATCGATTCATTTACTCTGTTGACAGAGTTCAGACAAGATTTTGGGAAAATATCGATGTTTTAAGGAAAATTTAACTGCAATTTTGAATGTGGGTTGCAGGCTGAGGTGTGACGACATATTAGGGGATGTCTGGATTTTTTGTGACTCAGGAGAGGGGGGGGGGGGGGAGATGAAATCGTCAAAAAAGCGTGATGTGACTTATGGATAACCCCTTATCAAGAAACATTTAAGGCAGGGGCGTAGCGAGGGGGGGGGGTGCGGACCGCCCCGGGTGACACCATTTAGGTGGTGACACCAAGGCAAAAATGGCAAAATATATATAGAAAAAATTGAGGGGGGGGGGTGCAAATCGAAAGTTTGAGGGGGGGGGGGTGCAAATCGAAAGTTTGAGAGTGGGGTGCAAATCGAAAATTTGAGGGGGGGGGGGGGGTGCAAATTGAAAGTTTGAGGGGAGGGGGGTGGTGGTGCAAATCGAAAACTTGAAAGTTTGTCGCCGGGAAGGGTCGCTACGCCTCTGGGGGGGTGACACCATTAAGAGCCGCACCGGGTGACACCCGACCTCGCTACGCCACTGATTTAAGGTACAGATTGGAACGAAATAAGAAAAAGGAAACAGGCCATCAACCCCTAACAACCTGATGCTCTTTTGCTGTTCAGATAGCCACTTAATAATTCGTGATATTTTTTCTATTTAATACAAGTGATCCAGTCAATATATAATTCAATCAAGTGAAAGTCTTTGATCTCCCCCACTAACATTGCTATTTACTGCCAAACATGCCGTCTCATATTTTTCCTTAACAGACTTTGCGGTTATTGGAGCAGCCTTTCACATTGGTTAACTAAAAATACAAACTTCCTGCCTATGCTGTAAACAAATTCACGTGTTAATGGAGAAAGATTGGTACTTCACAAATCATAATGGAAGATAATGATATTAAAAAAAGTCACAGGCCACGGCATTCTGGAAGGAAGGCAGAAAAGAAGAAAAGCAAAAATAAGCATGAGCAAGATCTTACTGCAAAACAGAGAAATCCTCGTGCCTTTGCCATCCAAAGTGTAAACAAGGCAGCAAAATCTTTTCGAAGGTTTGTTTTTGTAGTTTGATTTTAATTTTATCATTTTAGCGTATTTTATTCCCCGCTTCATGTTCACCTCCAGTTGAGCGTATTTTATTATAAACACAACTGAAACACACAAAAACGTTAGGAAATCACTCGGCCTCTATTTCTTTATGATGCCATGTATTTGGGGGGGGGGGGGGGGGAGTGCAAATCGAAATTTTGGGGGTGGGATGCAATTTGAAAATTGAAAGGTTGATCCAGAGAGCGCGCCAGATTGAAAGTTTGTCCCCGGGTGCCGGGAAGGGTCGCTACGCCTCTGGGAGGATGACACCATTAAGTGCCGCACTGGGTGACACCCGACCTCGCTACGCCACTGCCCTATGCCCTATGCTAGTATTACTCGCTAACTCGGAGGCGTGGTCAGTTGCTAACAACAATATGGCGCCCGGACCGGACGCTTGACTTCCGACGATTTTTCGGCCAAATTACAGAGACCTTCTACTAATTAGTTTTTAAAATGTTTACCACGCGCAAAATGGCGGGACTTTCACGTTATAACAACAAGCTATAGGTGGCAGGGCTATATATGCCAGAAAAGCATTTTAAAATTTGCGTTGGAGAATGAAGGCTAAATTTAAAAGTTGGTTTCATCAAAAATACTAGAACTTTTTAAATATCGATTTCCATATTACAAAATTGATTTCCATACTAAAGCATTATTAGTTTTATCAGTCTATGAAAAAATAAATCAAATATCGTCAACCGTTTTTTTATGAGACCAGCCGAAAAAATGACAACCAAATTTTTTTTGAAAAAAAACCACGTGACCACTATTTGGTGATCACTAGTGAGGAACTCTTGTGCATGGCCACTTGATTTGTGGTTTTCTTTAGCTTCAAGCTTAAGAAGAGTTGTCATGGAGAGATGTGTTGGACATGGCAGTGATTGACAATAAATATTAAATTAAGTAATTTAGTTTAAAACGAACTAAAAACTCCAAAGTTAGTGCCTAATGGATTAAATATGAATGTCTATTATTCAGTGGTCATGTTTAAATTGATAATTGCGTAAATTCTAGATTTAGTGAGAAAAACTACCCTATGCTATAACGTATGCTGATAATTAAAGTCAATGTGAACTCACTGTGAACCCTTGACCATGTAGGGATTTTTCTCACGCCAACGATCTCAATGCTATTTTGTTGGAACTGTAATGCTTATTTATAACATTTTTAAAAACTTTTTCTAATTAAAACACATTCAAAAAAAAATAAGTAGATCTATTTCTATCATCTAGGGCCTAATGGTTCTAATCCTAGTGTTTTCCTAACATTTTTTGTGTGTTTTGATTATGTTTATAATGAAATACGCTCAACCGGAGGTGAATGTGAAGCGGAGTTTTACCCAACTTGAGTGCTATATCTAGATCTGCTCTTGAGTCTAGACTACCGATCAGTATAATTCCTAAAAACGAAAAAACTCACTTGTAATCTTTTTATTATTTTAATCATAGGTTTGGGTAAATCAGTAAATGTCAGTAAATGAATGATACTGATACAGAGGTTTGTGTGGTGTAGTAATAGAATTCTACTAATTCTAATTCTAGTCACATGAATAGCCAAGAATGCTCACACAAAGTTTCTTTCAGGCATCCTGAACATAATAGAAAATATATTTAATTTATATCACCTAGGCCTAGAAAATTATACTTATTCAAGTGTCCGCCCCTCCTCAAACTTTCAAGACACCTCCCCCCTGGAAGAAAATGGCAAAAAGAAACTATGTTCATAGTTCATGAAGACTGACATCACATCTATCTGCCAATATGATTGGCTTATTTGTTAACACAATCTTTGCTTCTCTCAATTTTTCATTGTTTCTGTTTCCTTTTTTCTTGGGTTTGCCTACACTTTTTAAAATTATGTTCTGTGGTAGAGTAAAGCCTCATTTATTCATAATTTTATTCATAAGGTCTAGGCCTATATCAATCAGCTATTTTTTTCTGGTGCTGACTGCCATTGTCAGAATACAAGTCAGGTTTAGGGTAAGGGTAGACAGCTTAATTTAACTGCGCTACATAATTTGAATGATTTGCTTCAGTTTTTAGTTAAAAAATTTGATACTCACAAAAGAGGGAAGAAAATATACAGCACACTTTTGTTATATCATAGTTTCTGTAATTCAAAACATCAGAGCTTATAACTTTCCGTAAGGCTTCTCTAATATTTTAAAATTATAAAATGACCCTTTAATAAAAAGCAGATTGCAGACCCCGGATTATTTACCATAAAAATATTTTTGATACAGAAATCAGATTGCTTTAATTTCTGTCATTCCAGCTCTACTCTACTAGACTATTTACCTTTAGATTGTTTTAACATATTTATGGATCAGTCTGATATTTCTTACGTTTCCACACATTTCATATGCAACAAAGCCTCTTGTTATGTGTTTCATTCACTACCAAACAATAGGCTCTATCATTGAAAGTGGGGACAAACGATAGGCTCTATCATTGAAAGTGGGGACAAACGATAGGCTCTATCATTGAAAGTGGGGATGATGAACTGAACGTTGATTGGTATTTGACTTAATTCTGATAGCCTACAGGAGCTATGTATAATAGGTGTATTTTACCTCTCGTGATGATACACAATGTATTAAAAAAATGGAATATTTATTGATAGAATATTATGCAGTTGTATTTTAGTTTGTGACAATAATGAGCTAACTTTTTTCTACTTGTGCCTACAGGACAGCAGATATAAAAGTAAAAAAGCAACATATCCCTAAGGTAGACAGAAGCCCAACAGAGCCCCCTCCTATTGTTGTGGCCATTGTTGGTCCCCCTAAAGTTGGCAAAAGTACTTTGTTAAGATGTTTAGTCAAAAACTTTACCAAACAAAAATTGACTAACGTTAAGGGACCTGTCACTGTTGTTGCTGGTAAGTTGAATAGAGATTTTTGTTATCATATTTTTGTACTGATTGATATATTTTGATTCTGTAATATCGTCATTAATAACTTGTTGGATTTGTTCTATTTTATTATAGGAAAAAATCGCAGATTAACCTTCATTGAGTGCAATAATGATATAAACTGTATGATTGATGTAGGAAAAATTGCAGATTTGGTAAGTTTTGGTGGAAGCATTTTCAGAAGGTGCAAAAACATAAACTTTTATTATTTGAGTTAAAAGCACCATATATTAAAAAAATATTACTTTGAGTTTTTAGAAAAACCAGGTTTTAAAATTCTATTAAATATTTGTTGATGTTGCAGGCACTTCTGATGGTGGATGCTAAGCAAGGGTTTGAAATGGAGATATTTGAGTTCTTCAACATTTGTCAAGCCACAGGTTTCCCTCGTTGTATGGGCGTTCTTAACCATCTAGATATGTACAAAGATAGCAAAGCTGTCAGGAAACGCAAGAAGCAACTCAAAAACAGATTCGAAGTGGAATTGTACAAGGTATTTAGCTATAATTTATTTACAATTTACTTATATAAACTTAAAAATAGTTATAATATAAACCAAAGACTGTAGTTGGGTGCAAAAGTTTAGACGCATCTTAGAATTTACAGGCCTATTTTATTTATAATAGTATTAATAGGACTTAGTTTAATGTATCTGAAAAGACATGAGAGTTTTGTATATCATCAATGGTTAAGTATAATTGTTCAGCTGAATACATTTTATTACCATTTCAGGGTGCCAGGCTATTTTATCTCTCAATGCTGGTCAATGGTGAATACTTGCAGAATGAAATTCACAATCTCTGTAGGTTTATCTCTGTCATGAAAATTACTCCCCTTGTGTGGAGGACCAATCACCCATATGTTCTTGCTGACAGGTTGGTGGCTAGTTCTCACATCTTTAAACTTTACAAAGCCAGATACTAACAAGTGCACTATAATAACACTAACAAAACATAATAATTACTGAGTAATTTTTGCTTGGAAAGCTTGCTGTTGAGACACATTAGTAATTAAAATTCATTAATGAACCATTGTGCCACTGATAGGATGGAAGGTAAAATACTTTTAAAATAATTTTTATCAATGCCAGAATGGAAGATATAACAAACCCAGAGACCATCAGACAGAGGCCCAAGTGTGACAGAGTGGTCAGTTTGTATGGGTACATGAGAGGTACCAACATGAAGTCCAAGTCTATGGTACATATAGCAGGTAAAGATCTTAACAAGCTTTTTCTTTTATAAAACTTTGTGTAATATTTTTTTTTTAGCCATGTGTAGGCTATCTCTTTAAGTTACTGATAATTTTTTTATTTTACATGTTTCAAAATTAACCCTATATAGGCTGTTGAACAGAGAATGATCTTATAATGTCTTTGTTCAGGCTGTGGAGACTACATTATAAAGAGCATGACCTTTTTGCCTGACCCTTGTCCCACACCTCAGATGGAGAAGCGCCGGTCACTGAATAAAAGGGAGAGGGTCATCTATGCCCCTATGTCAGGTGTGGGAGGGATAGTTTACGACAAGGATGCAGTTTATATTGAGATGGACAAGGCTGCAGGAGAGGAGGTTTGTTGCATTACCGGGCCAAATAATGTTTTTAAACTTTTCTCTGGTAATCAGAATTTTTTTTTTTTGCTCATTGATATGGTCTAATAAAATGCATTTATTTGATCCTTACTACTTTTGTTATAGGAAAAACCCACTGGGTTGATGGCCGCCTTAATGGACAGTTTGAAACCAGTCGATGAGAAGGTTCGAGAGAGTCAGATTTCTATTTTTAAAGGAGGACCTGCCATATCTGGTTCTGAATTTGAAAGGAAGAGGTAGGTAGATTGTCCAGTGGTTTTGTTTTTTAAAGTTATTGTTTCAGTTTTTAAAGTAATTTATACTTAATTATAGAATGTCTTGTGTGATATATTCCAAGTTTTAGAATGTTGATGACGATTTGTAGTTTTTTTGTTGTTGTATTTGTCATCCCACCCACCTTAAAGTGTACTATCACTCTGTTGTTGTGCAGGCATGTTGACAAGGACAGCGATGAAGATGATGACTCTGGTATGGACACTGATAGTGGTGAGGATGATGATGAGGACGATGATGACAGTGATAATCAAAAGGATGATGTGGATAACAATGCATCTGACAGTGATGACACATCCTCCGATGAAGAAGATGAAGAGGTAACTACTGTTCATTATTTTTTTACTTACAGTATGTTTAAATTCAATGCTGTTTTGTTTCCTACAATATCAATTTTGGTACTGACTTTTTAATTCTAAATACTTCAGACTGATGAACCACCTAAAAAGAGAAAGAAAATTGCGGATGATAATTCTGTAGAGATGGCCAGTGCTGATGATGACAGTGATGATAACACCTCAGATGAAGAACAGAGTAGGTGATGGGCCAAAGTTTCACTGATACATTCAGTGGTTCTTTTATTTACTTACTCTACTCCCATCATCTATGTTGTATACCACCCTGTTAAAGATAGACCTGGACCACACTACAGAAGTATTAATTCAACTGTCTAAGAAAAGATACAACTCCAAAACCTGCTGTCAGAAGGAGGAATTAAAATTAATAGATTTATTTCAAAGGACTATTATAGACTGACATGTTTTTTTCTTGCTCATTTTTCTTTGTTTCTGACAAAATGTTCTTTATTTTTTTTCAAGGTATGTTGAAATGGAAGAAAAATTTATTTGCTAAAGCATCAATGAAACAAAGCAGAAGGAAAAATTATTTTAAAATAGTTTACGGAGAAGGTATGCTGTTTTTTTTAGAATAAAAAGAAGGGGTTTGGCGTTGATTGGAGGGTCAATCAATAAAATGGATAAATAGTAAACTGCATTTTAAAAAGTAAAACTGCTAATATATACAGATGCAGTTGATTTAGACGAGGATAAGAAAGATGAAGCTGATGAAGAGTTGGGTGGTTTGTTCAAAATTCTCAAGACACACAGCAGTGACTCCCAGGCAGACAGACACCATGTAAATAAACTGGATTGCAATCATGTTGCAGCAAGAGATGACTGGGATTTTGAAGAGGTTGGTCTCTATTTGCCTTGATAAAAATTTTTTTTGTTGTTGGTTGTAGCATTATCAGTTATAAGATAAGGGTGAATTAAATTTTGTTTGCAGCTTTCTGAAGAGATCAGGGATACTTTTGTGACTGGCAAATGGGATCCCAGCGAAGATGCTAAAAATAGGCTAGAGGAAGACGGTGAGCCATTTTCCACTATTTTCTTTATGCAAAACTTGTGCGTCTGAAGTAGTCCCCCTTTGTTGTCTTGTATAGCAGCATATTATCTGTGACATTGATTTCCTAAGTTTTTTTTTCTTTGAACAGATGCTTTGTTTGGAGATTTTGAAGATTTAGAAACAGGAGAAAAGTTTCAGTCTGATAAAAAAGGTGTAGATGCAGACGCAAGTGATGCTGAAGGGTCAGACATTGAAATGGAGTCCAAGAAGGGATCTGATGAAGAGACAGAAGAGCAACGTATGTTGTCAATGAGCAACTTCATTGTTTTGCTGTAGGCTGGTCATTTTAGATAGTTAAATATGATGGAAGTTAAAATAAAATTGACACTATTAGAACAATGGCAATTTACTATGTTTTTAAGAAGTGGATGCTTTTACTTATGGTCACTAACACAATTTTTCAGCTGAAGTTGTTAAAGAGAAAACTAAAGCTGAGATGACAGCGCAGGAAAGGCGAATGCACAAGAAGAGAAAAATCAAAGAAATGTTTGACAAGGAATATGATTCTAAGGGAGATAATGACTTCTATGACTCTTGGAAGCAGGAGGCTGATGATCAGGCTAAGGTAACACTTCCTGCAGCATTTACTTTTATTGACAAAGTTCTGATATAGTCAGTTTTTTATTGTTTGCTTTGTACCCATAACCTGATCATCCTACCTGCAAAACATCATCAGATTATTTGTCAGAACCATGTATTAAACTAACACAGAGGGGGAAAGTGGCATAAAAATATTAGTTTTTTAGGCAATTCATGGATAAAGCCTTATTTTCAATTAATCTGTAATGCCTTGTTTTAACTATTGAAATGTTCTGGTGCCTAGACCCACCCAGTATCATCTTGCACTAACAATTGAAATGTTCTGGAATTTAGATGAACAAGTCTGAGTTTGAAGAGCTACCAGATGAACAGAGAGTCCAGTTTGAGGGTTTCCGTCCTGGCATGTATGTGCGTATAGAGTTTGAGCAGATGCCGTGTGAGCTGATTGAGAACTTTGACCCCACGTATCCCATAATTATTGGGGGCATCACAGATGTGGAGGAGAAGTTGGGATACAACAATGTAAGTCACTCAGAGCTGGGACATTTCTTATAGTCTTTAAAGAACCTAGTGTTTCTTCAAAGTTTCAAATTGCATTTTGTTTCTTTATAAATCATTAAAAAAATACTACTTGCAATGGGTTTACAGTTCAATGTTTTGACATTTTATACTAGACACAATTTGTTAAAGAAAACAATCTTTTTTTTTTTAAATTTAGAACCATGTCTCAATTCTAGTTACAATAAATTTGGATTTTGTTTGATGTTCTTTGTTAATTAAAAAAAAATCTTATTCTCATTCATTCAACTGATTGAAAAAATGTATTTGTTAGTACCATGTATTAAACAGATTTCTTTTTTATTGAAAACTAGGTGCGCATTAAAAAACACAGGTGGTACAAAAAAATTCTAAAGACGAGAAATCCTTTGATTATCTCACTGGGGTGGCGTCGCTTCCAGACAATACCATTCTATTACAAGCTAGAAGATAACATGAGGAGACGTATGCTCAAGTACACACCTGAGCACATTCATTGCCATGCTGCTTTTTGGGGTAATTTGATCTCATTTGACTTTTATATAAAATATATTTAAAACAAATCCCTTTATTGTAAATGATTTCCCCTGTGTAAAAATTAGAAAAGTCTTTGTGTTTTAATTTCAGAATTTCTCTATTTTAATATGCTTGAAATTTATAAAGCAGATATTTAATAATCAAAATTTGCTATGTGCATATGAAGTTAAGACTATCAGCAATCTACAGCATCAGTGTTAATTTGTTAGAGATTGTAGTTGTGTCAAATGGTATCATTTGAGGTCATATTAGACTAGGTTTTCTCAGCGATATTAAAGCAGAAATGGATGAAAATAATTTTATATAACATTGTGTGGTAACCATTGCATAGTTTTATTTTTTTCTACATTTGATAATTTCTTACTTTAACCCAGGTCCCATTACACCCCAGGGTACTGGATTTCTCGCTGTTGAGTCAGTGTCAGAGAAAAATGTAAGCTTTCACATGTACTATTACTTTTAACATGACCTTTTTTCTTTATTCTACTTTTTAGCAAGTGTTATCAAAATCTAGACCAACAACAAATGTACTTTCATTACTTTCAATAATCCTGTTTTATGTAAAATATTTGATTTGTTTGCAATGTTCCAGCCAAATTTTCGAATAGCTGCAACAGGAGTTGTTCTAGAGCTGGACCAGTCTGTGGAAATAGATAAGAAACTCAAGCTGGTTGGTACTCCCCTCAAAGTCTTCAAGAAATCTGCATTTATTCAGGTAATTGTTGGAAAATATACACCTAAGATACACATATTTTAAAACAAATTTAATATTGATATGGCAAGAAGGGTAAGGTAGAGCTAGTTAGATTGAACATTTACTTGCTATGCTTGATGCGTTACAGAGGACACTCATGCTTCATTTTTTATAGCTGTGTGTTGTATTAGCCATTCTGTTCAGAACAAATTTTCCATAGACGAAGTAGTTACCCCTTTGAACCAGGTGATCCAAGAGGTAAATGAAGTAGAGTTCACATCTTTCTGTTAGCTTGGCATATGAAGGGATGAACACAATGCCCAGCCGCCTTTACTGCCTGCCTTATGTTAGGTAACCATCAGAGCTCGGTGGACACAGAAATGTCCTATAGACTCAATTTTTCCATAGACTATTATAGGTCGGTGTTAATTGCTAATTAATATGTCAGGCTATTTTTGTGACCTCCAGAACATGTTTACAACTGGGCTGGAAGTTGCCAAGTTTCAAGGTGCTCGCATACAGACAGTCAGTGGTTTGAGAGGGCAGGTGAAAAAAGCTCTGCATTCCCCACCTGGTGCTTTCAGGGCAACATTTGAAGACAAAATACGAATGAGTGGTGAGTGCTACAGTGTATATGTGGTGCAGACCTTGTTAGTGGCACAAAAAAACTAAATTGTTTCAGTAAACTTCTGTTTACTTTTGTTGCATATTAAAACTGAGTATTTTTAAAATTCCGATTGCTCACTATTTGATAACTTTTGTTTTTGACTAAGCTGATCTATAACTGCCCACATATATTTCTTCTCCACAGATATAGTTTTCTTAAAAGCCTGGGTGAAGGTTGAGATTCCCAAATTTATCATGCCAGTGACGTCACTTCTCCTGGCACACCAAGACAAACAATTGTGGAATGGGATGAGGACTATAGGACACTTAAGGCATGAGAGGGGACTACCAGTGCCACAGAATGCTGACTCTCTTTACAAGGTAATATATTTTTTCATGCATGAATTAGTGCATTTCTTTGTTACCATTTTTTTGTTCAAAGCCAGCTGGTTAGTCCGTTCTAAAGCAAAACCCACAGTTGGTTTGCTAATGTTAAAAATAAAATAAAAATAGTCTGAAGTTCAACAAGGAGTCTTTCAGCAATCATTTAAAGATTATATTTTAATTTATTCTTGAGGAAGGAGAACTTTTCCAAATCAATGAAAATAAAAATTCATTTTCACCTAGTAACTTAACAGCAGGCCTTGGTTCATCTTTTTTGTAGTTAACCTCTCGTTACTCCAGAAATTAGCAACTTTTATCATTTTAGACCAGGATTATCTATCCTTTAACAAAAATATACTTGGTTTTAATTTGTGACCCTCCCCCCCCCCCATCTCTCTACATAATTAGTTATGTGTTTGTATGCTAATATTTTTGTAATTATCATTTTAAACAATTTTTTTAGCCCATTGTACGATCACAACGAGAGAGGAAGCCATTAGTCATTCCCAAAGACCTTATCAAACGACTGCCATTCAAGGACACCCCTAAAAATCTTGTTCAACCCAAAGAGCCCAAGCGTATAGCTGTTGTGATGGAGCCTGCCGAGGCAAAGGTCAGTACACCATTAGGTTTTGTGCCTTAAAATCCATTCAGTTAAGTGAAATACAACTAAAATATAGTAAAAACTAACCAACTTAATTTTATTGTTTTGGAATTTAGCTGAGCTTCTCTTAGCTGGTATTTTTATCCGCTATTGATAGCTAGACCTAGAGTTATATTTGAGTTTAATTTGATTCAGATTGCCAACTTCCTGAAACGGGTGAAAGCCATCCACAATGACAAAGCAACCCAGGACCACAGGGCCATGAGGCAAAGGGCCAAGGAGCACCAGAAGAAGAAGGAGGCTGAGGAGGCAGTCAAGCAGTCCAAACTTAAGGAGGCCAAGAAGAGGCTACACAAAATTCTGGGGGAGATGAAGAAGAAGAAAGAAGGGAAGAATGATAGTTGATGTAAATAGTTGTTTTTGTGTGGTTGTTTGGGTGGTGTGGATGAGTGTGCCTGCGACTGTGTCTCTCTCGTTATGTGAGTGCTTTTTGCAAGAGTGATTCATTGGCATTTTTGATGATTGATATTGTCAAGCTGAGAATTTGTGAAAAATGTTGGTTAAAAATGGGATTTATTCTGTTAATTTGTCTGTATTATATCAATAAATAAATATTACGGGGTTTATTCTGTTAACTTGTCTGTAATATATCAATAAATAAATATTACTAAACAAATCTATTATTGCATACGTTTTTGTGATCATCAGAAAAGGAGATAAAAAGTTATTAAAGTCTTTAAAACTTGCATTAAAAGTATACAAATCTTTTTAACATATTTTGGAAATCCATTCAAATTAGAAAGTGAAACTAATTTTTGAAAACATTTTAGAGATCTTTATTTTATTCTTTATAGCGAATATAAAATCTTGTAAAAGTTTTTCACTGTGACTTTTTTAAAAAGGTCTTCATGAACTTTGTCTAAAAATAAGATTAGTAAATATTCTACATGAACACCAGTTCATCTGTTGATATAAGTTTACAAACTTGACCAACCCACTTAGACATTTGAGATCTAAGAAAAAACTTGATTAAAAAGTCTGCTATGGGGGTGTGACTAGAATGGTTGATGCTTGATTATTAGCTAAAGAATATTATGGTTGCCCGAATCCACTCAACTCTAATGGTACAAATGTGAGCATTTGAATATCCTACAACAGCCATCATCTTAAAAAATGAATTTCCATTTACCATCAAATTAAAAGTATATTTTACTAAATAACACAAAATGATAAAGCCCAACATAACAAGAGTAAAATGTTTATTAGGAAACATGACACATGCAGAATGGATGAAATTATTTCACTACTATGACATCCTCCTCACCCTCATCAGCTATCTCTATAACCTCATTCATCTCTATAACAGCAGCCCTAGGCTCATCCTTCTCCTGGTTAACCTCGGGTGTTACTCCAGATTCCTCTTCCATGTCCATTTGATTAGCGCTATCAGGCTTGTACAAGGGGTTTGGAATATCTTTACGTACTTCAAATATCTATAGATTAGATTTAAGGTTAAATTATATAACTAAAATGCAAAGCTGTAGAGAAATTGAGACAGGACTACACTAATATTGAGATTCAGGTATTATCAGTACTAAATCATGCAAACAGTTCTATGATAAATCCTATCCAAATGTGTTCAAAACTGAGGTTTAATACTAGTTTGATGGCCTCAATTAAAGCATTAATTAAGACAACTTAATGTAGTAACAGTTATTTAAATTTATTTTACAAACTTATCATACTATGATTCATTACTTGATAGCTCTTAACTTTGACAAAGATTACTAAGTGTGACTACCTGTATATAACTTTCTGAGAGAGTTATCATCTGTGGAAGAATATCAGCCACATGAAGATCCTGAAGTTCATACCACTTGCCTTGACCCTAAAAATGTAACAGAATGAGGGTAAATTTGAGGTAAACATTACAATTGTGATAAATGGAAAAAGGCTGAAATATCTTTTCAGTATGTTATAGTTACAGCACTAAAAAGTTGAATAGCACCACCATCTCAGGTTGGTATACTGTTCTATCAAATGTGGAAATTGGTAGTATTTTACAAACGGTACCTTGCAATTTATATTTCATATCCAGCCATATTACCTCACTAGGACAACATAGTCAAAAAAAAATAATTAATTAGAGGATCCCTGACCTTATGTAGGACATGACACCTGTAGCTCCCCTTCCCTTTTCCAGGCTCTCCATCATGTACAATGTTAGCAGCCAGGTCATAGGTCGTGTACTTGTGCTGTGCTCTGGCCTCAGGGGAGAGCAGGTCACCAAATTCTATGTTTCTGTTTGATACAATAGTAGTCATTTTAAATTGTTGAACTTTGTGACAAATCTCTTGAGGGAAAAGTTAGGACCCCTATGTATAGGTACAGTTAGTATAGCTTAATGGTAGCTACAGTTAATTACAAAATACACTTAAGAAAACAACCTTTTTTAAAAATGTGAATTTTGAAACTGTTAGATACTGTGTTACAGTATGATCTCATTTAGTACGAGTATGAACAAGGGACAGAGGTCATAAGTTACACCGCATCATCCCACTGATATTTACTGAAACTACTACTCTTGTTATGTAAAAAAGATCTAAGAATAAACAAAAAATATAACACTTGTGAAGCACTTACTTAATTGGGAAATTAACAATTGTTGGGTTTTTCTCAAACACAAAATAATTCTTGTTGAATCTCTGAAAAATGAGACAAAATATATATGCTAAGTTATACTCAGTAGATTTTTCTTACCAATATAACAATAAAGATTGGTCCCTCATTCAAACTGCATGTAATTTTTAACTTAATATTGTTTCTGGCAAGTCTTTTGTTTCTGTTTTTAAAGATTTAATAATATGTGTAAAGATGAGCCTTACCTTGAAGTAAATAATGATAAACTGTGGAAGTCGGGTCAGCTGAAACCTCTTCATTGTACTGTCCTTGTGAGTCTTGTACTCCTTCTCAGTCAGACCATTAAATTTGCTCAACAAATTAGCAAAAGGCACCTGCAGTTGGGAGTAAAAACAATGAATGTAGATTTAAGAGAAGACAACCCACGTATATAGAGGACTGAAAGAAGACAACAGAAACCAAGAAAAAAATACACCATGAAATTGTTAAAATGATACCAGTTTTCAAGCTTTTATTTAAGAAAAAAAAAAGGCTGAGACTGATACCTGAGGTATGATGTTTTCTCTGGATTCATCAGGGTACAGTGGAGGGGGTGGGAGGTCACAGGTCAAATACAACCAAGGCATGTCATAAATTTGTTCTGTTAAAAACAGCATTGAAATTTTTAAAATATGAGGCAACATTTGTCTAGTTAAAGTTAAACACAAAATTAATTTTTTAAATTCATTTTCTTTTAAAAGACTTGTGAATGGTGAAGTAGATATAAGTAGATAGAAGAATTGTAATTTGAAATGTAAAAAAAAAAATTATGATTATAAGCTGTGGTGGATGTTAAATATCAGGATAGGAACCTGGATAGCTAGATAGTCGGTTGTATAAGGAAACCTTTAACATGCACTAGAAACTCAAACATTCCACACAGAAAGTACTAAGAAGCTTACCTTGATATTCTTCTTCTAACTGAAGCTTGGCCTTTTCTGCCTCACTCTGTGAACATACATGCAAGTAATTTATGCATAAACATGTTCAACCACATTGGGCAAGTTTCACTAAATACACTAAGAATTTTAAAAATAAGCCAAACTTTTGCCCCAAGTGACATCAATATATTGAGAAGTGCAAAGACAGCAAAATTATTATTTATTGGCAAAAGACACCTAGACTATGTTTTTGGTTGAATAAATATAAGAAAGTTATCAGTATAAACTTACCAAGTCAACATTAGGAATCTTTCTAGAATAGACCAACATCTTGCCCCTGAAAGTTTTACTGATGATGCTACTGTTCATCTTCTTGGTGCCATTCAAAGCTGAATGCATTGCATTGAGAAACCAGGAGAGGAAATCTATTGGGTCACCTGGAAAAGGTAACAAACTTTTAGTATATTTTAACTTAATAAATCAACCTCATGGCAAACCCATAATTTTAAAACCAAATATATACTTTGACTATGATAAAAAATTAGTTAAAGTAAACAAATACTAATGTTGTTCTTCATTGGATCACAAGATTTCACACCATCAGAATCTGCAGCCACCCAATAAAACATTTTTTTAATTTGCTATCCAGAAAGAAACGCAGACTGAAATCGGAGTCGACAGTCTATATGACTTGTAATACTTAATTGTGTTGGAAGAAGTACCTCCAACATTTCAATAAAGAACAAAGAAGCAGTTACCATCAGCCACTAAAAAAACATTATCTTACCTTGTTCTGTAATCTGGAACTTTTTCTTGGAGCAGAGAACAACAGCCTGCAACATCTCATGGGGGCTGACGTGGGCCTTAAAGTTACTGGGGTTCCAGAGCTTGCGAATGAGCTCACCAAACCTCTGCACCAGTATGAAAGCTATGTCTCCAGGTGGCCGCTTCATCTTCTTGTAGTTGTCTTCTTTAAGGAAGTAATTTCTCAGTGGACCCACATGGGACAGTGACTGGGATCAATAAATGAAACCATTTCGGTGATTTAGGGAATTACCATTAAGGAGTAATGTACGGTAGAAAAAATAGAAAATCTCTATTTACTATTTTAAAATATGTGAACCATTTTTGAACTAGGGATCAAAAGAGTATTGATAAATGTTATGTAATGGCAATGTTTGACCTTGAAATAAAATTGGGTATCTATATCGCTACTTCATTAACAATCCCTGCTTCCAATCCCTGTTCATAATTGTTATGTACAATTGTACAAATAAAAGAAAAAATACCTGAAGAACCACATTGCAGTAATCATTAGCTTTGATGTTGTTTAGACCAACAATACCTGTAACAACATAAAAAAAATAACATTAACTAACAGAGATCTTTATACTCTTAATAATCGTTCAGTCAATTTAAAAGAACTGAGTTCAGTTCACAGATATTAAAGAAACCCCAATCTTTCAAGATAGGTTTTATAAAATTCACAGTTGCACATTAATAATATAAAAATGTAATGAGAATATAAAAAGATGTGATGTAATGTTTCTAAATTCATTGTTAGTCACTAAATTCAATATAGATTATTGTGTAAAATACACATCTCACCTGGCAGGTAGGTGGTACCATCATAAGCTCTAGAAAGTTTTGGATTCTTGTCCAGCTTTCTAATCATCAACTCACTAAAAGTTGGGTTCAAAACATACTGGAGACATAGATTTCTCAACATTATAGAATTTAAATTTTAGTTCCATGAAATTTTTTTTTTAAAAATCACCTTACACAGATCTCAGATCTAATATAAAGTAATCTTCATGAATTATAAGAAGTATTACTTGCAATAGTAAGATTTATTGCATAATGTTGTAATAAATGCATCTTTTTTTAAACAATAGACTGTAGGGCCTATTATTAATTTTTATTTCTATTTTTAATTAAAAAAAGAAATATTTTTATTAGTGATAAAATATTTTACATTACTTTGTTTTTAATTGTGAACGTAACAATATCTCCCACTACAAGGTGTAATGGTTATGATGGTTTTCGCATTGTGGCACCTTACCTAAAGGAATGTAATGTTACAACTTACAATAATGTCTTCCAGAGAAGAATCAATGATCTGATAGTTGTCTGGCAGGCAATAAAATTTCTGTGTTTGCAGGTTTAAAAATACATGGTGGCCTTCAAAAACACTATGTGTGTAGGCATGAGTGTTGTTACCTCGACCTAGTCAATTTAAAATAATTGAAATTAAAAAAAAATAAAATTTTATTTACAATACCAGGTTTTAAGTTAGCAGAGTTGCATAGCGCCATTTTAAACAAAAAGTGTAAGTTACTGCAAAACATATATTTATGTATATTAAAAAAAATAGAGTACTTACCTTGAAAGTACTTGCCACAAACCATACAAGCATACACATTTATATGAGATAATGAAATAGAGCACAATTTCTCAAAGTCAAAATCAAGAACAGATCTGAAAAAACAACAGCAGATTTATATTTTTAATTATTTTTATAGCCTATATCATTCATGAATTAATTTCATATGAACCTATTCATATATATATACATTATTTGTATACTGATAACTTTGGATGCCTGATATAATGTTTACCTGTTGATTGTGTCTAAATATGGGCAAGATCTACTTCTGTCTACTTTTGCTTCTTTATGTGGAACTGAAAACAAAATATCAAAGGATTACATTTCTGTGTCAAGTTTCCCTAATTGTAATTCTATGCTAGATTCTACATGATATATAGTGTGACTGTAATTAAATAATAAAACTTTTTAAAATGCAGCTATTGCTAACATTAACCATGTGTTTTTAACTAATTACATAAATTAGGTCCCTGATGTAAATTTAGATCAATTTAAAATTAAGTATAGTGAAATAACAAGCAATGAATAGCAAAATATTTGTAAAATATACCTACTTAGTATGACAAATTAGTAATATTTAAAACAGGGTTCAATGGTTAAATGTGAGATGCAGACTTTGAACAGTGCCTTGCAACTTTTAAGTTTATTTTTGTAATGTTACTAGCAACTAGTTCAAAGTATCTAGAATCTATATCTAGATCTATGTGCTGTTTTTTTTTTCAGCACATGAGATTAGTTTCCATCGTTGAGTAAGTATGCAGATGAATACCAGATGATTGATCATCTTTTTATTGTGTCGAGTTTGGGCAATTAACGATTAATTTTAGGCCCAAAAGATCTAGATCTATGTGTCTTCACTATTGTAGTGACTTTACTTTTAACACTTACCTTTTCTTAATTACTTACTAACACCCTCCCCCCCCACACACACACACACTGAGACTGAACTGAGATTATTACACACTACAACACTGTACGTGACTGTAGTGACTGACAACAGTGACTACAGACACAGATTCCACATCTCAGAATCTGCATAATCTAGATCTAGTCATAATCATTACATCACTCATCACTAAGAATGTGAGATTTTTTTGTATCATATGATTATTATAATAATAACTAATCTATATATATAATTCTCTTCTGGGAGACGTTAGAAAACAAGCTGCAAGCACGCGCCATGCAGTCCCTTCTCTTCCTCTCAATCGCTACCACCCACCCCCACCCCCTCACATGGTCAGGTGAGTTGTAGTTCACGCTAAATGTTTACAAAACAATTGTAGAGCTGGGTTTGGTGACAGTTATTAGGGGCAGATAATTCAGTTTGAAACTATTTTAAACTTAGAGAAGGTAACTAAGAGGAGGCTGCTTTCCCTGGGGGGGGGGGGGGGGGGGGGGGGGGTTGGTGTTTTAAAGCAAATATTTTCAGTGACAGCATTGGTACTGTCGAATTCACAAATTATAAATTACTGAAAAGTAGAAAAACAACTAAATAGCAGCGTATGATACACTGCGGGTCGGCTCGTATTTAATAACATTTGATTTCAGTCTCACTCTCTCCAGTCCAGTCTCCAGGACTTCCTCAGCTGTGAGTAGGCCCTAATTCCCATTTTCAGTAGGTCTGGATTTTAATCGAACCAAAATACTTTCATTTATTGAATTTACCAATAGTGTCTTATTACCTATTTGATCATCCTCGTCATTTGGGGACTTTTTCATCTTCATTCCTATTTCGCGATTAATATCTGTTTTGTTTTCCGATTTCATGGTGGTCGCCATTTTTCTATGGTGGAAAATGAAACTGAGGGACCTGCTATTATAATTTTTGTTATTAATCAATGTATCTTGACGAATATAAATCTTTTATCAGGTAGTAAAAGAAATATGCAAATAGTGTATATAAATTATACATTTTAATAGAACCTTTAAATCAGTAATCATCATATAAATAAAAAAAACCCATATGCATTTTTTTGAGTATTTATCGTTACTTAATGCTCCCATGCTGGTAAGTTTCCGTACAAGTACGAACTATGTAGCCTAGAGAAAAAAAAATGTCTGTAGCAGTGTCTTCCAGATCTTGCGAAAGCCCTGGTTGTGGAGAGGGTGCAAAACTTCAGTGTCCAACTTGTATTAAACTTGGGATACCTGGCTCTTTCTTTTGTTCACAGGTATTTTGTTTCATGTCTCTACTACTAAAAACTCTAGTCCTACATCCATAGTCTCAGAACTTAAATAAAAAAGTTTCTTAGTTTGGTCACTTGTGTCAGTTCAGTATGTGCCGTGCTATGTGTGTGTGACAGTGATGTGTTGTAAATCTGAAGCTAGAGATCTAGAATCTAGACCTAAATTGAAATTCTGGTGAACATTTCCTAATTAACTTTATTTTTGTTATAATAGATTTCGTCCACTAGCTAGACTGATTTTACTAGGCTGCTATGACTGTATGAACTGTATGACAGAAGGCCTAAGCCCTAATCCTTGGCCTATTTGTTACAGCTCTGAACCATGCTTTTTCTTTTCTATTTTTTTATGCCCAGTTGTGGGAATTCCCATCAAAGATCTACTAGATCTAGTATTAGTAGGATATTAATACTACATCTAAATCTAAACATTAGCATTTTAATTTTTACCCAGACCAGTCTATTTAAAAATTTAGTTTCGCTTTATGAATTATTAAGTATTAGAGTCAATAAGAGTTGTAAGAGCCACCAAGAGCCAATGCAAATTTTAAGTTGTTTTTTTAGCTTTTAGGTGTTAACTGAAACAATCAACAATGGCTTTGGCCACGACGGGGGGACGGGACGATCTGTCCAGGATTCAAAGGGTCGATTCTACTTATTAGGCTAAGGCTTAAGAGTTAAGACTTTGTCTAATTTAAATCTGCGTCAAAATAATCAGAACCTGCAATCAACTGACCGATTACACATTTCACAGCTTGTCTTATTCTTGAGCTTGTCTAATTCATTTACCATTGAATCTAGATATATACCTTCATTTCTTCAACTTACTGAAATATTTTTATAGTCAATTGTTACTGTTAGCAAATTCAAATTAATGATGAAAAATATAACATTGTAAATAATATTCAGGGCTGAGTGTAGAGAGCAAAATTTGGTTTGGGCTATAAGTATAAGGTTAATGAATCATAATTAAAATAGGTAGGTATATGGACTTTAAAGTTATCATTTAATACATATAATATTCAAGATTTAAAGCTTAGAGATTATAATAAAATAATAATGAAGTTGTGCACATATGCCATTAGGACAGTGTGAGTGTTGTGACATTTTTGTGATAGTGTATTTAGTGGATGTGCATGGATATTACTAAGGTACTGTACATTAATTTTTTCTTATAAATAGAAATTATTAAAAATGTTAATTTGCTTCAATATCATTTTGGTGGGGAAATTGTGGAAGATGTCATTTATTATTTTAGGGTGTGACTCAGACTGTGAGGGTGACTGGTGTTAATTTTTTGTATGATTTGATAATTATTTGAGAGGGGGGGGATAGAGAAAAGGAGGCAATTACACATTAATTTTGTGTTTTTAATTTTTAGCTCCTGAAAATGATTATGATTGAAAGATCCAGGACTAAGAAAATACAGTCTGTCATAATTATTATGTTTATTAAATTTACAGGAGTGCTTTAAAAATTCTTGGGGTGAACATAAAAAGCTCCATAAATTAGCAAGTAAGTTGTTCACAAACTTAATTAGTACTAAAAAAACATTGATACATCTGAAAATTTTATAGTATCTTAAACAAATACATTTCATTATTATCTCTGTGTCATTACCTTACTATTGTTCCTAATATGTCACTTTTAGAGCCTAATAGCGAGAGCAATGAACAGTTCAATCCATGGCCAGGGTTTCGTTTTACAGGCACTCTGCGTCCAGCACCCCTTGTAAGTTTCCACTTCACTCTTCATAACTGTCATTTCATACACTTAACAAATCTGAATTCAATGAATGGCACCATTGGAGGTAGAGTTGCCAGTAATGTTGTAAACTAAAAGAAAAGACATGTTAACAGATTTTTTAAATTATGAAATTTATAAAATCATGTTTAAATTTGGTTATAGTAAAAGCTAAAGACTTAATGAAGTGTATGAGATATATGCTTTATAGTTTTTGTGTAACACAAAATCAATCTTGCAACAATGTTTTTTTTTTTTTTTTTTTGCTAGAGTGCAACAAGAACAGTTCCTGATAACATAGTCAGACCAGACTATGCTAACCATCCTACGGGTAAAATCTTTTTCCAGTCTCTAGTTTCATTTGATTTTCATTTCTAGTCATAGTGGTAACATTGAAATTAACAGCAGTTGTGTTCTGTACAAAATATTTACAAAAATAAAAGTGTTACACACACACAGTTCTAAATTCAACAATTAAGTATAATTTTTTTTAATGCTGACTTGAGTTCCTGAAAGCCATTTAAAAAAATGACACTTCATTATCAATAAATAAGTAATAAATAACTATAGTGGATATAACTTTCATATACATTATGATATTTTAATAAATTTTATAATATTTCTATTATATTATAAAGGGAGAAGGGAAAATTATATGGCACCTGAAAATAAAGACTAGTACAGGTTGTGATTAAAACAACACTTATGTGTACTTTTTGACAGTATAAACATACTAAAAACTAAAATAATTTACAGGTGTATCAGAAAGTGAGAGACAAATGAAAGGAACAACTAACATACGAGTTCTAACAGATGAAGAACAAGAAGGAATGCGAGTTGTCTGTAAGGTTAGTTAATGTTTTGTTTTGCTTGAAATCATGTTTTTATTTTTTAAGCACAAACCAATTCTTTGATTACTGGCACATCATATCAAACTTGATTTAAAAATGAAGTCAATTTTTTCAGCTGACACGTGAAATACTAGATATTGCAGCAGAGGCAACAGCAGTTGGTGTCACAACTGATGAAATTGATCGATTAGTACATGAGGTTAGTAGTATATTAATTGTATTAAAGTAGCTGAAGAATTATAATACTTTTGTGTCTCACTACATAGTTTTTTTAAGACATGCAGATTAACTGGAATCATATAGTCTCTGACAAATGTAGTGTAGATATTTTATACCTTATTGTTGAGAGTTTTAATACTATCCTATTACTGAGATATGAGATTTTTTTTTTTATGTGTCAGGCAACTATCGACAGAGATTGTTATCCTTCACCCTTAAATTATTTTGAGTTTCCTAAATCATGTTGCACGTAAGTTAATTTTTTGTTTCAACACTTATATGTATATTTGCTTTTTTTTTCTTCCAAAAAATTAGTTGTTCAATGAATATGCCTAAACGATATTTCCTAAATGTATTGAACCTCATTTCTGTTGCAGATCCATCAATGAGGTGATCTGTCATGGAATCCCTGATAAGAGACCTTTAGCAGATGGTGACATCATGAATGGTAAGTAGATCACTAGATTGATTGTAGGAGTTACCAGTGGTGGCAGCCCAATAAGGCTTGTAATTTTAGGAACATTATACAGTATGTTTAATAGAATACAGAGTGACATATGTTTAAAAACTCCACAACTGATAATACTACACTTTAAAACAGGTTTAAGTAAACCCATCACTAACCATTACACTGTCAGATCCAAAGGGAAAAAACAAACATTTTAATAAAAAATTTGTATGAAAACTAACTCGCTTTAATTTGTCTTTTTTTTAGTTGATATCTCAGCCTATCACAGAGGGTATCATGGGGATGCCAATGAAACATTTTTTGTTGGAAATGTAAGTGATAGTGCCAAAAAGCTGGTGAAAACAACCTATGAGTGTCTGATGCTTGCCATCAATGAAGGTAATGCTTGTGATTTTAAATGTGGGAGGGAGAATGGCATGTCTTTCTGAATCAAAGTTTACTGAAAACAATATTCTTTTAAGAGTTCTGGCTAAATAAAAATTAAACTTAAATAAAAGCCTTTCTGATTCTATCCTAGATCACTGTGTATACAATACTTTAGCTGACTCATTTTTTAAACATCTCAGTAAAGCCTGGTGTGAGATACAGAGATTTAGGTAATGTTATACAGAAACATGCCCAAGCTAATGGATATTCTGTTGTGAGAAGTTACTGTGGACATGGAATACATGAGTAAGTTTTTGCCACATGGCTTGTATTATTACTTCATTTTGTTCCCATGAGTTGTTAAATCAAGTTGGAAGTTTTGTATACATGTGGCCCTAAATGAAATGTTACAGGCTATTTAGTTCTCATCAGTTCGCTATTTGTTATGAATTCTGCTGATGGTGCATCAGCTTATTCACCTAACTAAATTGCTGTATGCTTTGTACATATTTATTTTGCAAAATACAATAGGCTGTTGCTCGTAATTTTTAAACTCCACTAATTTCAAATAAAATTATACCACAAAAAAACAGTATTTTTTTCCCTACACATTGATACCAATTTTGTGTCTCTAGCTTAATTAGGAGCTAAGATATGGCCTTTTAAAAATTTGTGGGCGTGGCTAAAACAGCTTAGACCTTCGTCATTCAAGTCAATGTTACATAAACAAAAAAGTTGGCACAGATGGTTTTTTCATTGCATCATCACGGATTCGCATTTTTCGAAAAATTAAAAAATTATAATTTTATTGCCTCATCCGGGATTCGCATTTTTTGAAAAACTAAAAAATTATAATCAAGCTTAAATCCTAAGTTATACTGGACTGGATGTGATTTGAATGAGTAATTACATGCCATTGTCAGCCTCATAACATATTGACTTATTGCTCCATGTACAAAAAAAAATTAATGTAGGTTTTAAATAAAACTAGATCTAGTTATTGTAAAACGAATTATTAATATTTAATACTGTTACTACACTACTATTATTATATTATAGAAATGCACAAGCACATATTACTGCACACGTTCTTATTGTAATGAACGATATTACTTGGGTAGATGAAGTAGAGTAGACCTACATACACACACACACTACATGATAAACGAAAGTTGCAACTGGTTGCCTTGACGTTACTTTCTCAGACCCCCCCCCCCCCCCCCACCCCTTTGTACTTGATATCAGTGTCTATATCAGTAGGCCATAATAAAATTATAAAATAAAAAGGAAACAGCTGTCAAAGTGTGTACCAGTATTTATTTATTACTAGTAAATAATTCAATGTAACAATACTGACAATACAGACATTTCAATGTTTGCTAAAAGAAATATAAATTATTAAAATACAGTTATCAGATCACCATATGAATTTTGATTTTGTCTAATAAAATAGAAACATTTAGGAGAATGGCAAAGTATAAAACAAAATTTTTTTTGCAATAATTTAAAAATATGTTTATCAGAGCAAAGAAATAAATTACATAGCGACAACCTAAATTTAGCCTTTGTATAATCTACAATCAACATAGTATTGTAAAAAAGTTACATAATCATAATTAGTGTGAAGAAACAAATCTACAGTACAAAAAATCAGCCTCGTCTCATTACGATCCCATTCAAGAAGAAAAATAGTATTAATTATCAAGGAATAAACACCCATGCCTTGAGTGTATGCTGGAAAAAAAAAATTAGTGACAACAAATTTCTTGGATTACTTTAGTGTTTAAAAACAATTTTCTAAGGTATCAATTGTAATTAATCTTTAGATACAATTTCAATTAGCACATATAAGGAAAAGAAATACATTTTTAAAAAGCGTTACTACTTGAGTGATCAAACTGAAAAAGAAAATAGTTTAAATTAGTTTGGACCAACATTTTTGAAGCACGCAACTAATGATTCTAGGATTATCTTGCTGATTCAAATTACCCTGAAAAATAAGTTACGTAATTGAAATGTAATTATTTTTTTACATTATGAAAACAAAACTTAATTATAAACATTGTTAATGTTAGTTTTCAAAATTTTTACAATTCACAGCAAGCATTTTTTCAGTAACAACTTATAAAAACACTAATGTTAAAAAAATAAAGTTAATTTGTATACTACAAATGAAAGAAGTACTCTGTAACTCTTGATTAGCAATTATTCAGTAAGAAAAACAAGATTCCTACAAAGCAAGTCAACAACCAGTGATTCTGCCAGATGACAGATTCTCAGCATTATCCTAATCATCTGCCCAGTAGCTTATGGTGTAAAGAGCTGACTTTTGTTTTGTTGCTGGCACCCTTTCAATAGTCCTTCCACTGTATTGCGACACTCGCTGATCACCTTGCTCCCACTTATGAGTCAACTGGCCACCAATCAGATTTCCCATCAGAAACCTCTCCAGCTGTCGCACCAAGAAAGACTCAGTAGAAGTCAACAACGCTTCCATGACTTTAAGAAACAGAGTACAACTGATCGCCACTTTGCGTTCTTGTAAATGATCTTTATCAAAGGACCAGAAATTAATTTCCCAATCAGCCTGAGTGCTTGCAGCGCTGGACGAGAACCCCAGGCTTCTTGAGATCTGCAAGCAGTTGAATGTAGATTTTAGTAATGTCCCAGCAGCCACATCATTCTCTTTAAGATGAGCCTTGAATAAAAGCTGGATCTCCATGAAAACTACCTGAAAAGAGAAGGGCAAATGGAATTAGAATTAAGCAGACCATTTCACAAAATATATATGTAGCTCAACATATTGCAAGGTATATAAAATAAATATAAAAATTAGAAATAAATTCAGCCTCCATACTTACTAAATGTGCTTCCACCTGAGGCATTGAACATAGATAGGGCTGTACACAAGTTCAACCAACCTAATCCACTCACAAGCCTCTGTTCTCATCAGCCGCTTTATCTCAGCCATCAACTTTCTGATTACATTAGCAATCCTCCTTACACTGGGTTAGTCTTGCCTATAAGCAAATAAGATTTACAAGGAAAACAAATTTACTCAAGCTGTAGGCCCTATGTATAGGCCTATTTTTTTTTTGCTATAAGTCTAGTATTAACTTCATATTTAAAAAAAAATTACCAAGTACTGAAACTGGCCTTAATAAAGAGGTCTAAATAATCTGCTGAAATAATAGAGGGCATAGCATAGGGCTTTATAAAAAATTATTATATATAGGCCTAGTTATATAGATATATTATATATACATATATATATAGGCCTAGGCCAGGCCTATTTGATGGAGAATTATGCCTGAACTAGTCTAAATCTAATCTTAACAATAACAATGTCTTACTATTTTTACAAGATCTAGACTCCTTGGATGAAATAGAATGCAAGTTTCTGCAAAAATAAAATAATAAACATAAATATAATTATTGTAACTAGATCTAGGCCCTAAACAAAATTAACTAGTCTATTTCTTAATAGATCTAGATTAATTTTTACTAGATCTAGTCTAGATCTAGAATACTCGAATCTTAGATCTAAATACTAAATCTAGATCTAGATTCTTTTTAATTTTTTTACTAAGTCTAGATTCTAGTTACTAGATCAGTAGATTTTTCTAAATCTATTCTTGATGATGTAGAATATAATTAGTAGATCTAGCTAGATCAAGATCTAATAGCCTATTTTTATGTAATGATCTAAAAATAAAATAAATGTACAGTCTAGTCTAGAGTCTAGATCTAGACCTATTCAACCGTAATAATTTAGTATACTATGTAGGCTACTTAAACTAATAAAATTAGAATTAGAATCAAGGCCTAAGTGACAATGAATAACTAATACTAATATCATAGGGCGGATATCAAGAGATGCGATATTTTAATTATGTAATAATTACTGGGAATTTGGCGCGAGAATAAGGCTTACTCGCGGGCGACATTTCTGCCTATGTGGAGGGTTAAGACATAATTTTTTAACAGATATTATTTTTTTTCGACCCTTAGACTTGAATCATTAATATACTTTTCTCTGACTTTAAATTTTAAGTATATAATTAATTATCCAAACTTACCTTATATTTGAGCACACTAATCCTTGGTGATGTTTCAAACAAAACACAAGAAATGAAACGCAATTAATTTTTAAAGCATCTTATCGTAAAGATGAGGACCCCTTCGTAATTAAATGTAGACCGTGGGCTCTGCTCATTAGCATAAACTGATAGGCCCCTAAATACCTAAGGTCAACCGGAAGCCAGAACTTCAGGTTCAAGGTACAGCCATGATTACCATGGCAACAAAGGTCACGGCGCAAGCTGCGCAACTCGCTAAATACAAATCTTACTCATGCTTTCAACCAAAGAATCAAAATACTTCTTTATTATGCAAGCAATACAAACCTGATAATATATAATTTTCAACTATGCTGTTTGCGTTGTTCAGTTGGTATTCCATACTGTTATTCTTAGATTACATTGACAGATCATTCACACAGTATTAGTAACAAGCTATTTTTTTTAATAACAGATTGTTTCATACTACTCCAAGTGTACCTCATTATGGAAGTAAGAAGCTACTTTATAATTTTTTTCATTTATGTAAAGTTAGTCTATTATTAATCAGCGCTAAGTTGTATAATGGACAAACTTTTTTAAAATTTAGAAAACAAAGCCATTGGAATCATGAAACCTGGACAAGTGTTTACCATTGAACCTATGATAAATGAAGGTAAGCTGTAACTTAAACTTATGGGCAGGTTAAACCCCCAAATTGAAAATTAGGTGTTAGAACTTTTTTGAGTGATAAGGAAGTTGTAACTAACATAATATATGAAAAATATGCAAAAAAATCACTAAAAAGTTATGGTTTTTTGAAAATATTTTCTAAAAAGTGTCATTTTAGGGTTAAATAGCTCAAAATTAGCTCTCATTGAAATCACAATAACACAGCTTCTGTTTGTCAGAATAACACAAATCTTTTACATAGTGTAGTATACGCAATTACAAAAAGGATGAACTAAAACAATTCGAAAATAATAAAAAATGGATTTCAGCCAAATTTTTTAAAATGTGAGACCTAAAAAATTTCCAAAAAGTAGGGAGTAGACTTAGCTTTTTATTTTGTAAAATGTGAAGTATCAAAGATATAGAAATTCTTTTAGTTCAACTTTACAAGCAATGTTTAGTGAACATGTGTGCAAAAATTCAACTAAATATCTCAAGTAGTTTTTGAGTTATAGTGATTTAACTGGTACAATTTTGTTGAAAAGTAGCATTTTGAGAAAAACGCTAGTGAAAAATATACTAAATTTGAAAAAAACGAGAAAAAGCAAAAACTATACCAAAAAATCATTTTTAAAACCTCCCAGTTACATAAATTGCATCTGGAGCCTTGTACTCGGCAATAAGAACATCTATTTTAGTTTTTAATTTTTATGTTGCAAAATGTTGCTTAATAAAATATAGGGGAATTACGTCATTACTCTCATTCATTAAAATTTAAAACAAGTTAATTAAAAAGTCTAGTGACAATTTTAGCGCAATTTCCTTATGTTATCTAAAAATAGCTCTTACGTATAATGCTGGGGTGCGTTCAAGCTAGGAGAACGATCGGTTTGTAGGTGTTTATGTAATTTTAAAATTTGTGACAGAACGAAAGGATATTTTTGAAAACTTTCTTCGGCAATATTGTTCTAAATTATGGCAGGAATCGATTGGTAAATGTTTCAAGTCGCTAAGTGGTCTGGTTGCCGAGATATGGGCAAAAAACTGCATTTTTTCGAGGTTTTTTGGCTTTTCCGTGAAATCCAGGAAGGAATTCCGGGAATTTTTTTGGCCCACTATCATCCTCGGAACTTGCTTAACAAATTTGCTATTGGAACTAGTCCTCGATATTGCTTCGTTGAGGAGGAGATACGACTTAACGCTGCGAACACACATTCCCAGAAAAGATGAGTTGATAAACGCAATTCTCCAGAATGGAAATTGCGCTAAAAAATATACTAGCAATACGTAATTTGGCAAAATAATTATACAAAAATGTTCAGAATTGAATGTAGTTTCAGGAACAATAGATTTTGAAAAATCAACATTTCTAACTTTAAAATATGTATTTTGGGGGGGTTTAACCTGCTCTTATTGTACTTTATTTGAATTGATATCACCTCAACACTAAAGATAAAATGAATTTTATATTTACCATATATACAGGATCTCTCTTACTTGTGGTATACTGCGTATTGGATAACTTTGCATAAAATGTGATAACCTGATATAAGCAAATGATTTTTTAAAAACTTTCTACCAAAAGGTTTTTTGGTGTTTTAGTCAAATTAAAAAACTCCAGTATAAAATAAAACTGGAAAATTGTAGTTTGCTGGCCTTGGTATATTTCTTACATCCATCAGACTATTGAATCAGCCAGGCAGTACTAAGACATGAACATTACATTTGTAATGACAGGAAAGGTTAATATGAATACTTCTAATGCCTACTTATTGAAGTTAATTTTTTAAATGACAATGAATCCCATAGAAAATTTATTTGGTTTTATACTTACTTCAATTCAGGAACCTGGAAAGATGAATTGTGGCCAGACAACTGGACAGCAGTCACTCAAGATGGCAAACTGTCTGCTCAGTTTGAGCACACTTTGATGGTGACAGAAACTGGCTGTGAAATTCTGACCCGTCGCTTAGATAACAATGGACAGGCTCATTTTATGGATAAAATGTCATGATACTCCTTGTGCGACTAGAGGCACATCACAATCATTTTAAACAGAAATGGAATAGCAATTCTAGATTATCTGATTGTTTTAATTGGTTAAAAAAGATTAGATGTGAAATTTGAGTGAACAGTTGCAAGCATGGCATGTGAAGTGTATAAACATTGGATTCAGCTGCTGCGCTATACAGTGGTTGTTTGTTAACTTTTTGTTTTTCTTAATTAATCCCAACCTTTTATACTGGATTATGCATTTGAATAACTGCTCTAATTAAATGAAATCTAACCTAAGTGACCTCCATACTGAATAAAGATCCTCGTCTAGGCTAACAAATTTAGCCCATTCTTCTGATTGTGCTAAAACTAAAAACATTAAAACTTTACTGTCACAGCAAAAAAAAAAATTCTAGGTTTTTAAAGAATTTCACTAGGTCACAATTTCATTAGGCCAGTTGAACCAAAGCTTGTCCTTAGATAGTATATATGTAATCCTATCATTATTGTCTGATAAACTGATGTAGAGCAAAGATACAATGCAATTGTGGGTAATTTACATTTGACTTCTTAAATCTTGAGTAAAAATTGTAATTACAAATTTTAGTTCAGCAGAATGAGTTATCAGACTAAAAAGATCAGCTGAAATATGAATCAAATTGTTCTGGAAATAAAAATTGCTTTTATATTGTCATGTCTTCTGTTACATCCTTCCCTACCGAAGCAGACTGTTGTCCAAAAAGTGCTTGTAATTTTTAAAATCTCTTTTGGCAGCAAATTCTTATTGAATTATACTAATGCATTTTGTCAATAGTCGCCAACTAACTACAATGGGAATACCCTTGCTAGTTAAATAAAATTTCAAGATCACAAATGTTGGTCATGGATGATAATTTAATGTGAATAAATAGACTAAAGTAGAATTAGAACATTAAAAAGTATGAAAAATGAAGCATTACGCAAACAAATTGTACAATCTAATTTTGTTATTATTGCACCAGCTCCTACTTAATCTCAAGTGGGATGTTGTGCGGTAAACAAAATATATTTCATAAAAAAAAAACAACCTTTCTTATGTTGGTTGGTTAATAGTTACTAAAAGGAAAATATTGGAAAAACTATTAACCAACCAACATAAGAAAGGCTAATAGGTCACATATACCTACAAGTAAATAATTGAATGATTCTGATAGAATTAAAAATATGTCAACAAATGTGTTAAGCTTTGAGTTAACAAAAAAGTGCACGAAGCTTTATTTACAGCCAAATAAAAATATATGGGTATTGTTATATTAAGACAACAGTAATATTATGCAAAAACATTGCACTTTTTTGTGCAATTTCTATTGTAAACGTAAATACTGGCATAAAACATCTTTATAAAAGACAACATTAAAAAAAAAAAAAAAATCACCGTAATAAAAAGTCAATCGACTACTCATCAATACACAGCTATTAAAAGATATGGGCTAAACATGTCATTGACAATAATAAGAAAGCATTACAAAGTATTCTCATTAAATAGACATCGAGGCTGAATTTGTTGATGGGCGTTTTCATTTATAGACTTAAGTGGTGATCTCCTCGCTGATTTCTTGACGGGGGAGTCGTAACACTGTCGACAGACCGCCAAATACTTGTCTGCTCCTCCTATTACTTCAACCTGAAAAGTTGAAGTTACTTTGTTGGTTAAAAGTACATATAGCCAGGCATTTCAACTTCTGATCTACTACAACTTGGCATGATTCTGAGTAATTATTTCAACAAATTAGAGAAATTAAGTTGCTTTGTATTAAAGTAAAATACCTGTGTTTCTGAGCCAATTCTTTTAGTAAAAGATGCTTCATTATAGCAGTTCATACACACAGCTGTTAACTTGTGCACATGTTCAGCCAGTGGCACCAGATTTAGTATGTCCCCAAAGCCCTACATTGAGGAGATGGCGCTGTGTTAGTGAAGAGCTATTTTATTCTGGTCAACAGCCACTAGTTATATAATTAACTAGTTGCGAGATAATCATGAAAACACATACCTTTTTCTGAAATGTTCCATCTAAAGCAGCCACAATAACAACTTTGCCTTGATTTGCCATTTTCTCACAAAAAGCTACAACATCAGGGAACTGAAAATAAAATGTCTTAAATTGGCATTTTGTTCAACATCAGATTAGCTATGTACCAGAACATAGGAAGAATGCTGCTTACAAATTGTCCCTCGTCTATACCAATGATATCATGTTTTAATGCCTCTGATTGCAAATCTGATAATCTCTCTGATGGAACAGCCTCCAATACTTGTCTGAAAAAAAAAATCAGATTAGATTAGAACTGTAAATAACTGGATAAGATTGAGAAATTAACTACTTTAAATGCTTAGTGCACAACAAATCTCGGTTTTGATCTGGCTTCAATTAATTAAATAATTAGTCTCAATTGCTATTACCATAGTTCTTAAGTGCAGTATTTTATGAGCGCCTGAAAACTAATTTCAATATCTTTAACTGGATGGCATACTAGTAAGTAAAGTTCCCTTTCAAACCTGACGGTTTCTGTGAAGAGATAGTGTGGTCAGCACTATGCCCAGCCGCCTTTACTTACCCTACATGAGTTAGGTGGACTCAGGGACGGTCTACTGACTTAAACCCAGATTTGAACTCGAGACTTACAGGTTAGCAGTCCAGCTCTCTACTGCTAGGCCACTCCACCCCATGGATGGTATACTAAGAAATCCAGAAATGGTGCAGCTCTACCTTATTGTGAGGCAGAGTGTGTTCAATTATACATCAAGTTATTGAAAATGACCACAGAGTTGCTAAACTTACTTGTCATGAGTGGCTATCCCACCAACATCATAGCGAACATCTTTTGCATATTTGATAATAAGACAACTATAGTTGGCGATCTGATAGCGTTTCATTCGCCTCATTAATTCAGTTCTGTGGAAATATTTTTACAACTTGTTAATTTATTATCAACGTAAATTTATTTTATATTAATTTCTATGGCTGGACAGAAAATAATTGAGCTTTTAAAATCTTAATAAAAAGGTCTGCTGTTATTCTGTTAACCTACCAGTTAGAACAAATGCTGGTCTACCCTATTTACTAATTATTAAATGCGTGTTAGTTAGCCTAAAGAAACTAAATATCTACATGCTACATGTTAAACAAACTTAACTTACGTTTTCCCAGAAAACATTGGTCCAAAAATTATCTGTGGATTAGATTTTTAAATTATGGATTAAGAAATTTTGAAAATGTCCTAATTTAGGCCTATTAATTTAAGACAAGAATTAAAATTAGCATGTAGCTTTGCCTACTAAAACTAAATTAAAAATCTAGATTAGATCTATGAACTGTAATAAGTATAAACTCTATCACAAGATATGATGAAGTCTTATCTTGTATGTATTTGTAGTTTTCTGTACTGCAGCCTTTAGCCCATGCCAAAATGCAATGAAATATTATGTGAATGTATGGCGTATGCCGTATGGTCATTAATGACATTAATGTCATTCATTATGGTCTATGAAATGAGATTTCTAAATTGTAAATTTTGTACCTGTATTTGGCCATGAGAATGCCTTGCAAGGTTGTGATGGTTCTCAATGGTAAAAGCTTTAGACATTTTTTGTTTTAGTTAATGTTACGTGAAGTCTAGAAGATCTATCAGAAGTAACTAAGCGACTGTCTAGCACTTGACTTAGAGGTAGAAAGCACAAGTGAGCAATAAAGAAAATTAGAATGCCGCGCGCTTATTTTCTTAATTTCCTTTGCGCTTTCCCTACGGACAAGCAGTGTGATTTTTATTTCGGTAAATTAGTTTTTCTTAATATTATGCGAGTCGCAGCATTTTAAAATGTGTTTTTAAACAAGGACCTTGTAACATAGTCGTAGACTAATTAAAATCATAATCTTTTCCCGTTTGTGCCCAAGACACAAGGCGGTAGACTTTCTTCGGGGGGGGGGGGGGGGGGGGGGAAGAGATGTATGGTTCGGTCATAAGTGGACAGTGGACAACGAAATCAGAGAAACAAAAAAAAAAAACAACCTGTAAGGAAACTACTAGGGAGGTTCTATGAATACACCAGAAGAGATGCCTGAAAGAAACTCTGATTCTCGCTGTTTTTTTAAAAAATTAACTTTGACATTGTATATTTCAATACCGCAGCTTAAAAAAAAAAAAGCTTTTATTTTTCCTACTTTTTTTCTTGCGTCGCACCAAGGATTGGCGTCCGGGGCGGTCGCCCCTAGCTATGTCCCGGCTTAAGGCAGCCTCCATCCAGAGTTTCTTCCGGGCATCTCTTTGGAGTGGGGCGGGGGGGGGGGGGGGGGGGGGGGCAGAGGGCTCTGCCCCCCCCCCCCCCCTGAAGAAAGTCTACCGCCTCCCCCACGAAAGAAATAGAAGTTATATGGAAAATATTTACTTTTACCGGTGTCCACCCCCCGGGAAAATGTATACCGCCCCCCCCCCCCCGGAGAAAAAAGTCTTGAAGAAACACTGCCTCCATCTTGCACCTCTCCTGATAATTTATCATTGGATAGAAGCAGTGTTTCTTCCAGACTTTTTTCTCCGGGGGGGCACTTGAAATTTTCGGGGGGGGGGGCGGTAAACTTTCTTCGGGGGGGGGGCGGACACTGTTAAAAGTATATATTTTCTATATAAATTATATAAATTTCATTTCGTTCGGAGGGGGGCGGTAAAAAATTTTCGGGGGGGGGGGGGGGGGGCTCTGTTTCTGACACGCTGCCTTATATATTCGGCAGTAGGCTAGGCCTAATCTGGCTAATCTTAATTCTTAATCAAGATATAAACAATTTGATTTTTGATAGTAGCCTCCCTTGGTAGGATGGTAAACAAAATGGCAGATATGAGAGAAAATCGATCTGTATTTTCACCAACACAAAATCAAGAGATCCATTTTAATAACGAAGATAAACTCAAGGGTAATAATACTAATACTAGACTAATAGCAGTACTTTATTTACTTTGATCAAGTTTATTTACATTTGTATTAATTTCTAGGCTACTGCTTATCGCCTTATTGTAAACTGTAGTACTAGTAACGGTAATCTATCGTTTTGGGTACGTAAAATCGCCCGCGGCTATTTATGTACGAAAACATTACCTCATTGTCAAGGCTTAAATAGAAGTATATTGTCATACTTTTGTGTCAAATATTATAGATAAATGAATAATAAACCTAAATCAATGGCTAAATATATCGATATAGGCCAGAAATTAACTTTAAACAGCAGTGTCTGAGAGCAAGATTTGCTATATAAACAGCAGCCATTTGTAAAATAGAGTGGCTTCCCCCTGAATCTGGCGCTAAAAGCTTATAAAAATAAAACTTAGACAAGATGGCTGCTATAGTAAATGAGCATGGTTGCATCTGTTGGAAACATCGCTAGTCTTCATTTATTACGGAAAAGTTTTAATTCAATTGTTTAAAAACAGGTACATAAATGAATCAAGGAAACATTTTTGAATTTTTTAATACATAAATCTTCCTCAAAATGTGAAATAATTATTAAAATTTAAGGAGTCACCTGTTTTTCACATTACAAATCGCGGGCGATTTTAAATTTTACGTACCCAAAACGATAGATTACCCTAGTAACTACTCTAACTACTAGTAACTAGTCTAGTACTGTAGAATGTAGATCTAGACTCTAGAATCTAGTGTGTAGTGACACTTTTTTAGAGATTTTTTAATCTCAATCTCAGTGACTCCAGTGTAGTTGATTGTAGTAGATCTACTATATATATATAAAATATATCTAGAATCTAGTATAAATATTATTAAATAGGCCCCCCTATACTATAATATAAATAATATATAGAATCTAATCTATGCCTTAGTAACCAGAACAATAATGTAAGAAAACTGCAAACAAAATTGTGTGGGAGTTTTAAAAAATTGATATAGCCTATAATAAAATTATTTAAATTTAATAATGCCTATTAGGAAAGAATGACCAAATGATGAAAATAGTCACATAATAAAACATTTTTTGATGAATCATGAGGAAATAAAATGTTTTAATGTAATTAGTTTGTAGGTTTTAGTTGCAAATTTTTCTGGAAACCATAGGCCTAATAATACTAGTATGATGACAAAATATAGGATGTTTACAAAAAAAAAGCAGTTTATATACATTTATTATAGAAGTGGTTGGTTTTTTTTTCAGATAAAACGATGGATTCGGTTCCAGATAATGCACAAGTCGCGCCACCATCTAATGTAGTGGAGTTATGTAGAGAAACTTTTATAAAAACAGCAGAATATTTGCGAGGAGAGTTGGATGGTGAGTTGGGTTTCATGAAAAAATAAATCGTATGGTTGCCTGTGTTTTAGATGAGAATAAATCAAAATTTAGGTTAAATAAACAACATAGTTTTTAACTCCCTACTATAATGTTTTCTACTTGACTGAACAGTTACAGTAAACTTAAGCAGTAGCTGTAAACTATTTCTATAATTGTGTAACTCTCATGTGCAGGCACTGTTGAAGATTACAGACTTTTGGAAAGAATGAACCAAGTTACAATGAGCAAGTACTCAGAGATGAAGCAAATAGCCCTCAGCATCAGTGGAGCTCTTCATGACCTCAATGAGAAATGTAAGTTTATTTTTCTGTACAGATAACCTTGCTAAAGATCTTGTTTTATTTACAATTTTTACCAGCACATTTCTGTATTATCAACAATTTTTACCAGCATATTTCTGTGTTATAAATTTTTATAAAAATTATGGAGAAAAAAAAGCTTAAAAAAATACCAACAATTAACCAGACTGATGATAGGGAATTGTGTACTGAAGCTTTTGATGTGATTTAAAAACGAACCTTTTATTTATGTGTAAGCAAGTTTTTCAAAGGTTGTACAAATGTGTTTTGTAGATCAAAGTTTGCAGCCCTATCTAGAACAGATTGACCAGATTGAGCTCAGTGTGACAGCTCTTGAACAAGCTGCATATAATCTGGACCAGTATTCCAAACGTTTAGGTGACATTGCTTTATTTGCACCCAACTAGATAGGCCCTACTATTTTTATTTTGACAAAAATGATAAACAGTTTGTTCAAACATAAACAACAATCAAATATCTGGCTTTTATAGTAATTTATAAATTTATTCATTTATTTATGACTGTTAACTTAAATTAAATGTTTTTCAGAGAGTAAATTTAAATCATTGGAAAAGAGATGAGTCCAAGAGATCTCAACAAAAATCCTTATGTTAGCAGCAGTTGAATTTGTGTGTTTAGGCTTAGATCAGTTCTTGTTTGCTTGTATTGTAAAATATGCAGCAGTTCAAAATGTGTTAGGCTTGGATCAGTTCTTATCTGCTTGTATGCTCGTATTTTTACAAGGTGTCCTCAAACAATACTATAATTAGCTCATATTTTATAGTTTGTTGTAATTGCCGATGTAATGGGGTTGAGAAGGGATGTTTTAAAGGAGGGAGTTGCAATGTTGTTGACTATGAAATAGAATGGTTATTTTAAGAGACATCTTGTGCAATATTTTTTTCTGTATGCTCACATTAAGGGTTATTTAAAATATTTCTTGCATTGTATCAATGTCATCTCACTTTATATTTTAAAATGTAATTTGTTTACTATTGTCACATTAATTTCTTATTTTTAAATGTTGAAAAACATTTCAATAAAAATTTTTGAGAAAACATGTTCTGCATGATACTTAATGTGGTTATGTTTACAATCGTAGATGATAATCGTCCTTCACGAGCTACTGATAGTGTTTTAAAGCAAAATATTTTCATTCACAGCATTAGTAGTGTCAAATTCACAAATTATGAATTAATGAAGTAGAAATTAAATTTAATAGCGGTGTATGGTACGCCGCCAGAGGCGTAGCGACCCTCCCCGGCGCCCGGGGACAAATTTTCAATTTGCACCCCCTCCTCAAACTTTCGATTTGCACCCCCCTCAAACTTTCAATTTGCACCCCCCATATATTTTTTATATTTATAATGTAAAAATGCAGCAAAAATGAGATTTTAATTTGTTTTTTACAACCCATTTTGGCGCCCCCTAAAGTCATCGCCCGGGGACATATGTACCCCCGCCCCCCCCTCGCAGTGGCGCAGGCAGGGGGGTTAGGGGGATCATAACCCCCCCCCCCCCCCCCATAGACCCCTTGGTATATATATAAAGTATGAGGGGGGGGGGGTGTAATTCGAAAGTTCGAGGGGGAGGGGTGCAAATCGAAAGTTTTTAGGGGGGGGGGGTGCAAAACGAAAGTTTCTCCCCGGGTAAAAATTTGAACCCCCCCATGAGACGACGCTACTGCCCCCTCGTTACGCCTCTGTCGCCGCCGGTTGGCTCGTTATGTAATAATGCACTCAAAAGTAGAAAATAAATGATTTTCTTTAAATATATAATAATACACTACAATTTAAATTACTCTAAAGAGTAATATCAGGAAGTAATTATAGTAACTTAAATAGTAGCGTAGTCCACTCGCAGTTTGACTATCTATATGAAGACTATTTTAAGTCTTGTGTCAATTTTTGAAGACATTTTCAGGGTTTGTTTTTTCTTTTTTACACAAGGTGTAAATAATAGTTTTTGGAGAACTATGCCATTACAAATCGACAGCAAAGAGACATTGCATGTTTTGATGTCTAGATAAGGAAGGCGGAAATGTGAATTCAAACAATCATCAATTTGTTCTTGAAACATCACAAGTGTTGTTTTCTGATAAGAGTTGACTTTGAATATCTCAAACAATGTATCCTCATCCTGTAGATAAGCCGTAGCGCTGTTTCGTTCTTTCACTACGGTCAACAAAAAATGTTTTTGTGTGCCCCAAATGGTACACCTAACCAATGAGAAGCTAGTCGTTATCTTCCTCTCACAGTCCAATGATTAATTGGTAAAAAAAATTAGCCAAATATCATGAGTCTCATGGATCGTGCACATATTGTATGGCAAAAAAATGTTTGGAGCAGTGGCGGAGTTTCTTTCAGGCAGTCTACCGCCACCCCCCCCCCCCCCCCCCCCCAGAACGAAATGGAATTTATATAGAAAACATACTTTTACCAGTGTCCAATCCCCCACCCCAAACAATGTCCCCCCCCCCCCCCCCAAATATCAAGTGCCCCCCCCCCCCCCCCCATTTACCTGATATTTATTAAGTTTTCTTAACACTAAATCAATTTTTTTTATGGAGGCAGGGTACTAGTTCCTGGGAGAACGAGGGATCAAGTTCCTGGGTATTAGTTCCACCCAGTGTTTCTTTCAGACTTTTTTCAATTTCTTATTTACTTGCATAGTAAAATATGCTTTGGTTCTTGACCTCTGCATATGAAGGGAAGGTGTGGCCAGCACTTTGCCCAGCAGCCTTCACTTTCCTTAACAATAGTCAGGTATCCATCAGAGCTGGATGGAAACAGGGACGCTCTACTGATTTGGACCCAAATTCTAACTTTTCCATTTTAAATTTGGTTAAATAGTTTGCAGACACCTATGGGCTGCCTTTAACATTTAAGTCTGTCTTATCACACCCCCTCCCCCGGGTGTAAGCAGCAGAGAGGGTCGCTAACAAGATCAAGGTTGAATATACGATAACAGACATTAGTCTTGTAACAACCAAAGGCGACTTGTGAGAAGCAGGAACTGTCCAGTGAAGTTTTTACAATCCGGAACGACCGAGAGAGAGAGAGTTTGATGTGAATAAAAATGTTTGCAGTTCTGGCTTGTGTTTTGATCTATCTGTCAACTAGAGGTGGGTTCAATAAAAGCAGCACAGTTGTAGTTGTCTATTGTGGTCCTATTATTAAAATCAATTTTTAACAACTTGGCTTAAAATATTTAAAAGAAATGTAGAGTATGTGGTTAAGTGGACGGAAAAAAAGCCTGTAAAATTTGTCTACTAATAGTGATTTCTTTTGCCATTTTACGTTACCGATTGATGAGCATAACTATTCAAAAGTGTTATCTCTTGTATACGAGTAATAGTTATTAGCCAGTCAGATAGGACCAGGATAAAAAAGCCAGCATTTCTCACAATGGTAGCAGGGACTGTCGAGTTTCATTCCCTAGTGTTTGGAATGGACATGCGCCAATTTGAGGGGATGTTCGGTAGGCCTTTATAAACAGTCTAAAGTCTAAAGCGCCGGGGTTCAGAACTCATGACTTCCGGGTTGGCCAGCGCGTTCTACCGCTAGAGTCATGAAGTACAACTGAATGGTATTATAAGCCATTTCTTTACTTTTAAAGCCCATAATGGTTGTATTTTTTCTTATATGAAGGTAGACTTTCAAAGTTGCTTATGTTCTAAGCGCTAAGTTTAAAGAAACAGCATAATAATGGAGAATGCAGCATTTACTATATCCGTATTAATGAAAGGTGTTTAATATCACTTTCTGAAACTGTAGATGTATTTGAACATCGTCGATAAGAAACAGAAAACAAACGCAGACGAATTGTTTGTACGGTTCAAAAAGTTATGCTTATAAAACGACTTGGTCGAAAAACGAAATAAAATTATTTCCCAACAACAACCATCTCATTGAAAACTATGTTCTTTTACAAAGACCACACGAATTACATGCTTCCAGACTGTTTGCTCCGGGGGGTACTTGATATTATCGGGGGGGGGGGGGGGGGGGAGGGGCGGAATACATTTTCCGGGGGGGGGGGGGGCGACACTTGTAAAAGTATTATATTTTCTATATAAATTCCATTTCGTTGGGGGGGGGGTAGACTTTCTTCCAGACGCCCGGAATATTCAAATTTAAATACATGTAAATGTTCTTTATATTATTATATAGAATACCAGGATAGACAAGCATACACACAGTACAACTTATGAACATCACGCTTATACTACAAACACTTTTGATATAAAATAGGTCATCTTGATGTAGGGAGATGGTTACCTACTATAAGGGGGGGGGGGCAATTAGATCGCGGCTATTTGGCAGTGAATTAACATAGGGAATTAGATGAAGAAATGATGTTATTTCAGGGTGGCGAAATTAGTGACTGAGAAATATTCTATTGGCCTACCTTTGTATTTCACCATTACAATTTTATGCCAGTGTTTTTATTCCATCATTAAGATTTTATGCCAATATTTACCCTATCCCCCTTTCGTTTACCAGCGGATGTGACTGTGGCCCAGAACAACCAGCCATTTTTACCATCAACAAACCCAAAATTGCTTCTTGTCTTTGAAAATGCTCCTGTGGGTGAGTCAATTTCTTACAACTTTACACGTGATATGGAGATTTGATTATGAAAGTGAAATTCAATTTTCAAAAATGGTTAAAGGAAAAAAACGGATTCAACTAATTTATTCTTTTATCTTCTCCCCCAATGTTAGGTTCCTCCATCTTCCAGTTGACGGCACAAGATCCAGATAATGACACCTTATTTTTTAGGTTGGAAATGTTTTTCTCTATTTTCTAGCATTTGGAATATTTCTGTGTTATACTTCACGAGTTACGTTTTTTTAGAAAACAGTAATCAAACTTAGAAAATGAGATAATTAATTACTTAAATATTAAAACTGATAGCACAACGTCTTAATGTTTAGGCTACAATGCTTTGTCCATATTTTGTTTTTGCATATCTCGCTTTTGCTTAGATTTAAATTAAAATGTAAAAGATAAAATATTGGTATGTATTAAGCTGTTGGTCGATGAAGGCGCTTATTAACGGCATGACTGATATATCGTATCATATTTTTTTCAAAATGCTGTTAAATGTTGGTCACAAATTAACAGTGTCACCAGCATAGTCCAAGCCGTCGAGACTGAGCTAGAAAAAATGAATGCTCAGAAAAATCAAGGTAAATGATAAAAAGGATAGAAAAGGAAACAGAACAACTTTTTGTTTTTATACTTCATTTGAACCGTAGAGCCATTGGTAAACAATTTAATTACATGATAATACCGTGATTAGAACTTGATAAGGTTGACCTTTACAAAAATACTATTGAGTTTTTAAAACATCAAGTAGCAAACTATCACACAATATTAAAAAAATAACATCGATGTATAATATCTGCTCAAGTGTGATGTTGCGTTGTTCAACATAGTCTAAGATATGTCTGCAATAATTCAACCTTTGCTCTATCATTTATTTATGTTATCAAAAAAAATGTTTTATGGTTGATAATAACAGTTGTTTTTCTCGAATTACTACTCGTTATTCATCATCAGCTTTTCTCGTTCGTGCCCAAGATTCATGGGGCAGACTGTTGTGAACACATGGACACGCCTTTCGGGTGATCCGATGCATAGCGCAACACATAAGACAAACAATCACAAACGGGTTGCAAAACAAGACTGAATGAAACAAAGGCTCGTTGAAACTAAAATAATTTAGTAGTATCTGCAATATATACACCTAACACAGTCTAGTATAAACACAAAATACACAAGCTAGTAAAACTATGATACATTGGCTAAAAACTAGTATAAACCTAACCTGTACTAACCTTGGAGATCTGGACAAAACTGTGGCAATCACACACGTTTTTACACACCTTATATTCCCTTTCATAAACTGGTACAAACCGGACTATTACAACTCACAGCACGAGAACTGAACAAGGACGAACGGGATAGGGTATACAGAAACAACCATTCATCCCCCTTCACTCGTTCACTACACAGACGAAATAGAGTTTATCCGTTTCAAGGACCTTGGAATTTATGTGGATAGTGTGGTCAGCACAATGCCCATGCGCCTTGGTTTCCTTAACTTGAGCCAGGTACTCCTGAGAGCTGGGTGGATTAGAGTCAGGTACCCATCAGAGCGGAAGATGTACAATAACTTAAAAACAAATATCACGAGCCCGTTTAAAAAATAAATAATTCGAAAACCGGGAAATAGGCCTACATAAATATGTTTATCCACAGCACGGACACGGAGGAGACAGCAAAACTGGTCAGCTTGACCCCTGCCAGATATAATGGGAGCAGTTGGAACACGGACCTCAAGTTAAAGAAAATACTAGACTGGGACAATGTACGTACATTTCACATTATAAGACTGGACAATTTATGTTTATTTCACATTATTAGACTGGGACAATGTATGTTCATTTCACATTTTTAGACTGGAACAGTGTAAGTTCATTTCACATTATTAGACTGGGACAATGTAAGTTTATTTCACATTATTAGACTGGACAATGTACGTTTATTTCACATTATTAGACTGGGACAATGTAAGTTTATTTCACATTATTAGACTGGACAATGTAAGTTTATTTCACATTATTAGACTGGGAAAATTTAACATTCTGTTTGTACACCACCACTGCCATGTACACATATCTCATTACATACACAGTAATATGTGAACACATGTCTACAGCTTTACCGTGAGTACACAACTGGTCGGAGTACGTGCACAGGTTTGTAGAAATCAGATTGTTGTGTACGCAAGCGTGTACACACGTTTGTACATGTATAATTGAAGCACATACACAGGTGTGTACTCACCAGCACATGTACATGATACACACACCACCTATATTTGCCTGGAGATGATGAGTATATAATTCGTTTGATTGCACTGTTGTATATACACTTTAGGAGCAAAGTGAAAATATTCCTAGCTTGTCAACATTTAATTTTTACAAGCTTTTATTACACTCACTTCCTCGTCAGTCTGTCTAGATCGAAACGCCCGTGTGAAATTGCAGGTACTTCTGACAGATACGGTTCGTAGTTGGTACGTGGGTCAAGACATGAAGACAATGCATCGTGACATTCCATTTGACTTAGTTGGTCGCCTAATTAATTTGTTATGAATTAATTAAAATTTGGACCGAATTAGTAGGCAGTTCTATCCATACGCGTCATCACGGCCGTCTTGGGCGTGTAGCGAGGGGGGGGGGGGGGCTCTACGACAAAAGCGCATCATCACGTTCAATAGCGCGCAATGCTTTTTAGTCGGGTCAGCAGTCTAGTTCTTTACTACTAGACTACCCCATCCCATAATACTTTACTAAAACTTTAGCTATAAACTTGACCACAGACTGAACAGTATTAATTTCTTCGGTTAAAGAAGTGTTAAAGATGTGTGTTCTATGATATGTGTTCAGCTAATTGTGACAATTTTTGGATTGTAACTAAAACATCAGTAAATGTGACATGTATAGTAAAACGAATCATATTATTAAAGCAAAACTGTTTTTCAAATTGTGTATAATATATTTGTTGCTACACTATATTGTCTTAACATGCGTATAACTCGTTAATACTAAAAAGTATAACAATAATAAATACATAAAAACGTTTATAATTACAAGCTTTTATAAATGCACTAAAAAGAAGTAAATAATAATTTTTTTTATTAAATATAAAATAATTTTTAAAAATATAATAAGTCTGCGGTTACTTTAAATATAAAAAAAAATTACTTTCTTTAAATATATTAATGCACTACTATTTATATCACTATAAATAAAAGCGTGGGCTTTTATTTATAGTGATATAAATAGTAGTGCATTAATATATTTAAAGAAAGTAATTTTTTTTTATATTTAAAGTAACCGCAGATTTATAATTTAAAAAAAATTATTTTATATTTAACATTTTTTATATTATTTTATTCTTTTTAGTGCATTTATAAAAGCTTGTAATTATAAAAGTTTTTATGTATTTATTATTATTTTCCTTTTAGAGCCCTAGAACCAGAGATTTGTACTTCAAGGTGTCAGACAATATGTTTACAGTAAGTGATACAACTGTCGTCATCGTTTGTGTTTTTGTGGAGAGGGTGGAGGGCCCTACCTGAAATAAGACATTTACATCAAGTCACCTTAGATTATTTCATGTTCAATACTGCTTATAATATTATGTCTTAAACAACTTATACAGACCAGAATATCGATCACCATGATCATCAAAGACTTCAACGACAACGCACCAACTTTTCTAAATCTACCATACAGAACATCACTTAATGAGGTTAGTCTATATCGTTTTTTTTTCCGAATGGTCATGACCGAGTTGATGTAAATTCTTCCATCATTATTGTTGGCATGGATAGAAATTTTTTATTTTAGATTTTGCATTCAAAGAGACCGAAAAAAAAACCAAACCAAAAATACAAAACAAACAAACGTATCTTAAAATAATTCAGATATTTAATATTTTTTGAATCAATTTTATATAAGTTGTAAATCTACAGAACTTTAAAATATTTTTTGTGTGCTTAAGACTAACATTGATTGGCTCAACAGGAATTCTTTGATCGATATTCTGAAAACCCCACTTTAAAAAAAAAAAAAACTCATTGTAATTTGTACTCAATACTTTGCCAATGCAATTTTTAAAGTTTAGTCATTTAAAAAAAAATTTCGATAATAAATGTATACAATTAAATAATTTTTGGCTTTTTGTTTAAAAAAAAAAAGTTTGCTTAGTTACCAAAAATACTAAAAACATCAATTATATCCAATCTTTAGTAAAGTAAAAAAAAAAATCAGTCAGATTTTTATAACCATATTTATTTGATTCACATTGTGTATGATTTTAAAAAAATATTTAATGAGCCTTTAGAATGATGTTTTTAAACTAATCGCAATTAAGTCGAATTTCCCCCCTCCCGTATATACACCTATGGCACTACATAATAATATGTGTAACTTGAACCCACCTCCCCGGCACATCTGTCAATCAATATTTTCCCTGATAAAGCTGTAACTTAATGTTATACCCAGCCACATGTGTAAATTGATGGTTCTCACGAATTGTCCCCAGAATCATCCCACAGGAACTTCGGTCTTCAGTGTCACTGCTAAAGATCCCGACTCTGGTCCTGGTGGTTCTGTCGTCTACTCCATAAATGTAAGTTGGCTTTTTTACTTTCTTGTATAGCCTACGAAGCATAAAGGTAGTATTGTAATCAGTGGCAAAACTAGAAAACAAGTTAATAAAAAGTCTAGTGACAATTTAAGCGCAATTTCCTTATGTTATCCATAACAATTTTTTATTTTTTGTGACCGAACGAAAGGATATTTTTTTGCGCTAAAAAAAAAAGACAACTATATTAACCTATATCAACGGAAATAGTTTCATTTTAACGAGTAGGCCTACACGATGCTCAGTTAAAAAAAATATCATCTTAGGCCTACACGATGCTCAGTTTAAAAAAGTAGTAATTAATTTTTTGTGACCGAACGAAAGGATATTTTTGAAAACTTTCTTCGGCAATATTGTTCTAAATTATAGCAGAAATAGATTGGTAAATGTTTCAAGTCGCTAAGTGGTCTGGTTGCCGAGATATGGGCAAAAAACTGCATTTGTTCGAGTTTTTTTGGCTTTTCTGGGAAATCCAGGAAGAAATTCCGGAATTTTTTTGGCCCACAATCATCCTCGGAACTTGCTTAACATATTTGCTTTGGAACTAGTCCTCGATATTGCTTCGTTGAGGAGGAGATACGACTTAAAGCTGCGGACACACATCCATCCATTCATTCATTCATCCATCCAGAAATGATGAGTTAATAATCGTAATTGTCCGTATGGAAATTGCGCTAAAAAGGGCCACCCCGCAAAGAAAATTTCTGGGCCACCCTATATATATATATATATATATATATATATATATATATATATATATATATATATATATATATATATATATATATATATATATATATATATATATATATATATATATATATATATACTGACACAGAATACGAACATAGGATACTCATTTCTGGCCTCATGGGTTTTTTTTTTTAAAAAAAAGGCTTTGTTTGTTTTTTAAATTAAAACATTTTACAACTACATTTCATGTATGTGAGTGGATTAGGGGTCATCCATTTATGACGTCCACAATTGTTTTTGGAATTTAGACCCCCCCCCCCCTCCACAAAAATTACTGTTTACTAATCATAATTTTTAATCAACTATTCCGCACTGTTACAAACGCGCAATGATTTTAGTCATGAAACTCTATTGTAAATTTTTAAAATTTAAAGTACTGAAAAAAATGCATGAATTGATAAAATGCAACTAGCTGCATCCCGTGATCCGCCACGGTAAATCTTTTTTAAATGTGCCAACTTGGGAACAGAACAGAACAAAACTAAACATAACACAAACGAACGCAAAAAAAAACAAACCACAAACGAAAAAAATAAACACAACACTCATAACATAAACACAATTTAAATGCAATCATAAAATCATATTGCCCACAGTCTAGCCCGTAGCGCCAAATCGAGCCCTTTCCGAGCACCGGCGGACGCGTCTGACACAGTGAATGACTACAAAACAAAGGCGTAGCGACCCTTTCCGGCGCCCGGTGACAAACTTTCGATTTGACCCCCCTCAAACTTACGAATTGCACCCCCTCCCTTCAAAATTTCAATTTCCATCCCACCCCCTTAAACTTTCGATTTGCCCCCTCCCCCTTAGACTTTCGAATTGCACCACTTTTGATTTGAAATTCCCCCCGCTCAAACTTTTGATTTGCACCCCCCTCAAACTTTCGATTTGCACCCCCGCCCTAAAACTTTCGATTTCCACCCCACCCCCCGCACATTTTTTTCCAACCCACTTTGGAGCCCCCTAAGGTCGGCACCCGGGGACGTATGCCCCCCCCCCCCCCCCCTCGCTACGTCTCTCCTACAAAACCCCCAGCTTGTCCGCAAACTGAAAGATAGAATAATAATAAATAATATACAATAAATAATAGGCAATATTTAAAATATCCGTGTTTTACCTACCATATATCACTTTATCAATTCACGCATTTTTTTCCAGTACTTTAAATTTTAAAAATTTACAATAGAGTTTTATAACTAAAACCATAGCGCACCCAATGAACGTGATGACGCGTCTATAAAGGTGCGGAATAGTTGATTAAAAATTAGAAGTAGTAAACAGTACATTCAGTGAATAAAATAAATAAAAGATTGCCTTTTATCAATCAATGCTAATTATAATTTTCTAACAATAATTTCCTCTTCCACATCCGCACAATTTGCATTTACATTTTGCTAATTATATTATTGCAACACTAATTCACGTCCGTAGCTTTGCATTCACATTTTTTTTTATTATCATGAGTTTAATTTATTTATCCCTTGTCAAAATTAGAAAATAGAGTTAAATAAATTTGATTTTTCTACCCTACTGTTATTATGTTATTAAAATGTATCCAACGAAAATGATATTTGACATTGATCCATTTAATATTTTTTAGCAATGTGCGTGTATTTAATATTTCCTTTACGTTATGCAAAAGAGTAAAAACGGTGGAAGTTATAAAATAGCTACATGTCGTTATATAAACAAACCCTTCTCTATTACTTATAATAAGACACTGCGATGCACTGAAAAAGCACTGCCAGGCGCGATGTTTACTTTTAAGGTTCCAAAATCTATAGCGATGACGGACTGACACACTACCTAGCCGCTTACATTATAGATATGGTAGGTAAAACACGGATATTTTAAATACTGCCTTTTATTTATTTTATACACTGAACGTACTGTTTACTAATTATTATTCTATCTTTCCGTTTGCGGACAAGCTGGGGTTTTTATAGTCATTCACTAAATCAGGCGCGTCCGACGGCGCTCGGACAGGGTGCGATTTGGCGCCACGGGCTAGACAGTGAGCACTATGCGTTTATTTTTGCATTTAAGTTTCGTTTATGTTATGAGTGTTGTGTTTTTTTGCGCTTGCATTTGTGTTTGCATTGTGTTTGTGTTTTCATTTGTGTTTTTATTTGCGTTTGTTTGTGTTTGTGTGTTGCGTTTGTGTTTCCGTTTGTTTTTACATTGTATGTGTGTTTTCTTTTGTGTTTGTGTTGTATTTGTGTCTTTTGTGTTTGTGTTGCGTTTATTGTTTCTTTTGTGTTTGTGTTTGTGTGTTGCGTTTGTGTTTTTGTTTGTTTTTGTATTGTGTTTGTTTGCATTGTGTTTATGTTTTCTTTTGTGTTTGTGTTGTGTTTGTGTTGTGGTTTTTTTGAGTTTAGTTTTGTTCTGTTCTGTTCCCAAGTAGGTACATTTAAAAAAGATTTACCGTGGTGAAGCAAGGGTATGCATCTAGTATATATATTTACGTAACAGCATGTGTTAGCTACTGTATAACATCACTACTTTAGTAGATCTGTTTGTTATTTACAAAATAGGGGAGGGGGGATCTGGCTTTTGTGACGATGTGTGACGGAGGCGGGGGGGGGGGGGGAGTAGGTAAAAATCGTCAAAAAACAGCGTGACGTAATTTATGGATAACACCCCCAAAATAAAAATAAGTAAACGTACATAAACCGAAATTATTGTTACTATATTCTTTTTGCTTATTGTAGAATAGTAGAATAGTAGTTCTACCAACACAAAAAGTACATGTTACATTGTAAAGTCACAATGGATTGTGGGCTCCTAACCAACGCTATAAAGAAGCAAAAGTCGTCTTTATATCTAGCGGCCTCTTTTCAAAAGAATTTTGTCGACAACAGGGTGTGTTTGATTGTAGAGGACTCGGCTTTCACTATGGTTTAAAAAAAAAGGGAAAAAGAATATACAAGAGCGTAGGATGGTGTCTATAGAATAAAGATAATCTAACCGCAGCCACAGTATTCTTTTTACAAAACAACCTTCAAGTCAAAAATGCAAGAAAATTAAATTTCCTAATTATATAAAATTGATTATGGTCTGCTATGGGCCCACGCATTGCGGTGTCTGACAGCACTGAAGTTAAGACCCTGATATTAATCGAGCAAAAGAAAAAAAAAACCGGAGTGATCTCCCCTAAACTTTCTCGAATACTCTTATATAAAAATTCAGGGGATGGCAACTCAGGATATAGACATGATTTTAATTTCTTTAACTTTTAAAATAGTATAGAATCTTGCAGAAAAAGAATTGCGCACCAAGTGAACGCCAAAATATCTCTGAATAATAGTGCGGAATATTATTAGTACTTAATAAATTTGTATGTTTTTTTTTTGAGAAAACGGAGATAGCGTAAACTACTACTTCCGGTCAACGAAAAGTACTCAAAATTTTACGAAAGGCAGAGAATTAGAACTTTTACTTACGTGTGAAATTTCATGCATCTATCTGAAATAGTACTCAAGGTATAGGCATTTTAAAAAAATGAAAGTAGAATAAGTTCCACTTCCGGTTACTGGAAACCGCTGAAAAGTTGAAACAGAACTACAAATTTGATATGATACTTGTATGTAAAATTTTATCAACCTAACTATAACAGCACTCAGGTTATCTTGTTCACACACACACACACACACACACACACACACACACACACACACACACACACACAGACATAGACACGCACAATATTGCAAAACTATGTTTTCCGACTCAGGGTGGTGTAAAACGTCGAGATTTTTAAAAAATCATGATTTTTTGTGTGCATGATTTCAATACTTCTTCAATACTTAGTATATTAGAAAGTAAAAAATATAGATTTTTTATAAACTCGACGTTTTACACCTCCCTAATTCTCTGCCTTTGTCAAATTTTGAGTGATTTCCGTTGACCGGAAGTAGTAATGTACGCGATTTCGGATTTCGCAAAAAAAAAAAAAAACCAACAAAAAAAAAACAACAACAAACAACCGCATATGAATTTATAAAATACTATTATTCCGCACTATTAAACCGATATTGTTTACCTTTCACATGGTGCGAAATCCTTTTTTTTTTCTACGATATTCTATTCCATTTTTAAAAGTTTAAGTAATAAAAAATGGATTAAAATAATGTCTATATTCCTAGTTGCCATCCCTCGTAGTGTTATATAAGAATATTCGAGAAAGTTTAGGGGAGATCACTCCCGGTTTATTCGTTTTAAATTTTATTGGCTTTACTCAAGCACTCAACTATCCTTACCGTAATTACTTTTCTCAATCTATTTACCTATACCCAAATTATTCCCTCAATAAAATCTAATTCATTTTCATTTGATCTTCAATTTAATCTCGCATTGAAATTCTTTCTTCTCTTGTTTCAGGCTAGTGTCTCGGTAAGTAGTTAGACCTATTTGAATTATATGATTTAGATAGTGTGAACTTCACGCCGAGCTCGATGGCCGATTATGTTATGTTTTTTTATATTGTTTACAAAAATTTCACGATCAAATGGACTTTTTAGCTAATGAATTTAGGGAAATAGAGCTTGTAATTTTCGGTCTTTCTCAGATGGATTGACGAAATTACATATATATATATATATATATATATATATATATATATATATATATATATATATATATATATATATATATGTAAAAGATCTAATTCGCTACCTTCCTTCAAATTTTGAGTAATTTCCGTTTACCGCAAGTAATACTTTACGGTACTTACGATTTCTCAAAAACCGCAAATGAATTTATAAAAGTACTAATATTTCGCTCTATTATACAAACATTGTTTGCTGTTCCCTTGGTGCGCAACGCTTTTTTCATCGAGATTCTATTTTAAAAGTAATTAAAAAGCATGTATATATCCCGAGTTGCCATTCCCCGTAGTGTTATATATGAATATATTTAGTTTCACCATTTGATTTAAAATATTCACATTTATTTAAAAAAAATAACAAAAAAAATCAACGAAAAAAAAACAACAACCCCACACATCTTACCCCCACACACCTTTTCTGGCAAGTTCAGAAACGAGAAGTTGATGACCTACTAACAAGCCCTATTATTAGCATTAGAGAATCGTCTATTCGGGAATTTGCACCATACCAGTAGGGCAAAGTATACTCGCTCAAACGGTATTTCGAGAAAATGTTTGTAGGCATTTATTTAAAAAAAAAATTAGCAGTATGTTTTTTGTGTTTAGTTGAGACCTCCGAACGAATTTAAATATAATTTCCTTAGCAGCATTAGACACACAACGAAATAAACAAAATAAGACATTTGTCAAACCTGCTGTTAATATTTAGACTATTAATTACACATTGTCTTTTTAAAAAGATCCGTAGAGATATGTATCAAGAATGCCAACTTAATCTTAAACATAACGAAGCTGAGGCCCCATTAGATTTAGATGCAATAGATGGACTCAGAGGGTCCCACCATCTCGAGCAAAGGGCCAGAAATTCTAGGTGGACTAAAGAGGGCCAACCGTTTCAAACCTAGGTCCCTCGGAGCCAGAGGGCCAACATTTGCAACAAAAGCCCATCAGAGCTGGTTAGTCTCAAGATGGCCCATCGTCTCTAACCAATAGGCTAGTAAATGTTGAACCAAGATAGTCAACCACAACTATAGTCATTTTTTTTTATTACAAAAGCACTATCAAGGCAAAGTCGCACAGAAATTAAGTTTATTATTTTTCTATAGTTATGGTCGGATTTTTGGTGCCTTAACCTCCTCTCCTTTGTGCCACTGCTAGACGAACTAAATATGAGATGATTGTATGTCTCAAGACTGACTAAATGATTGTATGTTTCTAGACTGACCAGCAAGAATACAGCCAGACCTTCTCTATAGACCCCAACAGTGGGGTCATCACCCTACTGAGGCCACTAGACTATGAAACCAGGTCGTTTTATCATTTCAACGTGTATGCCAAGGTCAGTTTTTTCTTGCTCTCTAAATAAATAATCCAATCTTATAGTGTATCAAACTCAGTCATACAAAGAACACACAGCACGATACCAACTGACAAATATAAGGGTGTCCACCTAGGGACAGAACTAAAAAATAATACACTCAAAAATAGTCGTGACTGATCAAGAACACTCATCGAAGCTCACGTGAAAGTCTTCAAAGAAAGCGTTGTCAACAATAATGGGATATAATACATTTAACACACAATCAATTTTAAAGCGACTAAACAAACCGAGACTAAGAATAAGATTATAAAATAAAAATGGAGAAATATTTAATTTAAGTAGCTAAGTGGACACCCCACCACAAAAAATAAATTATAAAGCATAATGGAAGGAGATTAGGAAATGCAAAATATAGAAATAGATATAAAATAAAACACCTTTTTAACATAATTGTAAACAACGTGATAACACTGTAGCATATTTTACATAACATCAAATGTGTTTGAAAAAAGTAAACCATAAACCTAATAGTGAAAGTAGAAAAATGTATTTAAAGATTAAACGTTCTATCATCTGCAATTGTAAGGTACAAGGAACACATCATATAAGTATCACACATGTCATTTGTAGACGTCAAGCTCACATTGGTTCGAAGTGTGTGAAGGCTTAATAGAAGTGGAAAGATGACTTTAACCGACTAAACGTCTTCTGCATTCAACAAAACAACAGATATCTAGCATCGTTAAATGGCTGATAAAGTGACAACCATATTTCCTTTGACAAAGTCGCTGTCTAATGCACGGGTTCCCAACCTGGGGGTCGCGACCCCCCTGGGGGTCGCGAAGGTCTTTCTGGGGGGTCGCCAACTGATATACTAAACCTTAGTAATTTGAAATAAAACATACATATTTAGAAGAATTTTTAAAATTCGGCTTCATTAACATCACTGGAAATGTAATAGAGAAGAAACAAAGCGCACAGAACAAAGTTGTTCTCAGTCACGAGTTTATGAAATCTTTAAAACTAAAACGTCATTTGAGACGAGTCATTCGGAACACACCAAAAAATATATGGAGTTCTTTCGTCGGTAAGAAGCTAGTTGCAAACGCCAGAGACTTGATCGAACAAGAAGTTTTCATCAGCATTAGTGCAAGCATCAAATGAAGTCGCGATAGAAAATGCCAAGCAAAAAAAAAAAAAACAATAGGAGAAAATTTCATCAAACGCTGCATGTACGTAAATGTTAAATAACACATTTGTATTGAAATTAAGCTTTCACCATTGTTTGCTTTTTAAGTTGATAAATCAACAGACGTGAGTTTGTGTTGGCAGTTGCTGGTCTGTGTCTATATTCATGCGGATGACAGCAAAGAAGAGTTGCTCTTTTGTGAAAATAGAACGGCTGTGTGGGTTTGTACGAATGGTGCGCGATCTATGTTTAGGTCAAAATCGGGCTTTCAGAAAACAGAAAAGATTTAGCTCCCTAACCACTGCCCTAACCAATCGACATCAAGAGTCCATTGCTAGTATAAGTCGTAAATTATATAAAATCTGGAGCCTTCAAAGAACTGAGCAAAAACATTAATATAGATCACGAGGTTCTGCTCTGCTACACTACAGTACGCTGGCTGTCAAACGAAATGTTGTAAATTGTGTTTTTGAATTGAAATCTGAAATCAAATTGTTCTTGGAAGTGCAAAGGAAACAAGACTTTTTGGTTACTTAAAACGACATAGAGTGGTTGGAGAGAGTATCATACCTAGCAGATGTGTTCGAACATCAAGATAAGCTTAACCTGAAGATTCAGGGAAAATGAACGAATATTGTAACTTTCCATGATAATCTCGGGGCATTTTTATCAAAGCTGCAAAATCAGTAAAGAAAATAAATCTTGGAAATATTGTAAATTTGAGAAACTCTGCGGTGTGGTAGATTAATCTGATTGAGAGATAATTAAAATTTTGAAAGAAGCGATTTCTGGGCATCTTGAATCTCTTGAAAACGAACTGCATCGCTATTTCTCTGAGCTGACAAAAGAAGAATCTGCATTTACGCATTACCCATTCTCTTCTACCCTTGATGTTGCCAGGATTCCCGATGAATTACAAGATGAATTCTTTGATTTGCAGAATGATTCCGAGTAAGATGAAAAACTGCAGACACAATTTTGGTGTAGTATTCACCATTCATACCCAAACTTAAAATTGACTTTTCGAGAATATAGTTTCAACACTATTCTTCGATTAAAAACAAAATTAAGATAATTATAATGACATAGGTTGGCGTTAACAATTTTTTTAAAATTAAAAACTTAACCACGAAGGTTTAGTGAATAGCATGCAATTTTACTCATGCTATTAAAATAGTTATCAAGAGTAGTTCATATTGAAAGTCTACTAGAAAATCTTATTTTAGTGCTTGTTAATTTCCATACTAATTTCGGCTTTTTAATTCTATGGGGGTCGCGGGTCACTTACTTTTTATAAAAGGGGGTCGCCACTCGAAAAAGGTTGGGAACCACTGGTCTAATGCATTTGTTTTGTAATTTGAATATTTTATAGCTTCATTATGCTACAGTTAACTACATACTTTTGGTGGTACCCACAGGATCTAGGGTCCCCACCCTGCCCTGGACCGAACTGCAACTGTAACTTCCCAAGTGACCATTGCGAGGCTGACGTCGTCGATCTTTTCTTCACAGTCACAGACATTGAAGACACGCCCCCAGTGTTTGAAAATCTGCCATACATGGGGGTAGTCAATGAGAATGTACAAATAGTAAGTTTTCATGAGATTGATGTATCTCACAGCAAAAGTTTAATAGTAGGCCTATATACAATGATTTTAGTTGATTTGAATTTAAAAAAAAATTGACTGTCATATGATTTTTAATTACGTTTTGCACATAATAATAAAATGAATTTGTTACACTTAACAAAACATCAAAAGATTTATAATACTTAATCTTTGTAGTCTTGAAATCATACCGAATTTTTGAAAAAAATCTTTTTAAAAATATGGCAAGAAATAAAATTATAGTTACATACGTAAAAATTAAAGCCGTTTGGGAACCATCGATTACACTTATTTTTATATTTTTGTATCGAATATAAGCTGGTGAAAAGCCGTTTAGAATTATTTTATCAATTCAAATATTAAAAAAAAAATTTCCCCAACCTCTCCTTGAAGTCAACCGGAATGGACAGGGAGAGTAAAACAATAAAAGCCAGAACAATTTTTTTCCATGGTAAAAATACACAATAATAATCTACTTTGTATAGCATAGTATTGTATTTATATTAATATTATAACATCCCCAATCACCACAACAATCTGACTACTAACCCAAATTAAAAATAAAAGCTTTTGCTAAATTACTATTATATAACTAATAATTATTTCTTTGACTATTTATAGCCTTAATGAAACCGGAAGTAATTTTGTACTTATTACACAAATGTTTTAAAATATTCAATTTTGGTTGAAAAATATGCTTTCTGGCAACGAAAATTTGGAACCATTTGCAACCAGTTTTTAGCGCAATTTCCATTCTGGAGAATTGCGTTTATTAACCCGTCATTTCTGGATGGATGAATGGATGGATGAATGTGTGTCCGCAGCTTTAAGTCGTATCTCCTCCTCAACGAAGCAATATCGATGACTAGTTACAAAAGCAATTATGTTAAGCAAATTACGAGGATGAACATACGCTATAAAAATTCCGGGTTTCTTTCATGGATTTCCCGAAAAATCCAAAAAACCTCGAAAAAATGCAGTTTTTGGCCCATATCTCGGCAACCAGACGACTTAGCGACTTGAAACATGTACCAATCGATTCCTGTCATAATTTAGAACAATATTGCCGAAGAAAGTTTTCAAAAATATCCTTTCGTTCGGTCACAAATTTTTTTTTAATTAATTAAAATTTGAACCGAACTAGTAGGCATTTTTATCCAACCACACCACACGCGTCATCACGTTCAATAGCTGCGCCATCACGTTCAGTGGCTGCGCCATCACGTTCGGTAGCTAGGCGCGCAATGGTTTTTGGTCATGTAACTCTATTGTAAATAAAACATGTAAAATACTGAAAAATATTTTAATAAAAAACGTTTTAATAACTAACCAATGGTTTTACTAACCCTGCTCTTGATTTACGCTACGACAGAGCTATTTTTAGATAACATAAGGAAATTGCGCTAAAATTGTCACTAGACTTTTTAATTACCTTGTTTAAGTCTATAGCGTTTGATTTGAAAATGTAAAAATTAAAACAAACCTACTCCTTTAACTTGAAAGGTATAATAAATGATAATGTATATAAAAAATAAAGGTAGTTATACAACATTAATGTTCAAAACACGTGAAATATTTTCAAAAATGTGATTGGATCTTTAAGTTCGTAACGTAAAAACCATTGTTTTTATTATATAATTGACACAAACATAACGTTTACATTTCTTTGCTGGCTGCTGTCCAGCGTCAATCTGGCTTCTTAAAAGTGCAGTTGCATGCTGTTGCTACAGTAATTTACGTGCTAGTCTTGCTCTAGTGGGATGACAAACACTGACCATTGCATTAAACGCATTGTGCCAGTCTTACACAGCATTATTGCTTGTGGGCAACTCGTTTTTGACGCGATTGTGTTGGTTCCAGAGGCTCACAGGGTACCGAGGCTGGGATCGGCGACCACGTCGAACACGCCCTATGTATACATCTTCAAAGTAGTCAATGAGAAAATCCAAGTCAGAAAAAATCCACTTGTACACACAAGTCTTTCGAAAACACACATAAAACCAGTTTCTGGCACAAATTAAATACATTGCTGTTTTACCCTCAGCTTGCAGTTTCCTCCAAACGTTTTGCCCATAGTGGAAATAACATCTTGCAATGCTTTGATTGCGGCTAATTCACTATAGAAGAGGGCTTTGGTTTGTGATTTTTACCAAGGCTAACAGCATGCTGCAATAGGCGACGGTAAATCACCCCACTACGCCCCGGTAATAAGGTATACACACACGGAAAAGTTACACCGTTCTCAAATGCTTGGATTGTATACAACTGATTAAAACCATCAGGAGTAACTCTAAATGTTCCATCACAAAACCAATGTTTGCTAGAAAATAAAAAATCCACATCTTCTTGTGCTGCAAAAAAAAAAAAGAAAATCAGGCTCACTCACGCGTAAGAAAACACTTCCACCACCTGTTTTGCTACAAGCATTGGTCGTTGAATCCGTTTCGCTGTCTGTCTTCAAACATCTCTAGTCAAGGAAGGCTGCTTAGGTAGAAGATGTGCATGCTTAATTGATACTTGTTTAAAGCGTGCTGAACGATGTCGTTTAAATAAGCATGATCACTAAGGTGTGACCGACGAATAACTATTGACTTTAGATGCTAGTTGTATTTTCCATAGAGGGCGGATGTCTTTCCCTTAGGGCATGTCTCTGTCATCAAAGCGGGCGGCTACCTAGACACGAAGGTGTATTTTTGTTGTTATTTCATCCCCTTTGATCTAGTTTCGTTTACCAAATGTAGTAGGATTGTCTCATGTTTGTCAGGCCCACCTACGCTGTATATCGAAAAATTTATTTAATCTTCGCATAATATAATCGCAATTTTAGAATGCTTAGTGCAATATGACAAATTTATGCGGCAAATATTGCTTACAATTATTATATAGGCCTATAAACAATATTAAATGTATTAATAAAAACCATATGACAGTCAATAAAAAACGTACAAATAATTTGTCCTGACATCATTTGTTTGTATTAAAGTATACCAGTGGTAAACCCGGTGATGAAACAAAAGAAAAAATCTCACATCAGATGTATGTGTTTGAGTGTGAATCACAGTAGAATTTAGACTGAGATTTAAAATACCTTGTTTTTTACTTTCTCGTATATACGAAGTATAGAGAAAGTCTTGTAATCGTGCAAAAAAAAAAGAGATTTTTGCAAATCTCGACGTTTTACACCTCACTGATACGGGATAACATAATTTTGCAATCTTGTCCATATGTCTGTGTGAGTGTCTGTGTGTGTCTTTGTGTGTGTAAACACGATAACTTGAGTACCGTTACAGCTAGGTTGATGAAATTTCATATATAAGTATTTTATCAAAATCGTAGATCCCTATCAACTTTTGAGCGATTTCCGATAACCGGAAGTGGTACTTTTTCTACTTTGAATTTTTCAAAAGCCTATTAATTGAGTATTATTTCAGATAGTTAAATGAAATTTCACATGTAAGTAAAAGATGTAATTATCTACCTTCTGTCAAATTTTGAGTAGTTTCCGATGACCGGAAGTACTAATTTACGCTATTTCCGATTTCTCAAAAAACGCATGTAAATTTATAAAGTACTAATAATATTGCGTACTATTATGCACATCTTTATTTGGCGTTCATTGGTGTGCAATTCTTTTTTCTACGAGATTTTATTCTATTTTTAAAAAGTTTCAGTATTTAAAATGGATTAAATTTCATGTCTATATCCCGAGTTCCATCCCATGTTTTTTTTATATAAGATTATACGAGAAAGTTTAGGGGAGATCACTCTCGGTTTATTTTCTAAACGTAAAGAGAATAGTTTTATTACCAGTTTGTCTCAAGCAAGGATGTGTTCTTTACAGGGCATTACAGTATTGACAGTGAAGGCAGTTGATGGGGACAGGAGAGTGGCTGTACCCAACCCGGTGTATTATAATATTAGTGGTGATACAGGTGAGTACACATGGTTGTCATGGTGATACAGGTGAGCATAAATAGTTGTCATGGTGATACAGGTGAGCACAAATAGTTGTCATGGTGATACAGGTGAGCACAAATAGTTGTCATGGTAATACAGGTGAGCACAAATAGTTCTCATGGTAATACAGGTGAGCACAAATAGTTGTCATGGTGATTAAGGTGAGCAGAAATAGTTGTCATGGTGATAAATGTGAGCAGAAATAGTTGTCATCGTGATACACGTGAGCACAAATAGTTGTCATGGTGATACAGGTGATAAAGGTGAGTACAAATACAAATACTTTCAATGTTAATACAGGTGAGCACAAATAGTTGTCATGGTAATACAGGTGAGCACAAATAGTTGTCATGGTGATACATGGTGATACAGGTGATACAGGTGAGTACAAATACTTTCCATGACGATACAGGTGAGCGCGACTAGTTGTCTAGGTGATACAGGTGACCACAAATAGTTGTCATGGTGATACATGTACGTTAAAATGGCATGTTGATAGACACAAATAGTAGACATTGTGAGACAAGTTTGCACGCAAGCTGTCGCATAATCATACATACACAAATGAAGAAAATCAGTTGTCATGGTGATACAGATACTCCTACTTAATTCCATCTCCAGGTTTCTCCTCCAAGTTTCTGATCAACTCCTCAACGGGTGACATAACAGTCAATGGTGTTTTAGATGTGGACCAGGGAGAGGGCCTTGATCGAGCTGGGATTTATCTCTTTACTGTGACGGTAAGTTTTATTTTGTACTGCTAGTTGTACCTCAATGATAGTAAATTTTGTTTTGTACTTCTAGTTGTTGCTCTCCATGTTTTTAAGTTTTATTTTGTACTGCTAGTTGTCCCTCAACGATAGTAAGTTTTATTTTGTACTGCTAGTTGTCCCTCAATGATAGTAGGTTTTGTTTTGTACTGCTAGTTGTTGCTCTCCATGACAGTAAGTTGTGTTTTGTACTGCTAGTTGTTGCTCTCCATGACAGTAAGTTGTGTTTTGTACTGCTAGTTGTTGCTCTCCATGACAGTAAGTTGTGTTTTGTACTGCTAGTTGTTGCTCTCCATGACAGTAAGTTGTGTTTTGTACTGCTAGTTGTTGCTCTCCATGACAGTAAGTTGTGTTTTGTACTGCTAGTTGTTGCTCTCCATGACAGTAAGTTGTGTTTTGTACTGCTAGTTGTTGCTCTCCATGATAGTAAGTTGTGTTTTGTACTGCTAGTTGTTACTCTATTAAAAATGTTATCCTTCTATTAAAATATTCTTCTATTCTACAGGCTACAGAAGTCTACAATGGCCCAACACCTTTAGATCCTGCGACCTACACCAAGAGCACCAGAGGAACAATCATCATCATGGATATTGACGACAATGTGCCCACGTTTAACCACCCACTGTATCAGGCAACAGTACAGGAAAACACGGCCAGGGGTGTTCCTATAACCATCAGCACTAGCATAGAAGTGGTCGACTTGGACCAGGTGAGTTTTGGCATGGTTTACAGGTCAGGTATATAAAGTCATGGACTAGGTAAGTCGTTGATGTTGATCTGGTTATAAAGTCAAGGATTCACACCGCATAAGCCTACATAAAGCCAGGTTTGAGGCGTGAAAAGTTGATGGACTGGGAGAATCCAAAGAAGATTAAATTATGTTAACTATTGTTGATAATTGGAGTACGTTAAATACCAGCTATTTATTGAATGCTAAAAATCTGTTTTTTAAGGGAACCAATGCTTACAGAGATTTTAACACCATATCAGTCATCTTAAATCAGAAAAAATAAAGTCACTTAAGTCAGATATTTAGACTAGGCCTATATAATAAAGTCTAAGATTAGTCTAGGTATTTACTTTTAAGTCCTGAAATGTTTAAAGCCACAGCTAAGCTCCAATAAATAATGTATTGATAGATGGATCAATAAAGTGTTTATTGGAATTGATATTCTTGATAAAAAAATATTTGGTATACTTGGGTATGAGGAAAGCCCAACATCAACTTTAAATGTATTTCGTCTGTTCTAGGGAGCCAATGCTGTATTTCGTATCAAGGTGCTGAAAAATGGAGCAGCTTATGGAGATTTTGACACCATACCAGCACAAGGTCAGAGAATTCAAGGGAGATCAACCATCACAATAATTGTTGCTAATTCATCTGTGCTTGACTATGAGACAATAAAAAGCATAACGTTTCAGGTAAACAAAAACAAAACGACCAATAAACAACATTTAAAAGCTGATGACAAGAGATATAATATAACAGGCATGGATGTAGTGTGTTTTGCTTTTAAAGGGTTTTGAATTTATCATCTAAGCTTCCTAACTTATAATTGGATAATTTATGCTGTGGTTGATTGCCAGAAAGGTGAAAAAGTCAATTGGCTAACTAAGAAAATGAAAAAAAAAACATCCAAAAACAACCAATGTTTATAAGTAACTGTTTAAAACGCCAATTTTGAAATTAATTTCTTGATTTCAGTTTTACTTGCATGCTAAATGTTTTTTAAAACTACACATACAAATTTAAATAAAAATAAGTCATACATTTTTATTATAATTATATAAAAAAATAACTTAATTATAATTTTTGGAAGGTTGATATTAAGTAATGAACCAGCCAGACTATCCAATGTTGTACTATTAAATTTATGGGACAGCATGGTTTAACACCATAGTATAATGGAAACTATGGGCCTAGTAGCAACATAGGTGCAGGAAATACTCATTTGTTCCAGTCTTTCAGGCTTAGAAGCGCCAGTTATGTCTGTTTGAGAGAGATAGAGACTAACAAATCTATAACTGTCTTTTAGTTAATACAGGTTTTAAACTGCTATCAGGTTCTTTATCAAACTGCCTACTTGATTACCATGCATAACATGATGCTTTTATTTATCAGATTTCAGCAGAAGCCGTGGACATGAGTGGAAAAGCGACCAACACCAGTCAGGCCACCGTGGTGCTCAACATTCTGGACACCAATGACAACTCCCCAGAATTCCCCACTCAACCAAACAGGTTCAACGTTTCAGAGGATGTCAAGCCTGGCTACATAGTAGCCACAATAGTAGCCACTGACCGTGACTCAGGAGAATTTGGACGTGTCGTTTTCAGCCTAGAAGATGACAGCACAGGTGGCAAGTTCAACATCACTAGTAGCGTAAGTTTTTATTTACTTTTAGCTTTGATAAGTAGGTCGTAAAATTAAAGTAGTAAATAATTTGTGATAGGTAAAGATCATTTTAAAAACTTTTGAGAAAAATCTAATATTGATCTAGATAATTAGATAAACTAGTCATTTTGGTAAAGTACTTTTCTACAATGTAATATAAGGTAGTAAAGATAGCTTTAGGATCTTTGGAATAGTGTGTGTGTGTGTGTGTGTCTTTATGAGTTACTTGATCTCCATTGCTATTTTTTGCTACTTTCTTAAAAGCTTATTTAACTTATTTTACTTATAAAATATGAAATTTATAACAACACACACAGCTTAGAAAACAGTAAAACAATATCACGAACTTTAATGAGGAGATATAGACTATATATAAAAATAGATTACATATTAATGGCTGTTGTTTCCCCAGGGTGCCCTGACTGTTACATCATCACTAGACAGAGAACAACGCTCTTCCTACTCTCTTACCATTGTTGCCACTGACAGCCCATCTCAACCTGAATCACAAAGGCGAAGTTCAAGGTTCCTTGTTTATATAACAGTTACAGACGTTAACGATAATGACCCAAAGTGGACACAGGTCATCCAATTTGTCAGTGTTCTGGGAAGTACTCAAGAAGGAACTCCAGTAACAGAAATCAAAGCCACAGACTTGGATGAGGGATTAAATGCTAAGGTTTGTCATCTGAAGCTTATTGCTATAGAGCAGGATTTTGAATAGATACACGTGGCCCTTCCAATAGTAATAAAAACTTTTTTTAAAGATAAGAAAGAAATTTGAAAGTAGTTTCTGTTGGTAAGAAGGATAAAAATATAATACTCAAATGAGGCTAGCTGAATAATATTTATTAGAAAAAATTATATTGTTTGTACTGTTTTAATATAGCACATTGGCTGCCAAGGTATAGACAAATTGATTTTAAAAAATAATTTAAAAAAAAAAACCCTGAAATTTAATTTTTATAAAAGCACCTTATTGGTGTAGTATGAATTTAGAAGTCTTAAATTGAAATGAAAATGTAAAACTTTTCACATTATAACATTACTAATGAATGAAAAAAAAATCAATGCACCATACAAGGCTACTATTAGCTGTATAGAAGTGAAAAATAAGAGAACAAAAAAAAAAACCCAACAACAAATCTCCAGATTCATTACATGATTATTCGTACCATAAAAGATGTTAAATCTTGCGCCGAAGAATTGTGCTAAACCAGTTTCAAAAATCTCTTGTGAATAATAGTTTTTTTTTAAAAACATATCTGACAAAAGCTGGATCTTTTTTCACTTAGATACAATACTTCATTGCCCCGGACACCAATGGATCTAAACTGTTTCGTGTGGAAGATATCAATGGATCAGCTGTGATCATTACTAATAGCTCTTTGATTGATAACTTTGGTACTAGAGTGTTGTGTGTGGTTGCCATGGATATGGGAACTCCACCACGCAGCGCAAGTGTCGACATTTCAATTTTTGTGGTGGATGAGAACCAGCATGCCTCAGTGCTCAACCAGCATGCTCTAGTGTTCAACCAGCATGCTCCAGTGTTTATACACCCTGACCAGAACTTGTTTAATCCCATGGCTGGGATTGTGCCGGAAGTTTCAGTCTTGGAGGTAAGGAATTCTATATTCCTTTCACAAAAACATGTACGTTTAACTAATCATCATCCCTCTGGTCTCCTGTGGTGCATGAGGATCCAATTACACCTCTCCATCAATCTTTCTTGTAGGTGATTCCTCCAAGGTAGGGTAACAACATAATTTATTTTTTCCAAGTTTGTTCAACCTAACTTCTTTCATTTTTCAGTGTGATATTCAATATGCGGCAGAGGCATATGTTAATGAAAGTTTGAAGTAGTCCTAACAGATACTGTGAAATTTTTTTTAAATTATTTTTTTCTGGAGGAAAATAAAAATATTTTAGTAAAAAAAAAAAGGGCAAAAAATGAAAAAAAAATTCTACATTTCTATCGGTTTTGTTTCAAGCTAAAAAAATTAAATATTATAACTTCGCCTGTAGAAGTTTCACACGAAGCATGCCTTTAAACATAAGGACCGTTTTTAAAAATCGTAAAAGCTAACAACAGGGAATATCAAATTTAACTAATAAAAATGTAAAAATAATTTCACCATGGATTTTTTAAACCTTTAAACCGAAAGTTTCAGAATTGATAAAGTCTGTAAAGTGGGTCTTTAGTCAGCTACATTAGTTAACCAACACTAAAAACTCTGTCAGGAATTTCAATTGGAAATTACTATTTCACTCCCTCAGCTTGTCATATATAATACACACTTAGTCCGGAATATGCATGGAAATGTTGCGGCTGTTTAGAGTAACTAAGCATCTTACATTTTAACTTAAACAAAATATTCTATGTTTTGTAAACACTTCCTATTTTTTTTAATTCACCAGGAACAAAGTCTAGGATCTCTCGTGACAGTACTGTCAGCCACAGATGCAGACCAAGGCCAGAATGGTGTTGTGAACTACTATTTGGTTCCAACAGTAAACAAAGACTATGAATATTTCAAACTTGACAGAATATCTGGAAACTTGACGTCATATATGAGGCTAGACAGAGAGTTCCAGGAAGTTTATGAGGTATCTGTGATCTTTGTATATTTTGTTAGTTTTTGCAGTTTTAAACATTTGATGGCGAAATTTTTTATTTGGTAGAAAAAAAATCATTTATATTAAAAGGAGTAGGGGGTGAGCAGATAATTAAAACTGAATGAATCTGAACGATAACCACTGTGTCAAAAGAAATTCGACTAAATCTTATGAAAGAACACTATTAAAAGTATAAAGTAATATCAACAACCCAAAAAACAAAGAATAATCTAAATAGAATAAACAATATCTATCTCTAACACTAGTCTTTACCCCAACATTATCTTTACCTAATTGACAATAAATCCTGATTTACTTCAGTACTAAAAACAGAATACATTTAGGTTTTGGACAGCAGTTGGAGAAATTATCCTTACTCTTTACTTTTATATTTCTGCATAAAAAGATTCAAGTTAGAGCAGAAGACAATGGCCAGCCTGCCCAACTGTCCACTCTCCTGACCATGAGGGTAAAATTACTGGACATAGATGATAATCCCCCAGTGTACAGTGCAATGACCATGCCACAGATGCTGAGTGTTAAAGAAGAAAACAGCACAGCGGTCATTGGCACTGTTCTGCCTGCACAAGATAAAGACCAGTCCCCAACTAATATGAATTGCTACAGACTCTATGGTAATTTTCATTGCTCAAAGACACATTTTAAAACTATATATATATATATATATATATATA